CCCCCCAGTGCTGTCCTCACTCAAGTCGATTCTTCAGTGGGCTTTGGGTCCAGGTCTCGGCATCTTAACTAAAGCAAAACAGCTGTGAAGCCCTGTGGCTTCATAGCTGGCTTCCCACTGTGCATGCATGAACCTAGCTGCTTTGGTCCCGTAGTCTTCTGAGATTTGTGATGTATCCCAAAAGGCTGTTGGGCGAAATGGGGAGGGTTTGGGGTTGATCTGGGCGGAAGTGGGAGCGGTACCTGATCTCCCCCAACCCCCCCTCCCTTTCAAAATATCTGGCAACTGTTAAAGTGGAGGAGGGAGAAAGCAAATAAGTTGAACTTCCCCCTTTTGCACCAAAAAGGAACCTCAAAAATTAAACTGTTCATTAAGGGCCACATACATAAAGTGCTCTGAGATAAAGTACAAAAAGGAAAGCATATCCACTGACATTTTGGACCACCTGGACCTCTTTTTCAAGGTGACAAAAGACCTGCCATGTCTGTCTCCCTGAGAAAGGGCCCAGTGTGGCCCTGAAACATTGGTGGATATACTTTCCTTTGCACTTTCTCTCAGAGCACTTTATGCATGTGGATCTCAATAAATGTTTAATTTTTGAGGTCCATTTTTTGGTGTGCTGCTCATTTTTTGAGTGAGACTTTCATTGCTGTGGTTGTGTTGGGGAGATTCTCTTTAATTCCTGTTCCTGCAACCACATTGTCACAAGACAGGAAGTGAGGGAAATTTTGCAGGAAGAGCAGACACAACAAATGGATTTTAGCCTTTTGCCCACTTTTTGGGGGGAAAAAAAAACTCATTGATGTCTGTCACCCCTGGAGGTTTCCACTCACTGGTGATATTGTTGTCACTGAGACCGGAAGTGGGGGAACTCCCAAATAGTATCATGACCAACAGTAAAAACCAGACAGAGGTTTTCTTAAAAAAAAAAAAAAAAAAAAAATTTGTATATGCAGTGTAAGGGATCATCCGCATCGAAGTGTAAGCTGATCCCCTTCATTCCTGGTTATCCAGTGTAAGTGTTCTGCTTATTAGTCTATGACGGGGTGGGAATACGGCACGGCTGCTTTGTGTTCTTTTTAATTGCAGATCAAATTAAATGAACTGCCTGTCATATTTTTTTTTTTTTTTTTTTTTGTGAATTCTCATTCAAACACAACACACTGATCTGGATAGTGATGACTGGAAAATGTTTCTGGCATGCTGCAGCAGCCGAGCTGTTTGAGCTGTGTATATTCCAGCTCCTTGGCAGCAATGGGGACATTCATAGACCACGCAGCACACGCGCCAAACCGTACAAAATGAGTTCCCTGTGCTGTTTGGGTGCCAGCAATTTGTAAGAGGACTCTTAGAAATCCATTTTGTGGGCTGCTTTTGTCTAGTACCTTGGCTGATGCTGCGCTAAAAAAAAATAAACATGATGGCTGATTTATAGTATGTTTGTTTGCAGAGATCAAGAGCAAGATTTCTTTTTTTGATGCAACCAGAAAACGTTGTGGAAATAAGGAATTTTTAATAGATTTTGTTTTGTATTTTGTTTTTTTTCATTTTGTAAAAGTGGTTCTGGAGAATGCTAGGGAAGATTTTAGAAAAACCTTGTTTTAAAGGAATTGGTAGTTTTAACAAAAAAAAACAAAATCTAGCGCAAGCTATTGAGAAAAGGAGACACTGCCAGTTTAGATGTAAATGCTCCACTGGCCATGTATTGTAAAGGAGAAGAGCCATCAAATCCCACAAACTCGTAAACAATTGTGAGTCGTGTATGTGTGTGTGCATGTATGTATATGTATGTGTATATGTGAAATTCACATTGTAGGTGCATTCCCACTCAGACGGAGTTTAAAAATCATACAATGTGATTTCCTGAATTTTTTTTTTAAAGAATTTATTTGTCTTGCGCTGCTGAACATAAGTATTTGAACAGCTATGAAACGGCAAGAATTCTGGCTCTGAACGACCTGTTACTGTGCCTTTAAAAAGTCCACCTCTACTCCACTCAATCTAACTTAGTAGCACCTGTCTGAGCTCTTTAAAGACACCTGTCCACCCCACAGTCAGTCAGATGCCAACTACTACCATGGGCAAGACCAAAGAGCTGTCAAAAGACACCAGAGACAAAATTGTGGACCTCCAAGGCTGGAAAGGGCTACGGGGCGATTGCCAAGCAGCTTGGTGAAAATAGATCAACTGTTTGAGCAATTGTTAGAAAATGGAAGAGGCTAAAGACGACTGTCAGTCTCCCTCGGACTGGGGCTCCATGCAAGATCCCACCTCGTGGGGTATCGCTGATAAGAAAGGTGAGGAATCAGCCCAGAACTACAAGGGAGGAGCTGGTCAATGACTTGAAGAGAGCTGGGACCACAGTTTTAATGGTCACTGTCAGTAGAACACTACGCCATCATGGTTTCAAATCCTGCATTGCATGGAAGGTTCCCCTGCTCAAGTCATCACATGTCCAGGCCCATCTGAAGTTTGCCAATGACCATCTGGATGATCCAGAGGAGGCATGGGAGAAAGTCATGTGGTCAGATGAGTAGAACTTTTTTTGGTCTAAATTTCACTCGTCGTGTTTGTAGGAAAAAGGATGAGTTGCATCCCAAGAACACCATCCCTACTGTGAAGCATGGGGGTGGTAACATCATGCTTTGGGGGTGCTTTTCTGCGAAGGGGACAGGACGACTGCACTGTATTAAGGAGAGGATGAATGGGGCCGTTTATTGTGAGATTTTGAGCAACAACCTCCTACCCTCAGTCAGAGCATTGAAGATGGGTCGTGGCTGGGTCTTCCAACATGACAATTACCCGAAGCACACAGCCAGGATAACCAAGGAGTGGCTCCGTAAGAAGCATATCAAGGTTCTGGAGTGGCCTAGCCAGTCTACAGACCTAAATCCAATAGAACATCTTTGGAGGAAGCTGAAACTCCGTGTTGCTCAGTGACAGCCCCGAAACCTGACAGATCTAGAGGAGATCTGTGTGGAGGAGTGGGCCAAAATCCCTGTTGCAGTGTGTGCAAACCTGGCCAAGAACTACAGGAAACGTTTGAGCTTTGTAATTGCAAACAAAGGCTTCTGTACCAAATATTAACACTGATTTTCTCAGGTGTTCAAATACTTATGTTCAGCAGTGCAAGACAAATTCTTTAAAAATCATACAATGTGATTTCCTGAATTTCTTTTTTTTTAAATTCTGTCTCTCAGAGTGGGAATGCACCTACAATGTGAATTTCAGACCCCTCCATGATTTCTAAGTGGGAGAACTTGCAAAATCGCAGGGTGTTCAAATACTTCTGTTCCTCACTATATATATATTAATATATATTCATTTTTTTTTTTTTTTTTCAGTTAAATCCGAAGTAGGATATTCATATATCCTAGCTTTCATAGAGAAGCAGTGTATTAAATGCTTGTGCTGCATATTCATCAAGTGGCAGTATAGGCAAATTGTTACCTTCTCTAAAACCTGACAGTTGATGTCATACAACATCCTCCAGCTCCAAGCAGATATAATATTTCTAATGAATGGGAGTTGTTAAAAAGCGGAAAAGATATACTTTGTATCTCTAGAGCAGAAGCCAAAACTAGAAAAATAAAAAATAGCCCATGAAACTATCAAATAGAGCTAGTTTTTATTGAAATATTTACCTTTAAAATAGAGATTTCCTCTGCAGTACTTTTCTGCCATTTGATGGCCACCCCTTTCTCTGAGCCCAAATAAACCTTGACACACGTCATTCTGTGACTGGACAGTGAAAGGAGAAACAGCACAGTAATGAGCTCATCTCTGCCACTCTGCTTTCTTCTATCAACATGCTACTTGTCGGCACATGAACTGATTGGCTCTTTGTGCTGCATCTTCCTCTCAAACTGTGCAGGGCCTACAAGAGGCTGATACCAGATCAGATTGACATTTGAGCTGCTTGCTTTTTTTTTTTTTTTTTTTTTTTTTTTTTTTTTTTCCCATTTATTTCATCACATTTATTTTTAAATCCTTCTCAAAGCATAGCTTATTTATAATTCTCAGATATCTAAATTCCTTGACCGTGAAAAAAAAAACTTTTTTTTTTTTTCAAATTATCTGCACAAATGCCTCCAACTGTTTCTTTCTGAGCTTATGGCCTGCACTTCCACATTCTTACATTCCTTGTCTTTGTGCGCAAAGCTGACAATTACTCATAGCTCCCAACCATCTCTCCTGTGCAGAGACTCTTTGAAACCAAATCTCTCTGACTCGCATTTCTTCTTCGTTATCCCTTTTTTTTTGGTGTGATGTATAGACTTTTCATTTTTAAAACAAGTATTTTTACTACACTAAGTAGTGTATGTATAAAAATATTGCATAGCAATTCGCCTAGGGAAAGCACATTTACATTTTATTTTGTGCTAATGGAGCAAAAAAAACAAATGGTGGTAGGCCATTTCCTGTGCTGGATGAATGTGTATGTTTGTTTGTTTTTTTGTTTTTTTTTTTTATTTAAAAAAGAAAATACTGCATTTGGCAAATTGCTATGCACATTTTTTTTTCTAAGTTTGCCCTGAGCCTTTCATCCAACCTCTAATTGATCACGTTATGTTTTTTAGCTCATATAAAGAAAAAAATACTGGTGAATAGAAGTTCTTGTGGGCTTAGGCAATCCATTTTTTTTTTTTTTTTTTTTTGCATTTGCTTCTAGGTCTGCATTATAGAGGCTGTTAGGGGTTTGTTCTTTGGCTACTTTGGATTTTAAAGTGTCCCTCTTTCTCCTCTCAGAGATTTGGGTAATATGGTTACTGTGAGATAAAACGGGAGAATCTTTAAGTTTTCAAAATCCTACAGTGTGGGTTGTTGTAGCTTGTAGGGGGACAATCGAGGATAACTTTGTGTGACTTTTCCCTTACATATAACTGCAGTTGCTTTCCGGTACTTGCACCTCCCTTTTTTTTTTTTTTTAAACAAATAGTTGTATAACCATTTAATTATACTTGGTTTTTAGGAAATAAATGCAAAATATTATTTTTCAGGGCAAAATGAGGGTAGATGTGAACTATGGAGGTGACCCTATTCCAAAAAGCCCCTTTACAGTTGGAGTGGCAGCTCCTCTGGATCTCAGCAAGATCAAAATCAGTGGACTAGATAGCCGTAAGTACACATAATGAAAGTTTTTTTAAAATAAGTTTCAGAGATACAATATAAATCATTGCTACATTAAAGTGGTTGTAAGCCCTTACATGTACCCAGTGAAGTGACAAGGTGATTTACAGAGATTATACAAATTCTCCTCATGTTGTACGTTTTTATCTGCAGTCTTTTCTTCTTTACAGACGTTTAAAAGTGTAGAATTTATACAGCTTGTTTGAGCTTTCAGAAATTGGGGCAGGGAGTTGAAGTTGCACTCAGTAGATCTTAGTGAGAAGAGCGCTGAAAGCCGACTGGAGGGAAGGGAAACACTCCCTTCACACAGCACACTGGAACAGTTGAGGGTGTCCATCACAGGCTGTGTACTGCAGCTCCTTCCTCTCCCATTTTTTTTTCTCTTGGTGTAAGGAATACTTCTCAGAAGTGACTCCACTGTTGATAGCAGAGGAATGATGCAGTAAAGAGAAATAACGCTTGGAGCTCTGGACTGAGACAAGTACATACTATTCGATATGCTTTGCTCATATTTCCTGTCTGAGGTTTACAACCACTTTTAAGTAGGCCAATTTTCGAACTAGATCCTATATGTGGATATATTTTGTATTGCAACATATTTATCTGTTTACATGCCTCAGCCTTTTGGCCATGCTAAATAGAAGCCATATTCAACATCTTAAATGTCCACCCAAAAGTAAAATTTTAATATAATTGTAACCTGCTTGGCTAAGTCACCCTCTAATATTTTAATTTTTTTTATACATTTTGGTTAATTAGTGAATTTCCGGCCATATTTCCCACCTCTGTTCTTGTCCACTTTGGAGTATTTAGTGTTCTGTCCACCTTTTTGCATGTTCAAGCTTCTTCTGTTGCATTACCAGTAATATAAAATAAAGTAAATCCAACAGTGGGAACCCTTCATTACGAACCCAACGGAAATGTAGACCAACAAAATTAATCACAGATATCTCATCAACAAAATACGTGAGAGAGATATAAGAAAGCATAAGGTGGTTTATTGCGACTCTGCCACCACAAATGGTACCAATAAAAAATAAGACTGGAATTTTCACCTGTCCTGCTGCCCATGGCTTGGATCTTGGCTCTCTTGAAAAGCTACAGCTGTGGTGGATGCCTGGTCCCTCACTGGCCATGGACATGGCAGCCACTGCATGAAACCACAGCACTCAGCAAGGGACTAGACCTCCAACATAAAATGTTTTGGAAGCTTACAATTCTTTAACTGCTATATCTCTTCCAAGAGAGAATCGATCCAAGGCATGGGCAGCAGGAGAGATGAGTATTCTTTTCTTTTTACCGCAAGTGTTTGTTTTTTTAATTGAGACAACATAGTCCCTTTTAAACTAGCATCTACCAAAAACTGAAATATCGGTTTGGATGGACACGTTAACAAAGCGAAGCAATGGGTCTTAAAGGTGTTACAACCTATTATGGTTGATTTTTGTGGTTGGTGTAGTTTTTTTTGCAATTACACTATTCTAGGAAAACATTGACACTTTGCTAATTGCAATATAACTTTTGTGCAGCTATTTAAGAAGTAAACAGGTTGTGCACACACCTAGTGCACTATCCAAGGTTGTTTCAAAGGTATAAAAGAGAAAAACATACTCAGATGAAGCATGTATAAAGAGCTTTTGCATAATGAAGATGGCCACAACGGCAGGCAAGGTTGGTCAGCAGCTCTGAGGAAAGGGACTCTTTCCCGAAACACGTCAGCCTCTTGACCGCACTGACAGTTGGAACACCTTCCCTGCCGTTGTGGCCATCCTCATTATGCAAAAGCTTTTTATACATGCTTAATCTGTGAAGTATGTTTTTTGTCTTTTATACCTTTGAATAAACCTTGGATAATGCACTAGGTGTGTGTGCCACCTGTTTAATCTTTATCTAGTGGTTGATCTCCCTGTCTGAGGAGGGCTGCACCCCTGAAGCATCATCTTTTGGTTGCCTCTGTCCTGATCCCCTTGGTTTTCCTTGGGCTATTCATTTCTTGAAGCGCTGGAGAGTACACACGATATCCAGTTTTGTACAGCTATAGCCTGAACATCATTATGCAAAGCTTAACCCCAAAATAATTTTAGTTATGTGTACGGTGCAATGGATATGTATAACATGGGTTAGATGGAAGAGAGTGATGATATTGTGTAAGTGAAATATTGTATAGGTAGTTTCTGCAGTAGTGTCTGTACAAATGTAGGTGAGTGGGTTAGTGTTTGGTAAATATGTCTTATCCTTGTATTTTCACACAGGAGTGGAAGTTGGTAAAGACCAAGAGTTCACTGTGGACACCAAGGGTGCTGGTGGACAAAGCAAACTGGATGTGAAACTTACCAGCCCGAGCAGAAAAGTAATTCCTAGTGTGATCGATCCAGTACCAGGGAAGGAAGCTAGCACAGTGAAATATATCCCAAAAGAGGAAGGGGTATACAACATAGATGTGAATTATGATGGCCACCCAGTGCCAGGAAGTCCTTATACCGTGGAAGCCACTCTACCTCCTGACCCAACAAAGGCAAGCCAGAACCTTCTGAATGTCTCTTAATGTTCACTCTGTTCAGAATTTGTCAGCATTATGTACATTCAATAGGCTAACTGGATAAAATCAAGCACCAGGCTCTTTTTAACACCTCAAACCGTAAACCCTAAGATGTTTAGAGCTTTGACTCCATCCATAGAAATTCATTTGCCAACACAATGTTCCTTCATATTATCTCCATCTACTTCATTTCTTTACCTGTCTGTTCCTTACCTACAAACTTGTTTCCCTCAGTCGTGTTGTCAGTTATTTGGGCCAAGGTCAGCCAACACAACAAATAATCTCTAGTGCTGTTAAGTCTTTCATTGTGTAGAGCAATCTTTTATCATAGCCTCTATTAGTGGCAAAGGAAATTTGTAATTTGCTTTGAAGTTGAACTAGTTTGAAGCAGAAGAACGTTTTATGTAACATCAGTAGTCTCCATTTATTGGAACCGAACACCCTTCATGTAAATGTTATAATTAAAAGTTTTTTGAGTTTTGTAAGTCCAATCTAAAACAATTTTTCCTTTTTAGGTTAAAGCATATGGGCCAGGCCTTAAAGGAGGACTGGTTGGAAAGCCTGCTGAATTTACCATTGACACTAAAGGAGCAGGCACTGGAGGTTTGGGCTTGACTGTTGAAGGTCCATGCGAAGCTAAAATTGAATGTTCGGACAATGGTGATGGCACATGCTCCGTTTCCTACCTGCCAACCACGTCTGGGGAATACTTTGTGAACATCCTTTTTGAAGAAACTCATATTCCAGGTTCCCCATTCCAAGCTGAAATTGAAATGCCTTTTGATCCTTCTAAAGTGGTTGCCACAGGTCCTGGTCTGGAGCATGGCAAAGTAGGAGAGGCTGGACTCATTCATGTAGACTGTTCCCAAGCAGGACCTGGAGTCCTCACTATGGAGGCAGTGTCTGATTCTGGATCCAAAGCTGAGGTCTACATACAGGACAATAGTGATGGAACCCATGCTGTCACCTATGCTCCTCTCTTTGCTGGCATGTACACATTATCTATGAAGTATGGAGGAGAGAAAGCGCCAAAGTTCCCTGCTCGTGTAAAGATTGACCCTGCTGTGGACACTAGTAAAGTCAAAGTTTTTGGACCTGGTGTGGAAGGAGATGGTAAGACTATGTAATAGCTTGTAGCAAGCTTATTTAACCACTTGCCCTCCTAAGGATTTGCCCTTCCTGAGCAGGCCATTTTTTGCATTACTTTAACTGACAATTGCGTAGTCCTGCAACACTGCACCTAAATTAAATTTCCATGTTTTATTTGGGGGGGGGGGGGTTTCCCCACAAATTTGAGCTTTTTTTTTTTAGTGGTATTTGATTGCCTGTGAGTTTTTGTGTTTTTTTTTTTTTTTTTTATTAATTTTTGCACTATTAAAGAAAAAAGTGACAATTTTGAAAAAAAATATTTTTTACTTTTTGCTATAAAAAATGCCCAGTAAAAAAAAAACAAATCAAATTTTGTCATTTTAGACCAATCAAAGGGTTAACTGTGTGCTGTTTTACAGGCTGTGTCTGTGCTTCACTGTAATCACACTGCAATGGATGACTGTGCTGTGCACAGCCATCGAAAGCAGTGTGCACAAGCTGACAGGGAGGAGAACTGTATTGGTTACATACATTTCTTCCCGACAGAGATCCTCAGCAATCATTGGGCCTAGTGACTGACAGCCGTGAATGGAGGTACAGGTAGGCCACACGCACGTCCCCGACCCGTAAATGCTAAATCGTGCATATATACGTGATTTTGCGCACCCGTGCTGCCCTGTAGCAGTATTTCTGCTATAGGGCGGACGGAAAGCTGTTCCTTTTTTCTTTTTTAGATGTTTAAGACTGGCCTCCCTCCTCCCTCCATTGTAGAAGCAGATTAGGATATTTCTTAAGCTTATGTTTATTAAATATTTTTGGCACACTTTTATAGGAATTCTACTCTCTGCTCCTCTGCAACCCATTGACTATTAAGAAATCAGCATTTGGTTGGTGAACCAGCTAGTGGCATTGAACAATCTAAAGACAAGCAGGGAAAGTTGCAATGTTCGGGCAGGTGGAGCCCTGATTGTTAAGAAATTTGTAATTTGTGTCCCAAGGAGTCTTTGTCTATGCAAACTCTAAATATATTTTGGAATGTTGGACAATATTCCCCACTGTGTACTGTCTTATCAAGCAAATTGGTTGTTGTATATCGATTGAGAAAAGTTTCTTATACAGAGAATCTGCAGGTTTTTTTGCAGGCTGATATCGTTAAGCCACTGCTTCACAATTAGAAGCAGCATTGTCAATCTACTGTTCAGTTGGCCAAGAGCTGCTCATCGTCTAGACCACAGGTGTCAAACTGGCAGCCCTCCAGCTGTTGCCAAACAAATCCCATGAGGCATTGCAAGATTGACATACAAGTATGACTCCGAAAGTCAGAGGCATGATGGGACTTGTAGTTTGGCAACAGCTGGAGGGCCGCCAGTTTGAAATCCCTGGTCTAGACCTTTTTGTAGTTTTGGATGGTGTGTGGAAGAGTTAGAACCCCTGTCAGCTTTTTTTATTGATGACTATGTCCTGGCTGGGGAGTTGCACTTTGTCCTGACTATTGTCTCTAGTATAAATAGTGATGGGAAATCCAAAATGTTGGAATTTTTACGGAAACAAGGACTGGCAACTGCCTAAGGCAGGCCATAGATGTTGCAAATATCTTTCCTGCAACCATGTGTATATTTTCTATACAGTGGTATTACACTCTTCTAATGAATCTTATTAATGCACAGGAATATTTAGGGAAGCCACAACAACTTTTACAGTGGATGCCCGACCTCTGACACGAACTGGAGGAAATCACGTCAAAACCAAAATCACCAATCCATCCGGAGCGGCAACAGATTGCCTGGTTAAAGATAACGGTGATGGGACTTATGAGGTGGAATACATACCTTTTGAAAAAGGTAATTCATCATAACAAAACTACATGATAAAATGAATAGAAGGCACCAATATAAACCAATGCGGTGTGGATTGTAGGCCAGTAATGTGCCTACTGCAGAACAAAACTTTTTTGTCTTTTTTAATTACCCCTTTCTGTTAAAGCTGGTAAAGAGTTTTAACTTTTTTTTTTTTTTTTTTATAAACTTTAAACGTGTCCCATTCTACTACATGCATTGTTGAGAGGCATTACTTTCTGCAGCTGTTATAGAAAGCAGGCAGAACTCTACACTCCTTTTTACTGATATTCTAGGCTACTCTTTTTTTATAAGTTGCTTCAGCCTGTTAACAGAGCTCAGTAACTCAAGCAGAAATTGAACTCCTCCTTCCCCCTTCAGACAACTCTGTACTCTCTATCACAGGTTGCTTTTGCACATTTTACTGAGGCTTTGGATTTTGACAATTAATGGTAGGGGCAGAATGCTTGAAGGCTATGAAGTTTAATCTCAACTTTGTGAAAAGTCAAGGTTCTGTGTACAGCCTGGGCATGGGATCCAAATTAATTCCATGTTAAAGTTGAACTGTGAAAAGTAGATAAATGTTTTACTGTTCTCTGTCTTTCCCCCTTACCTGTGGGAGAGGGGAGAAGAAATCCAGCATTATGCACAGATACATCTTTTCTCCCTTCTCTTCCTCTTCTCATAGGACTTGAGTAACAGCAGGAGCCATAGGCTCCTGCTGCTGTTTTTATTCCAGTCCCTTCCTGCCTCCCCTGCTTCCTCCTCACTGTATATGACTAAGTCCCGCTGTGTGTGTCTGTGGAGCGTGTCTCCATAGATACACACAGCTCGGGAACAAGCATGCACAGTGTTCCCCCATAACAAGCAGCTTGCTATGGGAACACAAGAAGAAGAGGAGGAGCCGAGGTCACCAGCAAGGGACCGGAGAAGTGGAGGATCAAGGCCGCTCTGTGCAATAATTTTCAGATGAGTAACCTTTATTATTTTAATAGAAAAAACTAAATTTATTTTAGTGTCACTATAAGGGACTAGTGTTACTGACGGTGAGCCAAGTCTTTATTTTTTAAATCGATGGACTTTGTTTAGGTTGTTTTGTTTTTTTTCTTACGGAGGATAAGCTATTCAGTGTTTTGCCTATTTTTGAAAATAAAAAGAACGGTTTGCTTGTACCAATACGCCTGGCTGGTGATCCCAGCCTTCCACATAATACACACAATTTCTGATTTCGCTCCTAAAAATTTTACTTAAGCCTGTTGAAGGTTTTGCAGAAAGTTTGGAGGGAGTGATATCCTTTATTGGCTAACTTACTGTTTAGGAATATAGACTGACAGGACTAAAGGTTTTGGATCAAAGGCTGACAAATGTGTTATTGAAAAGGATCTGTAGTAACATATGGTAGATGATCGAGATTTGGGATTGTATCATTCACTTTACCTTCTGCACTATATCTGCTGCAGGGTGATCTACACGTGTGCGTATTATTTGTTCTGTACTCCAGCAGTTGCGGAGTACAAATAAACACATGGAAAAAGTAGTTTCTATTCGTTCTTTAGTGTTAGAACAGTAACCCCAAACCACAATATCTTCTAATCCCAGTTCTTTTTTTTTTTTTTTTTTTTCAACATTGTGGTTACAGAGATACCGTCTCTGTGAAATCGGAAACCAAAACAGGAAAATGTCAGTAAAGTCATAGACACAAGAGCAGGCATTTTAGTACTTGGTTAAGGCCGTTGTCTTCTAGGAATGCCACAAATGTACTTTTTTTTTTTTTTTCATTAAGTTTGTTTTAATTAAATTTAAAGTATAAGGAAATTGATGGCACTGGGGTCTTGGAGTTTGGGAATGTATGAAATAAGTTTTTTCCTACTCATTTTCTAAAAAAAAAAAAAAACAGTTAAATGTTTGCTATGGGAATTGACTGCTGACAGTCTTTTAATGAGCAGTTCAGACACTTTCCTGTGCAAGGTCATTCATATGGGATGAGGGGAGGGGGTCTAGTTGCTAACTGTAGTTTTACAACTTTGCTGTAGGCCCTATGAATTGTTACAAAGAAAATGCCCATGTAGACTCAAGCCTAAAGTGAAACTAAACCCAAATGTTTGCCATGTTTATAAGAAAAAAAGTAATGCCTTATTGATAAAGGATACATTTTCAGGACACTGCCTAAACAGCACCTTGTAAATGAACCCGTTTCTTTCCTACTGCAAAACATCCATTCATTTTCTGGTATGCGAGGGTGTCTAGGCACTCCCGTGTTTATAGCCTTACAGCCATACCTGCTGTAGGATTAAGACACTGCTGCCTCTGATAGTCCAAGCAAAGTTTGAGAGTTGGTGATGCTACTTTTGCTGCTCACGGTTCTCCTTGCTGGAGGTTCTGAAATGTGGAAGCAGCAAAAGCACTGCCTTTACCAAAATAACTGCCTCCACCCAGGGACATAGTGTCAAGGCATGGTTGGTCAGTATTGAGAGTTAAAGTTGGAAAATAAAAAAAAAACTGGTATCTGAGCATTTTTTGTGAAAACAGTGATCACTGATTGATTGCTTTTCATTTAATATTCGTGCACCTGGAAGTGTGTGGGAGGTAGGAGGGTGGATGATGCAAGGTGTGTGCTAATGAGTTCAGCTGGTCAACTCCTTCCTTTGTCAAGATCTAAAATCTCTCCTGGAAGTAATGCCGGCTCTAGACGGGTAGAAAATCGGCCGATTTTTTTTTTTTTTTACCATTGATGGTAACGTCGGCCACTTGAACAACCGATTTTTCGTTTTTTAAAAGAAAAATCTGCAGTTTTTCTCCCCATCTATGGCCTGCATAAGGCAGAAGTAATGGAGAAGCGTTTTGGACAGCCATCTGGACACTGACATAAAGGTAGGTAGAGAAAATGGAAAGCATTTGAATTTCTGCAAAATAAGTAAATTATTGCTATATTGGTACATAGGGGAGCTGGAATGTAGAACAAAAAAATGGTGAACATATCCTTTAAGTTGGTGACAAGGTCTCTTTAAATAGGTAATTTGTACTTTTCAGAGGAAAGGGTTGCTGTAAAGTGTCATCGGCTCTGGTGCCAGCTGCCCTTGTGTGACTTTTCATAATTTTAGTGGAGCTTTTTTGTTCCCTTTTTTCGCCCTTCTGTTTCCACCACTATATGGTAATAAGTCCTTACTCAAAAAGAATGATATTCTATCAGAACAGTAAGATGCAAGCATGTATAACTGAAATTTGTTTTTATTAGGTGTCCACTCTGTGAAGGTGATGTATGATGATGAATCGGTTCCCAAAAGCCCATTTAAGGTTGGCGTAACAGAAGGCTGCTATCCCTCTCGTGTAAAGGCACAGGGGCCTGGGCTGCAGGAGGCTCTTACAAATAAGCCAAATAAATTTTCTGTAATCACAAGGTAGAATAAAAAGCTTTACCTTGTATTAAATATCTATTTAAGCATAATACACATTTTGTTTTCTTATTGTTGGATAGAGTGGAAAAGCATTCGTTTCTTTTGGGTTTGTATTACAGTCCATGACCCCATTATGAACATATTCCTTAACTTCCACCACAACGGCACCCCAGAATAGCAAATAAGATGACCGGGGTCAAAATGTTTTCACCTCTACTGAGAATTTTTTGCTGCTGTCTTTGTCCTCAGTGGTGAGATTTTTGTTATCCCTTGCTGACCCTGTGTGTGGGAGGAAATCTCCCCAGTGAGCACACAGGCGGAAATAAAAACCCAACAGAGGTTCAACTTCTCCTTTCTAAAACTAAAAATATCACTTTTTGGTTAGGGTCCTTAAACTGCCACCTCCTGCTTCATGGAGTTGAGCATTTAATTTACAGAAATACACATCCCTTATCGTTGTGCCATTTCTGCCTGATCAGATAAGTATTAACAGCCATGCAAAAGATATATAGAAGTAGGTTTTATATCAGTAAACGTGATGTGTTACGTGTCAATTTTACTTGGCGCACTATATTTTACTAAGCTATACTGCACTTATGTAGAAAAATTGTGCTTGAATTGATCAGGTGGCTTTTTGTATGAGGGCTGTGCAAAAGTAATTCAGAAATGGCCTTTCTTTCTCGACCTTTCTTTCTCCCTCTTTCTTTCTCCCCTTTCTTTCTCCCTCTTTCTTTCCCTCCCTCTTTTTCCCTCCCTCTTTCGCGCTCCCTCCCTCTTTCGCGCTCCCTCCCTCTTTCGCGCTCCCTCCCTCTTTCGCGCTCCCTCCCTCTTTCGCGCTCCCTCCCTCTTTCGCGCTCCCTCCCTCTTTTTCGCGCTCTTTCTTTCCCTCCCCTCTTTCTTTCGCGCTCCCTCCCTCTTTCTTTCGCGCTCCCTCCCTCTTTCTTTCGCGCTCCCTCTTTTTCTTTCGCGCTCCCTCTTTCTTTCTTTCGCGCTCCCTCTTTCTTTCTTTCGCGCTCCCCTCTTTCTTTCTTTCGCGCTCCCTCTTTCTTTCTTTCGCGCTCCCTCTTTCTTTCTTTCGCGCTCCCTCTTTCTTTCTTTCGCGCTCCCTCTTTCTTTCTTTCGCGCTCCCTCTTTCTTTCTTTCGCGCTCCCTCTTTCTTTCTTTCGCTCTCCCTCTTTCTTTCTTTCGCTCTCCCTCTTTCTTTCTTTCGCGCTCCCTCTTTCTTTCTTTCTTTCGCTCTCCTTTCTTTCTTTCTTTCTTTCGCTCTCCCTCTTTTTTCTTTCGCTCTCCCTCTTTCTTTCGCTCTCCCTCTTTCTTTCTTTCGCTCTCCCTCTTTCTTTCTTTCGCTCTCCCTCTTTCTTTCTTTCGCTCTCCCTCTTTCTTTCTTTCGCTCTCCCTCTTTCTTTCTTTCGCTCTCCCTCCTCTTTCTTTCTTTCGCTCTCCCTCTTTCTTTCTTTTCTTTCTTTCGCTCTCCCTTTCTTTCTTTCTTTCGCTCTCCCTCTTTCTTTCTTTCGCTTTCGCTGATCTCCCTCTTTTCTTTCTTTCGCTCTCCCTCTTTCTTTTTCTTTCGCTCTCTCCCTCTTTCTTTCTTTCGCTCTCCCTCTTTCTTTCTCAGTGTGCCATCATGGAGTTCTTGATGGAGGGGCACAGGCTGTCCTACATACATCCACTGAATTCTACAGAATGTTTTACTAAGATGACAACATTGAGAAGAGCAGTGTCAATGGTGTAATCCCTGGAAACATTCTGTATCCTTCTGTGGATATTGGACAGCCTTCACCCCTCCATCAAGAACTCCATGATGGCACATTGTTTCTGCTTGAAATCCATTGCAGTAATACCTCGGTTTAGGAATTTAATTTGTTACGCAGGAGTTTTCTTATAGCGAAAAATTCTTAAACCAAAACGCCGTTTCCCATTGGAATGCATTGAAAACCAATTAATCTGTTCCGGAGATCAGAAAAAAGTAAAAACTAATAAATACCGCATGAGTTATTTTATCAAGTCATGTAGTGACAACCATGTGTTAATATTTCAGCTGTCAGTGGGGTTCCCCACTGACAGCTGAATGTAAAAGAATTGCCGGCAATTAAAATTTTTTTTAAAAAACTGCGTGGGGTCCCCCTTCCCCTCCATTCCAAGCCCTTCGTGTCTGGTATGGATTTTGAGGGGAACTCCCACGACAAAATTTAAAACAAAATGGCGTGGGGGTCCTCCCCAAAATCCATACCAGACCCTTTTTAGAGTATGCAGCCTGGCAGGTCAGGAAAGGGGGGGGGGGGGGCAAACAATGTTTCTTTTTAGTTTCTTAAAAGAAACAACATTTCCGTTCACTTTGGGGAAAGTGACAGCTAATTCTGTGAGCTATAGTGAAGAAAAATAAAGCCAGCAATTGCATTTAAAAATCAGCACTGATATACACTTTGTATTGCGAAAAAAATTCATACAAAATTTGTAAACTGAGGCATTATTTTAAGTGGATTTTCATTTGTAAACCGAAAATTACTTTAACCGAGGCATTCTTAAACCGAGGTATTACTGTATTTACCTGCAGTGAAAAAGAACAGCAACTTGTTACGTTAATAAAGAAATTGTGTACTTTTGCATTACTTTAAGTACATCCCTTGCAAAATTGCCCAGCCTCCAGAAGTCCTAGGGTAACCATAAACATGAGATTGGTTGGTCAGGTGGTATTAGCAGAGTCTGCAGACTTAAATTAATATTGTACTATTGATAGGTCTGTAAGTAACTTGGAGCCATGTCAGACAGATTTGTAGCAGCGATTCCTCAGAGCTGCAATTCATAGTGCCAGCTATTAACAGCAACAAATCGACTATAGCTATTAAATCACTAGCTACAAATTGCTAAGAATAGACTTGTTGATGCAATAGGTTGTACTAGTACTACATCATTAGGGTGACCTGCTCTCCTTCAGCAATTTGTGGCTAAGCCAATGTCTGACATGGCCCTTAGGACTCCTTTGGAATCTAATACTCATTATTTTGTTTGTACGTTTGTTTTTCGTTCTATTAAACCGATTAGCCCTGGAATGTATGGTCCTCTTTTCACTTTTTTCCCAGTATTGTCGTATTACTGTTGCCCTTTGTCAGTTCATAATGGTCTGATTAATCACCACAAGCAGTTTTTTTTTTTTGTGCTTTTTTTTAAAGGTTTAGTAGACTTGTGTCGAAAAACAGAACTGCCCAAAGCGTAGGCAAAGTGGTTACTATTGATGACAAATATAGGGCAAAGGTATTGCTCAGTTTAGTAGACTTGTGTGCCTTTAATTTACTTTCTATATTCCACATCACTAATCTAAGAAAGCAAAAAGGTAAAGCTGTCTGATTTAAAGCTGGTCATGAAAGATTGTAAAATTCCCCTGCAGATTTATCAACCTCTGTATAGTACAAGGGCATAAATCACATTTAATGTGTGATTAACGTACCAATTGTACATGTAGATCTGCAGCCTTGTCTTCTCCTACAGCCTTCTAAAACACACGGGTTTATTTACTAAAGCTGGAGAGTGCAAAATCAGGCTCACTTGTTCGTAGAAACCAATCGGCTTCCAGGTTTTATTGCCAAAGCTCAATTTAAATAAGCTGTGGTTAGAAGGTGATTGGTTTCTAAACAGAAGTGAGCATGATTTTGCACTCTCTAGCTATAGTAAATAAACCTCACAGTTCAAAGGATATTTCTCAGCTCTAGCGGGCAGTGGCCGGACACCTGACAGCAAACACTGCACAGCATATAGAAGAGAGCAGAGTGTAATCTGAGATCTGAGTGGAGGGAAATGAATTCCCTTAACTTTCAGGCATTTCCTCTCACTTCCTGTTTGGCTATGGGACAGGAAGTGCAGGGAAATCTCCATAATGGGACACAGATGACAAAAAAAATAAAAAAATCTTACAGGGATTATAGTTCTCCCTTGCTCTATCCAAAATGAAAAACGGTATGGCCTCTAGTTCTACTTTAAGCAGTCAGTCGCAGGCTGTGTGCTGTAGCTCCCTGGCAGAGTCTGTCAGAAATGACTCCTGCAGATAGCATATGAACTAGACTGCAGACAATGCTTTGGATTGAAGCAAGTATACACATAGAAGAGTAGGTGGGGTTTTTTTTTTTTTTGGGGGTGGGGGGTTATGTCAGAGGTTTACAACCACTTTAAGCGAATTCTAAATTTAATTTAGAAAGTGTATATACATTCCGAAGTATACAGTCTCTATTCCTCTAACATATGTATGTGATATATATATATATATATATATCATATTGACAACCATAATACACTATTCTACCTCCGTACAAGCTTTCTCAAATGTTAACTTAATTTTTTAAAAATGGTGACATATTTACATTAGAATTTCATCCACAACCGCTTAAAAATAGAATTTTAACAAAAAGCTTTGTAGTAATGTTTTATTCTGGGCACAGTTTGTACGGAATTGATTTTCCAGTTATGATTAATGGTAAACAAGTTTACATTTGATTTTCTGAAATGCCTAGAATACATCAAGGCAACCTTATTACAATGGACAAATAGAACATTAAACTCTAGTTGAACTTGATATTCTTGGTGGGCTGAACAGTGAAGGTGGAGGGGCAGAGAAATAAAACGTTCATCCTGTAATGACATGCTATGTTTTGTTTCAGAGGGGCAGGTATTGGTGGTCTGGGAATTACAGTTGAGGGTCCATCCGAATCCAAAATGTCTTGTAAGGACAACAAAGATGGCAGCTGCAGTGTTGAGTACATACCATACGTCCCAGGAGATTATGATGTCAACATAACATATGACGGGGAGCATATTCCAGGTACTGTGAATATTGCTGGCATCCTTCAATTGGCTATGATTTTTGGCAACATGTCTTGCTGCAAATAGTGAATGAATATCTCAATATGTAAATTATAGACTGAGCTGTGTTAACTCAATAAACAGCAGTGTCTGTGGTCAAAAGCTGCCATTATGTTTTATGGCGCATATATTTGTTACCATGCTTGTGAGGCCAACATGAGCCATTTAAAAATGGACCACTTAAAAATGACCTAAGCTTTCATCTCCTAAATATAGCATGTAGTTTTAGATGTTTTAGTGGTTGTAAGTCTATCCGCAGACCAAACCTCAGTGTTCCGGAGCAGACAGTAAATTTTCCTTTTGTGTGTTAGCTGAAAACTGTTCAGTTAAGTTATATATTGTTTCGTTACCTTCATTTGGGTGAAAGTAGATACGTGTTTTCATCATATGTTTTTTCTTTTTTGGATCAGACATTTGTGAAATACTGTAATTTGTTTTGCTGTATAAGGTACCCATTATTCTTGTCTATAAAAAAATGAACTTTACGTTCTTGCCATCTGAAACACCATTTATATGTTGGCTGTTTTATAGCTTTTTATAAATGAAGGATCCATAGTAGGTGGTCAACTCTTTTTAAAGGACAACTGTACATTTTTGTACAAGTTGACTTTTAAGGGATACCCCTGCCCCCCTGAGTGCAGCTCACCTGGAGAAATACTTATTTTTATCCACAATCAAGATACCTTCACTGTGTAATCTTCCTGGAGGTTTTGCTTCAGAAGGCACCTCAGCTGGGCCCATTTATTCCTATAGGAAGAGCCATGTTCTGCAGGGAAACTGGAGGCTGCTATGAGTACAGCTACCCATAGAATAGAATCGGGCATGGGGTGCATGCATTAGATAAAAAAAAAAAGACTGCAGGGTGGGGGCATGCCTTAAGTGACAGCTTGCACTAAAAGTACAGAGTTGTTTTTGAACCAGATTAAGAGAGCCTATCACCTGCCTCTCATGAAGAATTGTGTGCTTTCCTTGCCAGAGCAGAAGTGGCAGACAGGAAGATTCTCCCCTACCTGAGTTGGGACTGATAATGGGCAAACAGTCATGGCTGCTGGTAAACTTGTCTGTAAATTAAAGGCACCGTCAGAATTACATTAAAAAAATAATGGCTTTGTTGACTGTCTTTTGAGTATCTTTTATGAGCACTGAGTTCAGGCAGAGGATAAGGCAACCTTAGAGCAAGACACTTGAGCATATACCTCTGCTTTAACGGGTAGAATGCAAGTAAATCATAAAAAGCCACTAAACTGTAAGGTAAGGCTGCACTGTTATAACAATTGATCACGGTGTAGTGTACACTGTATAGTGTTGATTGTAATGATGCAGTACTTATTTTTTCTACCTACCTCCTTCTTCTCACTTTAAAAAAAAAAAAAAAAAACCAAGAACCTAGTAATACATTACAGCACAGCCTGACACCAGCAGAGCGATCGATTTAAAAACTTTTTCAATACCACCATCATAATCAGACACCTTGGCTGCCTAAACTTTTGAAACATTGGCATTTATTTTAACAATCGCAAGACTTGCTGGTACTTCAGTTGGGTGCAGCTAAAGAATTAGGTGGTCTTGAATGTCCATAGTTTAAAGGGTATATTTGCTTTTGCTTATAGCTTGGTTTGAACGTTGCTTTACAGGATATAAGTTTGTGTTTCTACATACCTTTACTCTGTTTTAAAATCATTAGATTGTTGATGGCCTTGTCTAATTTTAAATATTACCCTGTGTATGTTGCAGGAAGTCCATTCAAGGTCCCTGTAAAAGATATAGTTGATCCCAATAAGGTAAAAGTTGCAGGCCCTGGATTGGGAAATGCGGTTCGAGCCAAAATTCCTCAACAGTTTGTGGTGGACACCAGCAAAGCTGGCGTGGCTCCTCTTATTGTAGAAGTGATTGGACCAAGAGGTAAGGCTTTCCTATTACATTGGCTACATTAGAGATCATTTTTTGTATTTGGGGATAGACCAAAACCTTTTTTTTTTTTTTTTTTTTTTTTTTTTTCTGATGGAGAAAAACCGTGGAAATTTACTGTAGTTCAAAATGGGTGCATTTTGTCAGTGTCTGCCCACCTGCCATTACCACGTGCTATGGGCCGACCTTGTAAGACTGACATATGGCAATGTCAGAAGGCAGTTGGAAGAGAATTAAGCATTGTCTGCTGTCAACACTGGACTTTTCTACATCAGCGAAAAAGCTGGTGAAAATCTGCAACCTGTACTACAGCTTGTAGTTATGTAAAGTCTGCAAATATACTATCTTGATCTTTGTTTAACCGTCATACCCGTGAATTCATTAAAATGCCTTCTATGCAAACAATGCATTTGTGTTTAGTTGTGCCTTATAACAGCTGTTTTTGTGTTTTTTTTTTTTTTTTTTTTTTTGTTTTTTCTCTTGGAGAAAATGGTTAGCCCCCCCCCACTTTCTTTTTTTTTTTTTTTTTTTTTTTTTTTTTTTTTTTTTTTTTCTTCTTCAAACATTGCACCAAAACTGAATGCAGTCTGTAAGTAGTACTACACTCTGCCACACATTGATAGCAGGGGATGATTTTGTTTGTTCCTCTTAATGTGCTTTTACATCATCTGGTCCACGGGTATGAGATCGGCACACTACTACGAAAAATGTTTTTTCTTAAGATGGATCTTATAACACTATTTATTTCTAGCTGATGAGACAGATTCATTATCGAAACGGAGTCCATTGAGAGCCATTTCAAATTTCTTTAAAGGTGACTTCAAGCGAGATGCAAAAGAGCCAGGTTTGGAATTTTTGTCATCTGCTCCAGGAAAAAACATGGAGATTCAATCAAGTCTTGATTGATCTTGCTTGATCTTGCTTCTGGTTGCTTTTCCTTAGACCTAAATCATAGGTTTACCGCCTTAAATCTTCCAATTTTCACAGTTAAATGATTTTTCTTGCAAATGAAAAGGTGCATTCTCACACCTGTAACAAACATTTGTCCATTGTTCCGAGACTGTCTAAAAATGTAGGGGGCAACTGTCCTCTCAGTTTGGTAGAACTGTATTCTCATATTAGCCCAACAGAATTTGACTTCCAGTTTCTAACCTACAGTATACTATTAAATTAAAAATTAAAATCTGATTGGTTGCTGTGATCAGCACTGCAGTTATTTTTTTTGTAATACTTGGCTGGTTTAAAAAATTTTTTAGTGCTGCAAAATGGTTACTTTTACTGTACATCAGGAGCCAACTTTGGAAACATCACAGAAATGAGATATAAAGAATACAATAGATTCAGCTAAACTGCTATGTGCCTATTTGCTACCATCATGCACTGACTGTCGGCAACGAGGACTGTATTTGTGTACGCCCTAGGCGTTCACAGAATGTACACTTATCTACCACATACATACTTTTTATAACATATTCGCTTATATAGTCTCTCCTAATGTTTGGCAGCAGTATTATCCAGCGTTCACATCACATCTCATCAGTTCGGTGTACAAGTCTTTCTGTTGCATTACAGTACCTTGTCAAGTGAACAATAGAGGATGCTAATTTGTAAGCTGGACTAGTATCCTGCCTACTTCACTAGAAACTATTGATGTGCCTGTAGGATGAGGCTTATTATATTAACACTGGCTCCAATGGCTTAGCCTGGAAGGTAGATTCTTTGAAATAAAAATAAATTAAATTGATGAAAATGGTAAAGACATAGATATGAGCTTGTGAGTATTGGGACTACAAATTCCCTTGTATCATACAATCAATGTGCTTGTGCAGTCAGATATTCACTGCATCATAAAAGACACTTGGAAGTTTCATAATCCATAAAACCTAAAATTAAAGCTCTTCTTGATGCGATAGCATCCAATCAGATTTACTTTTCATGCAAACATTGTATCTTAAAAGATGCACAGCAGAATCACATTCCTGCTATTAGCTACAAGAAACCTTTTTACAGATTATGAAGTCCTTAATGCACACTTGGCTAGCTCATGTAATTCCTTTCTGTCATCGGCACTGGAACTTAGCACACTCTCCCCCATCCTTTCCCTGAATGCTGGGCTCCTTGGCTCCTTTGAATACAAGCCGTGATCTACATCAATAGACACTTTCCTGTCGATGGGCAATTTAGCTTGTGTTACAGACCCCGTGGGAACGCACCTGAGATGCAGCAGGCTATCCTGTTGAATGGTATCAGTTGACAAGAACTATACAGATGATTGCTGTTCTGAACATGGAACAATCAGACCCTTGTATGCTGGAATTACCAACCATACAAGATTAGGAAGCCAAAAGAAAGTTCTGATATGTTGGGAGAAATGAGTAGTGTAGAGTGCTACAGAATGTAGTTGACCTAGTCCGCAAGTCAACTTTGTGAAGATGTGCTTTATCCTAGGTCAGGGTTTCCAAAACCAGTAAGGTTTTACATCATCACCAAGTATTTTTTTTTTTAGTCTGTTATCCCTTTAGAGAAATGCACTCATTATTTTACCTATAATTCTGTGAAGGGTACATATCATGTAAAGTACAGAGCATGTAGTATACTTTGTAGCCCTGAAATCTTGATACACCTGCCCATCTCCCTTCTCCCTGAATACGAGGTTTTAAAGTCCTGACATCAGGTGGCATATAAGACCAACTTTGGGATGGTTATGGCCTTTCCTTAGTCCACCTTGTGTGTAATACATGGAGCCTGGACTTACAATTACCGCTCATTGTAATTCCCAACTTAATGTGCCAGAAGGCAGGTGCTGGCTCCCCTGAGCAGGAAGCTGTCATATTTAGTAGTTGTAGTAATATTGTATGCTCGGGTGAGCACCCATTAGTTTGTGCATTCACTGAATCTCCTGAACAATGGGTGAACCTGCAGCTCATCCCTAGAGAGTAGAGGAATCTCCATATGCTTTGAACACTGTGCAGACAGAGGTCTCTGTGATCAAATGTCCTATAGTGTTGACTATTTTCTCTATTTATCAAATGTTCTTTAACTCTTCTGGTCAAATGTTCCCAATACTATTTTCTCTTAGGACCCAATATTAGGGAATGTTACATTTATTTAATGAAAGGCAAAAAATGGAAAGTGACTACACATTACAAACATGACTTTTGCTGGAATACTGAGGCCTTCACAAAGCAATTTGTTTTTTTTTTTTTTTTTTATTTTGTAAAGTTTTTATTGTAGTTTTATAAAACACAGATACATAAAGTTTACATGATGAAAAATCTGTTGCTTCAATTCAAGGGACAAGTTACAACAGCCCAGAAAGCGTCAAAAGTATTAAAAAACAAAACAAACATTGCAAATAAGTTTTAACCTGGGAGTAACAGCGAAAAATGTGCTGAAGTACACATGACACACAACTGTAAAAGCTCATCCACTTTGATAAAGTGTCTTGAACCAATTATTGGTAATTTATTATATATTATTGCATAGATAATTTAAAGTGCAGTGCTGTTTACAAAAAAGCAAATTAAAAGATGCAGTAAACAAGAACATAAGTCCCAAAAGGGTCCAAAAAAAATATCTGTGCCACTTCCTAAAGTGCTCAGGAACACAGACTTTGTGATATCCTCCTTCTACTGACAAAAAGCACACAAAGCCTGTTGCCAAAAGGTATTGACCCTCCCAAGTAAAGAGTGGCCTACCCCGCGCTTGAAATAGATATTCACAAGATCCAACACCTCCACCAGATCTGGTTTATCCATGTATATCCAACTGGACACCTTCCAAGATGCCTGGGGCTCGCTCCACACACCACTTGGCAAGTATTAAGCTCCCATCAGTAGGCATTCATAAAAAGGCATAACAGCCTCACGGTGCAGTATAAAGAACTTCCACATTTATTAAAAAATGTATCCACTTACATTTCATAAAAACACATGCTCATGTTCTAAAACTCCCATGAACCGATCTCCGGTAAGATGGCCGCGATCCTAAGCGTGATGACATCACATGTCCTGCAACTCTGCCCTAAGCGTTTCATCACACAATGACATCGCCAGGGACTGGTGGTAAGAGGCTTTGTTTGCTTATTGTTGGTGGAAGGAGGATATCACGAAGTCTAGATTCTTGAGCACTTTAGGAAGTGGCACAGATATTTTTTAGTCTTTTTACGTTCTTGTTTATTTCATTTTCTTTATTTGCTCATACTTTTGTAAATTAGCGCTGCTCTTTATATTATGTAGTTTTGAATTTGTGTTCAACAAATTTCTTGTTTAGCTGTTATCATATTTATATCCAGGCATGGGTATAGTTACATTTATTTTATGATATAATATTTTAAAAAAGGCTGAAAAAAATGCGCAAAACAGTTCCATGAGGGTTGTGGCATCTGCCCCACCACAGGACATTCTGTATGGTGAAAGCGCTTAGAACCCTAAAACAAGGTGGCAGATGGGAGTAAGGGGAAAGGAAAAACGGGGGGTTGGTGGGTGGTAAGGGGGGGAGTGAGGCTTAGGAAAGGCCACCCAGCTACAGTCACATTTTTTTACAGATTTGAAAATGCCAGTTTATTACCCTGAAAGGAAAAAAAAAATACAGGCATTAGATGGACTGTCTTTTGTGTAAGCTGAGCAGTTGAACATATCATACTGTAAGTAGTTAGAATGCTGCTGCAGTGCATTATATTTCATCTTTATATCTTTAGAAATGCTTTTTTCTTTAACTTGGGATAGCTTGCTGCTTCCTGCAAAATGCTGATTACTTGGTTTAAGGGCTTTCTTTCAAATGATCATCTTTCTCTTGATTTTATTTGGGCTAATTTAAAATGTATGTATAATGGATACACCTAATAATACTGAGGACTGCGCATTATAAACAGTTGGGTTAAAACCAATGTTCAGGAGTCCTTTCCGGATTTTGCAGCAGCCTCTCCCAGTATTATTAAAGTTAATGCTTTTTCCTTCAAAAATGTCATCTTACATCAGCTAAGTGTTGCTACTACAACTTATACTTCATAGTTTTTAAACTGAACATTTTCTTTTCTGACCTCTTCTTGAAAGATGCTCTCCATTCATAAACGTAGTCCATTTATTTCTCTATTACTTTTGGATTTCCAAAAATTCAACTGGCCTCTTTTACCAGTGGAAAATGCACAGTGAAAAATGCCAATTATTTTCACATATTAGCTTTTAGCTATTAAAGTGACACTAAATGTTATAAGCCAAAAATCCATATACAGTGTATCCACTACTTCAATGGCTCTGTAATCTTCTTTTTTTTTTTTTTTTTTTTTTTTTTTTATATGAAATTGTTTCTTACTGTCTTTCTGCCTCCTTGCCATGTCCTCCATGAGATGTCAAACCTCTTTTTCCCTCCTCATTTCCAGTGGTTTGGAACAACTAGTGCATGTTAGTTGCAGTCATGAGCACTGCTTTATGCACACTAATCATCCCATAGTCAATCTTGGGAGCCAGCAATAGAAGGTGGGACATGTAGAAGAAACTTAGCCACCCTCTCACAGATTACAGTAGCAAATCCGATTACAGTAGCAAAAAAGGGAATGTGGAGATCTTGAGGAAGGTGAAGGCAATAGGGGGAACTTTTTACAGTGATAATACAAGAATAGAATCTTTTTTTTTTTTTTTTTTTTTTTTTTTTTAAACCAACGTTTAGTGTCACTTTAAGTATATTGGCTTTTTTCATTGTCAATGTGCAGTCTGAAACTGAAATCTGAATGTTGTTGGCCACAGCTCCACTTCTCTGCCCATGTTTAATAAATGGGCCTTTTCTTTTTTTTTTTTTTGCTATGAAAGGTTGGAAAAGAATTATTCCTTTTAAAATTTCCTGGAGCACTTCTCAGTATTGTAAGAAATAATTCATAAACTTTGTCATCCTTGTGTGACACAGAGATAGATGTGTGGAAAAGCCTAAAAATGACATACTAAGCTTTTCAAAGTGTGATGGGTAGTTTTAAGATGTTTTACAGTTGCCAGGTTCATTATTTTTGTCACTGGTAATGATGGGATACAACATATTGTAGAGGATTCTTTATATCACATCAGTTGTATTCAGTGCACACATTTCGACATCCTTTTCTTTTTGTTGCCAGTGTATTATTGGCATGTGAGATTTCGACACCCCCCTTCCTTCATTGTGAATGGGCTGAAGTTTTGTAAACACTAGTGGTGTTTACACTTGTAAGTGCTGTGATTGGTTCACAGCTATCACAAGGTACAGAGCCAGTCCGATTGGCTCTATACATTGTGCGTGTGATCTGAGCTGTAAACAGCTGTTCATGGAGTGCATTGGGTTGCTTGTGTTTTCTGCTGCACCATTTTTAATCGTTCTCTCAGAAAATAGCATCCACCTTTTCTGCCTTTACTTATATTATGGCAGTATTAAGGTGATAAGGAAAGAAAAATGTCCAAGTGTAGAAATAGGCCTGCACACTGTTGAATGTTATCCAAAGTAACAACGCTGCAAGGACTTGCTTCAGCTCAATCTCCTCCAATAAGATGTGCCCCTATGTTGCACTTCACTTGGATAAGGCTGAATCGTAGAGCACTTCTTTGATAAAGCCCTATCCAGGTAAAACCCATCAGAGGGGCTAGTCTTATGGGGGCAGATTAAGGTGAAGCCAGTCCTTGGATCGTTGTAACCATGGCTAACATTCAACAGTGTGCAGGCCTGTTTCTATACTTAGAGATCTGTTAAAGAGCGAGATATTAGGAGATTGACACCTGACGTGTAGCAGTTTGAGCCAGCGAGTTAAGTGAACAGCGGCATTTGAGCGGGGCTGTTTTCTATTTTGAAGGATAGAAAAATGGATTTAATTTTTCAATTTGGATAAATTTAAAAGTTTTGGGTTTAATATACAGTTTGGGGAAGGCTAATTTTTAACAAATTACCAATCTGAGAAGAATCCGGGTGTACCTGGAGACAACAAAAATCAAAACTGCGTGCAATACCATTCTTCCATTTCCAGATAGCAGAGTACTTTTCTTATAATGGAGTCATCCAGTTTGAGAGGGAGACATGATTTTGCCCCCCCATACAGGGAATAAGTAAGGCCTCATTTCATGTATGCAGGTCAATAATTATTATGGGTAGTGCAGAGAAAAGCATCCATATTCAATGAATAGAATATAAAGAACTTCCTTACACAAACGGATGGATTGATCTGAAAACATTCACATTCAAGGAAGGGGACTATGAGCTTTTTTTATTTGACTATGGTATTTGTCTATATGGAACATTTTGTGGATTTTTGTTAAATTTTAAGGTATTTAAAATACACAGGCATTCCTCCATGATCTGAAGAAAAAGGAGTTTATTGTGAAAAATGAGTCTGAGTAGTTCACAGTAGCTGTGATACCAGATACTGTAGTTTGTTTTTTATAGTTAATTTTAAAAGTAATCGTAGTATAGTTTACTGAAAGAATAAAATGGTTTACATGTTATAAAAAAAAGCATAGAACTTTAAACCAAGGACTTATATGGATGCTTTTGATGGCAATTCATCTTCCGTTATGCCAATTTGCCCACACCTTTTTTAGCTTCAGTTTAAAGAAGTTTTTTTTTTTTCAGCTGGACTTAGAAATTCTGTAACTAATTTGCTGTGTCTTCATAGGAGTTGCAGAACCAGTTGACATTACAGAAAATGGAGATGGGACACACACGGTGGCGTACACACCAAGCGTTGAAGGTCCTTATACAGTGTCTGTACAGTATGCTGATGAGGAGATTCCTCGGAGGTAAAAAAAAAAAAAGCTATATTTCTCTTCTTTTTAGTCTTAGGAATGGGACATTTATTTCACTTTTATGGAAAACATGACTGCCCATTTACAGTAGAATTGAATAAAAAATGTTAACCTATTATTGTACACAATCTGTATGTAGCCCTACCCCTTGAAGAGCCGCTTGATTTATTGTATGTTTTCTGTTCCCCGACTCCAAGAACAACCTCAGTCCTCTGACACACCTGTCTAAATAAGATAACTGTGAACACAAGTGCTAAAGACACCAAAAAGGAGTAGATTTACAGGATAATATTTTACTAGACGATAAAGTCAACAGGTAACAGAAATGTAAACACTGGGTACTCCCCAATTTATAGGGTTTAGCATTTAACAGAGTTGCAAAGATATGCAATAATGACCATAACAATGGACCGGACTGTAGGGCCAACAGACCCTAGGTGAACCTATGATGCCAGGAGCAAGAGGGGGAAGTAAGACCTTTTTCAGTCAGCTCCCTCTAAGCCCTGATGCCGCAGGCAAAAAAAAAGACAGTACAATATATGAAACCTGGGTAAGAGTTCCCCTTTAAGATAAACAGTTCTATTAGGAGGAGAAACGGCTACCTAGTGACATACTTTGCAGGCTGAATTCTTTGAGTGGAGGAGTCCTTGAGGTAAAGATGTCCATGGTTTTCAGCTAGCTATGAATGAGCCCAAAGGTATTACTTTGCTAGAAAATACCTTGTCTATTCTATTCACTTTGCTGGTTTCCATTGCAAATGAGTCTTTAAGTGGAAAAGGGGGGAGGGGGTATAGTAAGAGTAAGGTGGGCCTCAGCCTGCTCACCAATATTGGAGATCTACAGGCTCTCTGATGAAGTGTGTCCCAGAAGAGGCTCTTGAAGGTCTGCAGCCGGATGAAAGATGACCATTTGGCAACCTTATGTCCCAGGGACTCGGCGATGTCTGTGTGGGCATATCTGGAGGTAGCCCAAGTAGCTGCACTGCTAAGGTGCCTATGCTGTAAATCTATGGTGTCTATGGCTGTAGATGCCCACACACAAAGGAGGGGGGAGGGGAATAGCCTCTTGCTCCTGCAGCTGTGGATCTCACATCCCTTCCACACAGTCTTCTCTCTCTTCTCCTCTGCCTGATGGCCATGGGCAGCCAATGACTGGGAAGGGAGATAGTAGGCAGTGATCCTCACTGTGAGGACAGGGGAGGAGCTGACAGCTCTCCTGCTGCTAACTGCAGCTCGAGCTGGGGGAGACAGTCTCTCCTCCTAAGACCATCTCCTATCATGTGCCGGTGGGGAGGAAGAAGTCCCTTGCATAGCAGGTGGGTAGAGAAGGAGACAGATCAGCAGGTAGCACCTTCTACATATATATCAAAGTTCCTATCAGGATGCCCTGTGTTAAGAATACCTAAATAAACATCATCCCATTGACAGCTACGAGCTGACGCATTTCACAGCTGCTAACTGTCAATCCCGGCTACCAAAGATGGCTTTAGCCCTCAGTAATAATAGGGAACCAGTCAGTGGTTTCCAATCAGGTAATCGCATGTGTGAGCTATGTGTGATCTCATGCAAACTGAAAGCTTCTTTCAGAAGTGGCCTTAGCTTGCATTGACCATTGCAGTCTGAAAAAGGCCGCATGTCTGTTTAATACTGTGACAGATGCAGTTATAGTATTAAAAATTGTGTACTGTATGTACGTACTGTATATAATTTTTATGCTTCTCCATCCCTTTCTGTACACATGCTGATTTGCCCAGTTCATAGGGAAGCACAATCAGAATTTATACATTTTGTGATTCTCAGCAGATTAGGATATTTGTTGGTCTATTTCAGATCCTAACCCTTCTCCATTTTAAATTGCTTGTTATTGCTGTTATAGTCCCTGCTGGAGAGATTCTCATGTCCTGCCCAAGTGGAGGGGTTATGACCCTTACTGTATTCAAAATGAAGGAAAAACTGTTTGGTTATAGTTATACCGAATAGTGTTGACTACACAGATATACATATCAATTATTGTACTTAAACAGAAAAAAAATAAAGTCAAATCTAATAAACCACATGTGTGTTGAAACAAAAGAAAAGCAATGCTGATTTATTGGATTTGGTTTTACTATATTTGTTGTTTTTTAATTTATATTTGCAGAGTCAACATAATTCGAGTTTCCCGGTGTTCAGAACCAAGCCAGGTGTGGTGCCTTGTCCCATCACCTTAGTGTACATGTGTATCTTGGCACTATTGTTAGTGGATGATTGGTGGTATACAGAATTGCATCACTACAAAAACTAGATCATGCAATTTTCGTGCTACCATGTTGGTAAAATATTAGTAGGAGGGTGTATTTATAACAACCTTTAGAAACCTTTTATCTTTCACTGCTTTTATAGGCACCATTGAGAAATTCGTTTTGCATTGATGGGAAAGTCTCAACTGGAGAAGACTAGTATTTCTTCAGCATTATATTCGTGTTTTAAATAACTAATTTTCCCTATGTTTTCAGCCCTTTCAAGGTTAAGGTTCTTCCAACCTACGATCCCAGCAAGGTGACTGTAAGTGGTCCTGGGCTCAGCTCTCAAGGGGTCCTGGCCAGTCTTCCTGTGGATTTTGCAGTTAATACCAAGGATGCAGGGCTAGGAGATCTTTCTGTCCTTATTACTGTAAGTCAAATTCAATGGATTTTTGTTGGTTGCCTACTTTGGTTATTCCTGTATACCTTACTTGCCAATATCGGACATCTAGCTGTGTAGTTTATCAATTTTTTGATAGTCTAGATCAGTATCCCATATACGGTGCACAGTAATTGCAGGTTCTCCCACTGTCTCCATTTTGGGTTGGCTAGGCTTGCTCTGCTTCCGAACTTAATTAATCCTGTTTGCTATATTGATTTACGTGGAGGGTTATTGTATATCAGAAGAGTGTGACTTTTGCTAAACCTTCTCTGGTGGAGAATCAATCCCTGCCATTTAAAACACATTGACCTGGCAGATTCACCTGCTGAATGACAGATTAATTGCTTTATAAATATGCTCCAAAGTATATTGAGATCTTAAAATACAAAAATAGGTTTTCACTTTGCTAATTATTCAATGCTAGATAGATGAAAATGTTGGGAAAAGGAAACATTTTACACAACTGCCCTTTCTTATAAGTACCCCTCAACTGAGTTGTGTGTATCTCTCTCTCTCTCTCTCTCTCCATTAAGTCGTATCCAACCCTTGGCGATTGCATGGACTGTCACTTGTAAGCAACTTTTTCCATGAATTCTCTTAGCAATTATTTTACAGGGTAGGTTGCCAGGTCTTTCCCCAACCCCCACCATGCAGGAGATCCTGCATGGCCAGGGATGAAACTAGGACCATTTAGACAGGAGCCAATTAACCTACCAGCATGTCTTTGGAGTGTGGGAGGAAACGGGAGTACCCGGAGGAAACCCACGCAGGCACAGGGAGAACATGCAAACTCCATGCAGGAGGCGCCATGGTTGGGAATTGAACCCATAATAATATATATCTATCTCTTTTGTATAACTTCCTGAAATTTTTGATAAAGCAGTAGTAAGTTCTGATTTACAATTGTACGTACAGGTAAGCTTATACTAAGTCTTATCTGTAGGTACTGTGAATATCTCCTAAACATGTGCTGATAAGGAAATATTCACACCAGGGGCTGACTGAGAACTCATGGGGCCCCTGGGCAATAAGATATTGGAGGCCCCCTGTGTCTCTGCCTACATTCAAGCCAAAGCCACACCCACACAACAACCCACCTACGTATTACAGCTCAGCTGTATAGAAAGGGCATTAAAAATAATTTAAAAAAATAATAAAAAAACGTTGTGGGGTCCCTCCTCCATCCATACTAAGCCCTTCGGGTCTGGTATGAGTTTTGAGGGGAACCCCCTCGCCAACATCTTTTAAAAAGTCGTGCGGTGTCCCCCCAAGATCCATACCAGACCCTTATCCGAGCATACAGCCCAGCAGGTCAGGAAAGGGGGGGGGGGGGAAGGAGCGAGCACACCCCCCCCCCTCCTGAATCATACCAGGCCACATGCCTTCAACATGGGGGGTGCTTTCGGGAGCTTTCCACCCCCCCCAAGCAGCTTGTCCCCATATTGATGAGGACAAGGGCCTCTTCCCCACAACCCTGGGCTGTGGTTGTGGGGGTTTGCAAGCAGGGGGCTTAGCGGAATCTGGAAGAATGTCCCCCGTAGTAGATACCACGTCAATCACGATGCCAGCCACACCTGCTACCCGAAAAAAAAGAAGAAAAAAAAAAAAAGGCTCCGCTCCCCGTCGCTGGCTCCCAGCTTTCTGCCTTCTCCGCTGGCTTGACAGTTCTTAAATATGTAACGGGCGGGGCCACCCAGTGACATCACACATGTGGCCCCACTTCCTTGTGACATCATTGACCCAGCATGCCCCGGTTGATGACGCCACAAGGAGGTGGGGGCCACACGGGTGATGTCACTGGGTGGCCCCGCCCCTTACATATTTAAGAACTGTCCAGACAGCGGAGCAGGCAGGTGGCATCCTGATTGACATGATTGACGTTGGATCTACTTCGACGGACCTTCTTTTATTTTTCTTCTTTTAATAAAGGACTTGTCAAAGACTGTCTCCTGTCCTTTTTTTTTTTTTTTTTTTTTTTTTTTCTTTTTCTTTCCCCCACACTACTTTTTTTTTTTTTTTTTTTTTTTTTTTGTCGATTGGGTAGCGGCATCATATACCCCATACTCATTCACGGGGGGGGGGGGGGGGGAGGGTATGGGGGCCCTCCTTGTTTAAAGGGTGCTGCCAGATTCTGATAAGCCCCCCCCACCCGTAGACCTCCACAACCACCGGCCAGGGTTGTGGGGAAGAGGGAAGAGGCCCTTGTCCCCGTCAACATGGGGACAAGGTGCTTTAGGGGGGGGAGCCCCCTCTGCCTCAAAGCACCCCCCCATGTTGAGGGGGACAAGGGCCTGGTATGGTTCAGGAGGGTGAGGCCAGGCCTTTCCTGCATGCACGAATAAGGGTCTGGTATGGGTTTTTCGGCAAGGGACAAGGGCCTGGTATGGTTTCCTGACCTGCCAGGCTGCATGCTTGGAATAAGGGTCGGGTAAAGATTTTGGGGGGGACCCTACACCATATTTTTGTTCTTTTGTTGGCATGGGGTTCCCCTCAAAATCCATACCAGACCTGAAGGGCTTAGTATGGATGGGGGGGGACCCCACGTCGATTTTAAAAAATTTTTTAATTGCTGGCAATTCTTTCTTTTTCATTCAGCTGTCAGTGGGGAACCCCCGCTGACAGCTGAAACATTAACTCATGGTTTTCACTACTAAAATACTGCATGACTTGATAAAATAACTAATGTGGTATTTTAATAGCATTTTTTTGTGAATTCAAAGTTTTTTTTTTTTTTTTTTTTTTTGTTAAATGCTATGCGGTATCCTGCTGCATACTCAGATGTGGTAAGCTACCACTTAGCGAATTGTGTCCAGTGAGCCTCTCACCGGGCCCCTACTGACCCCGAGCCCTTGGGCAATGCCCGAATGGTCAGTCCGCCCCTGATTCACACCCATTCTAGCTGCTGACATCCCCATGCATGCACAATGATGCTCTGTACACTGAGTGTGCCCTGAATGCAAACTGCCATGCCACAGTAATGACTCCCATGCACATGTGTGGAAGTGATGACATCGCAACCTGGCTATTCAAACAGCCAAAGAGTGTGAACTCAGAAGGAAGACTCAACAAAGTTAGGAGCATCTGCCATAATGTGCTAGTATGTGGTGCATTATAGCAAAACACTGCATCAATCCCATTAAAAAAAATGGTAGTGTCATTTCCTACATTTCAGAAATCTGTTTGAGAATTGGGAGTTCAATCAGGCTTCATGACATTGTATGGTGCTTTCATTCTAACCTGTTTCAAGCACTGGGAGCTAGAAGAAGTCTTTGGGACTGCTTATGCTCTACTCCTCCTGTAAGCTCACCTAAAGTCACATTCCACCTCCGAAGCAAAGCACGAGGCAGGTGTAGAGATCATTGCTGCAGCCCAGAGGGACTGAAACCCCAACAAACAATACTAGTCCAAGTTAGAAAGGCATGCATCGAATATACTGTATGTCCTTGCTAAAACAAAGCTTTTACTAGCACAAACTGTAAAATTGCAGCAAAAAGACGCTCCTGTGTTTGGGTAAACCCCTTCAATCCTGGCATGATTAAGGCTGTTTGCAAAAACCTTTAAGCTGCGTTTTTCTGCCATTTTACCATTGTGCTAAGGTGTTTATAGCAAGGACATATGTCGGGTGCACGCCTTTCTATCTTGGAGGAGTGGAGTATTGGGTAATCTTCCTCAGTGTGTTGATACATTTTCATAGCTCATCTAATTACCTGAAGAAGGTGACATGACACAGGAAGCTGCAGGGTGTGCATACTGGTTTCACCCCCCAGCCATGTTATATTGGGATGTTGATCACAATACTAGCTGGACAGAATTATAATTATTTTGGAAAATAAAAAAAGTGTGTTTTTATATGTATTTGGACTGTGTGAAAAATATTTCATTTTTCATATTTCCCCCATAAAGCAGATGTCTCGAATAACTCGATGTTAGTTGTGAGTGGATGCTAACACAGGATGCAAGGGATTTACTTAGATTCCCTCTTGTTAGTTACAAAGTGTAAATCATAGGACATGAAAAACATTGCTGTTTGTTTAGGGATTAAAATGAAGCATAACTGAGCCCTGGGGGATATGCTCAGAAAACTGGAAGGATGGTCAACGCGCGACATTCTGGGCAAATTCTCAAAACATTCTGGTGTAACTGAAGATGATCATTCCCTGGATTCCAAGGGAGTTGTAATTTTCATTGATGTTTGCTTTATTTTAAGAGTTTGAGTTTTGTTTCAGATTGTATCCTTAACTGTTTGTCATGCAATGAGGTGAATGCCTTTTAAAGGTCTCTACTGAAATCTGAAACTTCAGTCTTTGATAGGTGCTGATGTGTTGAGTGAAATTGTGAGAGCACCCCATTTCCAATCCTGTGCCAATCCCACCTTTTGAGGGCTGTTCTGCTCCTACTGCAGAGGAAGCTCATTCCTGGAGTTGTATTCTCTTCCACATGGGGCACACTCCACCAGCAGTCTGCTTGCTCAGCGAGGGATCTGTCCGCTGATCTCTACTAAACAGGCGGATAACTGGTCTGTGTCCACTCCGCTTATGCAGAGCGGACAGACACAGCCCGCTCTCCTCTGAGCGGTCGAATGTAAACAGATCACCTGTCCCATTTACAGCAGACCGCCATTCATTCTAATCTGCTAGATGGAAGGGGAACACCATCTGTCTGTTTTTAATGGATTAGATGTAGGAGGGTGTAAACAGACGCATATCCAGTTACACCCACAGCTCCATAGAGGAGAATGGAGAGTCTGATCAGGTCCACCTGAAAAGATGATAGTGGACCTGATCAGTCTGCTCATGTGAAATACAGAACAAGTGAAAAACCTGATACTGACAGTGTGGCTTCCTCAATAGGCTGTGGCAGGTGGACAGGTGTTAAGGTTTGGGAACCCAGATGGATAGCTGGCCATAGATGACTTTTTTTTTTTTTTCTTTTGGTCAGCCAGTCGGCCGAACTGGCCAAATTTTGATCTATATCCAGCTTAAGAGTGAAATATGTAAATCAATTATGATTCATTGATCTGACCTTATTCAAACAACACAACTAGATTGCATTTTAATAAGTGTTTTTTTTTTTTTTTTCCTTAATCTTCTTGTTAGGACCAAGAAGGCAAGCCAAAGAAGGCTCAGATTTTGGACAACAAGGATGGAACATACGCAGTATCTTACGTTCCAGATAAAACTGGGCGATATCAGGTTGCTGTCAAATATGGAGGAGATGATATCCCTTACTCCCCATACAGAATCAGGGCAATGCCTTCAGGAGATGCCAGCAAGTGTACAGCAGCAGGTATACAAAGTTCAGTTTGTTATTATAGTGATTAAAAATCCAATTACTCACTGCCTCCAGCAGACCTCCACCTCGGGATCCCCCCGGTGCACATGTATTTTTAAAACCTTTTTAGGGCTCTCTTTCTTGGTGATGGGCAGTCCTCAGTAATGCAGAGTCACATAAAGCGCAGGGTCCTATTCACCTCTTTTACACTGGATGGTCCTCAATAATGCAGAGAGCATATATATCACTATCATTGTACTATTAAGTGCTAAATCACAGAGGTGAGTCTGAGGCGGACAGCTCCAGATGGCAGGTGAGTATTGTATTGAGAGCTGCATTTTTGTAATCAATGTTTTTAGAATTCAGTAGATGTAACCTGTCCTGTGTGTTTTGTATGGTATTGGTGGAGGCCTCCTTACATAGGGAAACATAGGTCCTAAATGTTTTTTTTGATGTCTGGGAATCTTTCATCCAAACCTTGCCTACTGATCTACAGCACAGTGTTTCCAATATACTCAATGGTTCCAGACCAGTCTGCCTACGAATTACCCCCAAATTGATGTTTTACCCCTTGCCTAAATGAAATATATGCTAATGACCAGGGCCTTCCTGCCCTTCTGCAATAGCAAGATCACAAACTGACCGCCATCTACCTAGCTCATATTGCTTACTAGTCACTACAAGACCCGGTGTTGATACCCTCATTGTAACCCATACCATCAAATTGACTACTGTTGTCTTTGTAGTATTCCATTGGACAGATGCTCCAACCACTCTGACAACTGCATTCTCATAATTAAAAATACACTTTTAAAAAGTAACCCTCAGTAGACCTAATATAGCCCCTTTCAAGTTTCATTTCTGCCAACTTAACCCATTGTTTAATTTGTGTTTGCCATGCGTGCTTTTATTGGTGTTAAATGTACCTAATAAAGTGAAAGTACTGTGTTTGTGCAAATATATACATATATAATGATATGCCCACATTAGAGAAGTGTATGTGTCCATAGTAGAGCAGGGGAAAGTAACCCATTTCTCGACATGTTGACAGAGAAATAAATACCTTAGTTATCCCTCAAAACAACAAAGCTCTTTATCCCCGCAGGAAGTCTAGTCAGTACATTAAGTAATCCGGTTGCATTACTCAAAGTATTGGGTTCTTTTGTTCACTTTTGATTGAGTGCAACTCTATCTCAGTGCTCTTTTTTTATTTTTACGACTGTGCTTGTTATTTATTTGAAATCCCTTGTAGCCCCCATTAATATGAGGTTACCTGAGCCCTGTACCTGCTCCTTCCCTTCCTTTCTTTGTGCCCAGCACCTTTGCGGTAATGTGCATTCCTGGGGGATTTCATCACTGGCGTTCATTCTTTGTGATGGGAAATCTTGTTTTGCCCCTGTACTGGTTTAATCTCTAGTCCTTGCATGCCAGTTAGTGAATAGTTTTATTTTGCAATCTAAACAGTTTGTGTGCTTTCAACAAGATGGCAAAAACCCCTTTTGAGTAGTGTTGCAGTATCTGAGAAGTAAAATTTGGCGCCTTTAAATGGCTGTTTAGATTGATGAAGTGTGATTGACACCTATCTAAGTCCCAGATCTCCCATCTAGTGGCACCACTCACCATTCTGTATCTGTTAATTTGGTTGGAAAACCCCCCCGCCTTTGAGAAAGTGAAAAAAACTGGGTTGTCCAGAGGCTGAACTACAGGGATAGCAAAAATCCTCCCTTGCAGTGGGACTGCCCAAGCACTGCAAGGGGTTAATGTATTGTATCTAGAGGACAGGGAAAAGCAGTTTTGCTTACCTGATCCTGCACTCCTGTTGGCTTCTGTATGCTGCAGGACCGGTTCTCCCCAGCTATGTTGTGGCGGTCAGATACCTCTTACATCATGAAGACTGATGCAGGGCCTATATCCCTCCATTGGACATGAGGGACACCAAGCTCCCCCCCTTCTCCCCCCCTCCCCCCCTCTCCCCCCCCCCCTCCTCTTCCCCCCCTCTCTCTCCCCCCCCTCTCTTTCCCCCCCCCTCTCCCCCCCTTTTTCCCCCCCCCCTCTCTCTCCCCCCCCCCTCTCCCCCCCCCCTCCCCCTCCCTCCCCCCCTCCTCCCCCCCTTTTCCCCCCCCCCTCTCCTCCCCCCCCCCTCTCCTCCCCCCCTCCTCCTCCCCCCCTCTCTCTCCTCCCCCCCCTCTCCTCCCCCCCCCTCTCTCCCCCCCCCTCTCTCTCCCCCCCCTCCTCTCCCCCCCTCTCCCCCCCCCCCCTCTCCCCCCTCTCTCTCCCCCCTCTCCCCCCCCCCTCTCCCCTCCCCCCCTCCTCCCCCCCTCTCTTCCCCCCTCCTCCCCCCCTTCTCTCTTCCCCCTCTCCCCCCCCCCCCTCCCCCTCTCCCCCTCCCTCTCTCTTCCCCCCTCTCCCCCCCCCTTCTTCCCCCCTTCCCCCCCCTCTCCCCTTTCCCCCCCCCCTTTTCCCTCCCCCCCTCCCCCTCCCCCCCCCCTCTCCCCCCTCCCTTCCCCCCTCCTCTCCCCCCCCCCTCTCTCCCCCCCCTCTCCCCTATCCCCCTCTCTCCCCCCCCCCCCTAAACCCCTACCCCCCTCTTTTTCCCCCCCCCCTCTCTCTCCCCTCTCCCCTCTCCCTCCCTTCTCTCTCTCCCTCCCCTCCCTCTCCCTCTCTCTCTCTCCCCCCTCTCTCCTCTCCCCCCTCCCCCCTCCCTCTCTCCCCCTCCCCTCCCTCTCCCTCTTTCCCCCCCCTTTCCCCCCTCCCCCCTCTCCCTCCCCTCTCCCCCCCCCTCTCCCCCTTTTCCCTCTCTCCCCTCTCTCCCCTCTCTCCCCCCCCCCCCTCTCTCCCCCCTCCCCTCTCCCCTATCCCTCCCTTCCCCCCTTCCCTCCCCCTCTCCCCCCCCCCCTCCTCTCTCCCTCCCCCCCTCTCTCTCCCCCCCCCTCCCCCCCCTCTCCCCCCTCTCTCCCCCTTTTTCCCCCCCTTTTCCCTTTTTTTTTTCTTTTCCTTCCTTTTCTTTATCCCCTCTTTTTTCCCTTTATTTTTCTCTTTTTTTTTTCTCTTCCTTTTTTTTTCTCCTTCCCCCTCCCCCCTTTTTCCCCTTTTCCCCCTTTTTCCCCCTTTTTTTTTTTTTTCCCCCCCTTTTTTCCCCCCCCCCCCCCCTCCTTTTTTTTTTTTTCCCCCCCTTTCCTTTTTTTTTTTTTTCCCCCCCTTCTCCTTCCCCCCCCATTCTCTCTCCCTTTTTTCCCCCCCCCCTTTTTTTTCCCCTTTTTCCTTTTTTTTTCCTCCCTTCTCTCTCCTCTTTCTCTCCTTTCTCTCCAACTCTCTCTCCTTTTCTCTCTTTCTCTATTTCTCTCATCTCTTTCTCTCCCTCTCCCCTCTCTCTCACCCCCTTCTTCTCCTCCCCCTCTCTCTCCCCTCCTTCCCTCTCTCCCCCTTCTCTCTCCCCCTCCTTCTCCTCTCCCTCCCCCCCTCTCTCTCTCTCTTCCCCTCCTCCTCCCCCTCTCTCTCCCCCCCCTCCTCTCCCTCCCCCTCTCCCCTCCCCCTCTCTCTCCCTCCCACCTCCTTTTCCCTCCCCCCCTCTCCTCCTCCTCCCCCCTCTCCCCTTTTCCCTCTCCCCCTCCCTCCCTCCCCCCCTCCCCTTGCCCCCTCTCTCTCCCTCCCCCCCTCCTTTTCTCCCCCTCTCCTCCCCCCCTCCCCCCTCCTCTCCCCCGCCCTCTTCTCCCCCTCTCTCTCTTCCCTCCCTTCCCCCCCCCCCCCCCCCCCCCCCCCTCCCCCCCCCCCTGTTTCTTTCCCTTGTTTTTTTTGCTTTTTCCTGTTACCCCCCTTTTTTTTGTTTCTTCCCTTTCTTTTTCTTCTTTCCCTTTTCTTTCCCTTTTTTTTTTTCCCCCCCCTTTTTTTTTCCCTTTTTCCTCTTTTTTTCCCCTTCCTCCCTTTTTCCCCCCTCCTTTCCTTAAAAATACATTTCAAATTTACCTGTATGTCTTTAAAAATTCAAATCTACATTTTTGGAATGCATTTACAAATATGTAAAAATGACTTTTTTATATGTTGAAAACAAAAATCTGAATCTATTTTAAAAAAATAAATATTCTGCAGATTTCTTACTAACATATATTAAAGTCATTTTAACATATATTTTTAAAGACATACAGTATATTTGAAATGTATTTTTTAAAATGTTCATATATTTTGTAATAAAAACGTATTTTCAACATGCAGTATATAAAATTTTGAAATATATTGGAATATGGCCAAAATTGTTAGTATTTCAAATATATTTGGGAGGAATATTTTTAAAAATATAATTTTTCATCCATATGGGTAATCTCTATCTTTAACGGCTGTGACAGCTGACCAAACCTGGGAATCCTGGTGGGATTCATTTAGCCAGAAACCACACAAAAATGATGCGTTTTAGGCGGAGTTGGCCTTTTTTCTTTTCTAGGCAGTTGGCTATAAATGAGAAGCCAGGCTAATAGCCTGTGGCCTTGCTGTTTGTTCTACATGATCATTGATTCAGTTGTTTCCTGCAGCAGTTAAGTATCAGACAAAGGAGTATGAGAGCTGAACTCCAGGCAGATATAAGACACAACTTCATGCAGTTCTGTATTCATTAATATATACTTAAAAATATATTTGAAAAGGTATGTAGTGTAGGTACCTGTATGACGTTTTGGCATGTTGCAGTCCCAGTACAACTGAGCTCGAGCTTGGAAGAGAGAAGCAGCCACCTGGAACAGGCTGATAGGTGGAGAGAGCATAATGCTCGAATAGTCACAGGCTGTGGGTGGGGGGGGGACCTGCGAGTATTACTGAACTGCAGCAGCTCAACTTACCTGCTAGACAGGGCTGTGCTGTTGAGAGCTTTTACAGATCTCAGAACTGGATTGACAAATCCTTTGAGCGGTTAAAACAGCTTCCATATATGTACTGTTTCATGTACATATAGGGTCCTGGAGTTCGGCTTCAAAGTGTTACTAAACCCACAACCGTAAAATCAGTCTGCAGTAAAACATGCTTGTTATACTCACTTTGGTACCTAAGGGGTTAATCCTCTGCATTGTGTAAAAAGGCCATTTGATCCTTTCTTCTTCTCTGTTTCCTCCTTTTTTCAAGTGACCACCTCTTATCTCCTGATAAGACAGACTGAACCACAGGCATTTTGCACATGCTCTGTTTTTGGTGTGTATTGCTATAGAGGGTTTTTTTTTTCTTGGGAGAGTGCACGTGATCAGCACAGGGCCAATCAGCACTGATCAAGCAGCGGTCAGGGTTTTTGCATCCTCCTAGAGTAGAAAGAAAACTCCTTCTATAGCTTTAATCAGTGCTCTGCTGAACACTGATAGAAGTCACGAGACTGCTCTAACTGCTAATGAGAAAAGATATTTAGCGGTTTATATTTACAAAAATAATTTCATTTCTGTGTTGTGTACTGTGGGAGATCAGATATAGTGGATGCAGGGTCCTGGGTTTAGTAACACTTTTAATTGCGATTGCTGGTCATGTATTCTCTGATGATGAATAATCAAGTGCCTATAATGGATACAAAAAAAAAAACTAATATATTTTCTTTCATGCAAGCGTCTAATTGTTTGTCTAAAAAGCACTTGGGGACAGAGGGAACATTTTTGCTCATTGATTAAAAAGTAAACTAAAGTCTGCAGCCATCATCAATGATTCTTATGGGTTTTTTTAATGGACAAAATATCTAGCAGCCCATATACACTTGGTGTGAGGTGAGAGAGAAAATTACAAAAAAAAAAAGCATAGTTTTTCCTATAGTAGCAATTAATTTTATGGCTGAATTTTGTTCAAACCCCTCAACAGAAGCAAAGATCTTGGGAAAGTTCTGTATGTTCCTGACCTCTCTTTTTGTCCCAGGGCCAGGAATCCAGCCTGCTGTGAAGACTGGCGAGGAGGTCGGCTTTGTGGTTGATGCCACAACCGCTGGTAAAGGGAAAGTCACTTGCAGCATTTTGGATCCCGATGGACTGGAGTCAGAAGCAGATGTCATTGAGAATGAAGATGGCACTTATGACATTTTCTACACTACTGCTAAGACTGGCCCCTATGTCATCCATGTCCGCTTTGGTGGAGTGGACATTCCAAACAGTCCCTTCACTGTCATGGTAAGCTTGGTTCCTGTATTATACTGTTTTAGTAACTTTTGACATTTCAAAGTTTTGTTGAAAGTGGTTGTTGCATTTTAAAGTTTTTTTTTTTTTTTTTTGTTTCAATTTGTGTATGGTTTGCAACTTTTTTGCCCATATGATGTTTAATCCAGGAGCCAGTCTACACAATCCTGGAGTCAGTAAATATCTCTAAAGGGAAAATGTGTTTCTATTGGCAACAATGTCAAAGCCCCACGAAAAGTTAGCTGCTATCTGGATGTATAAGGTGCATTGGCCTTCAATGTTCTTGACTTTGTCCACCTCCTCCGTCACAATTCACCTGTATTAACCATTGTTTCTCCTAAACTGACTGCATAGCACAACTTGTAGGGATCATGAAGAGGTACTTCCACTTAGTACATAGGACAACAGAAGTTTTGCAGACACACATGAAATATGACTTGATGGAAATTTGATAAGGTATATAATAATATTTCACAGCATGTCATACCGGAACAAAATGACAGTGAACTCCCTTATTTTTTAAAGCCTCTGAAGCATGTTTGAGCTTTAGGAACCACCGTCCTTCTTTTTTTTTTTTTTTTTTTTTTTTTCCCAGTGCAGTATTTGGGACTAAACTAATAAATATCTTCTTATTTCTGCCTTCAGGATGCCACATTTTATGCTTGTGAAAGTTGAACCCCCACCAGATGTCTTTTTGTTACTTTAACGATTGGAAAATCCTTCTGTGTATCCAAGAAACTAGCTTAATTCTGTTTCTTGGAGACTTATCTGAAATCCCACAAACTCCCATTTCCCTGTCCAGTGGAGTGTCCATTCTAACCACTTAGGTCCTTTTTCAAACAAAAAGGTGAACCTAGTTTAAATGAGACATACATTGGCGGGTTTTTGTGGTTAATAGCAGCATCCTAAGGTCTTACACAGGACATTTAATATATCACTTCCCCCTCTGATCTCTCAGCTAAAACTTAAGACCTGTGCTGGAATCGGTCAAGGTCAAAACCCAAGACTGTCAACTTCTCAGAGTCAGGTTTTCCTCATCGCTTGCGCTTGCTCTGATGGTCAGGCAGTGGTAATCTCTAGCACGGGTTAGGAAACTAGGCTGAGACAGGTGGGAAGAGAAGTTGCAAACGTGTTTGAGCATTTGATATGTATGTAATGTAGATGTTATACTATCCTCTCAGAATTACTAAAACCTTGACAAGCTATGCCTTGCTCTGAGCCTGCCTAGACCCCCCCGAGGATGCTTTCATAAAATACCAAGCACATTTCATCAGTTCTAGCTGTATTCGCTTTGGCAGGTCCCTGAAAAACTGCCAGTGTTTGAAACTATGCTAACACGAAGTTAAGTTAGGCCCATATCTAAGAGTTTGGTACAAAGAATACACCTTCTTTATAACCCCCAGTGGGCATGTCTTCTTCCAACCTGAATTCCATTGGCTGTACTCTGCCCATATATGTTCTCTTTCTCTGTGACGGATAATACAATGCTTTTTTTTTTTTTTCCCTCTTTAACCATTTTGTTCCACTACACCAGGCTACAGATGAAGTCCCAGTAATGTGTCAGCAGCAGTCTCAGCAACAGTCTCTTAGTGCCTTGCCTCCAGGCTATGACCCTGTGGTATTTATTTTTCCATTTCCATATGACCAATCCACCTCCTTCCATGTTTCTTCCATTGCAGAATTGATATTGCTGCTTATTGGGGTTGCAATAATCATGACCAAATCAACATAGTTTTCTTCAGGTGCCTTTTATGCTTTTAGTTGAGTTGTCTGTTGAAACAGATTCAAGCCATCTCTTGATGCAACTGTTCATTTTGCATCCGTCAAGGATTCTGCACTGCTTTTTTTAAACTGGCTTTTTCAGTCTACATAGCACCAAAATTTTATTACAAAATGGGAGAGTTGTCATTTGCTTAGCAGAAAATTTTAGGGTATGTTTTGTGTCTGTCCTTGCCCCTGGAATGGTTGTGAGAGTGTGAACTTGGCTTATCAGCTAAACTACCATTGTCACTGTTCTTACCTCCTTATATATTTTTGTGTCAAATCCAGTAGAAATAGATACACTACTGTTTAATGTACATTCTATTCACCAAAATCTTTAAAAATGGTAGTTCAGTAAAAAAGCCAAGTTGAGCAGTCAGAGCCATCCTACACTGTGGCAATGACCTGGCACAAGGTCAGACTCACTACTCACATGGCTCCCTTTTTAGTGGAGCTTCTCGAAGTATAATGCTTGAATGAAACCTTCATTGATTGAAAATGCTGTACTCCACTTTGCACGACTCCACATCCATTTCATCTTTTATTTTTGTTCCTGAATAACCATGATTACTTAACCTCACAATGGCAATGACACCATGTGACTGCTGGTCATCTTTTATATTTCTTCTGTAAAATTCTAAATCATTTTCCCTTTCAGATTTCACTGCTTCAGCCGGAGCTTCTGATGTCCGCTATTCTTTTAGTACATGACTTTGTCATTCTTTTTTTTTTCCTTTTGGAGTTCATGCGGTGGTTTTAAAGTAGATTGTGGTTACAGAAATTGTGGGTCAACTGATTTAAGATGTAATTGAAATCTTTTCTAATGGGCAGAAGTACCAGAGCTGTTTTGATATCGGACTCCTACAATTCTGCCAGTTTAGAAAGCTGAGGGTACAAGTAATGTGCTAGAGACCCAAAATAGTTTGTGCCTAGAATCACTAATTTTGTGTTGTACAAAGCATCTTCTAAAGTCCAAGTGATCTATTTTAAGTTGGCGAGAATCTTTTTCTCTCTAGCATCTTTTATGGTCACTGGAAACTACAATATGGCTGAGCCATGACCCTCAATAATATTATTAAAATGAAGCACATGTCACGTATACAAATTTAGGAATAATAGGTTGTCTTTAGTAGACACCACAGCATTTTGGATTGATCTGATACTGCTCTTTTTGTTTGTGATCAATGACAAAGTGTCCATCTAACTTCACGCCTTACACACAATGTAATGGAACAGTCTTCAGTTTATGCATTTAATGAATGGTTAGATCAGAATTCCAAAGCAGAAGTGTAAGCTCACATCTGTATATATCACAGTCTACTTAAACCACCAGTTGTCCTTCTTTTTTTTTCCTGTGCCATTTTCCCTTCACTGATTTCATATTTTTCTTTCTAGGTGTCGGAAACTGCATATGCTCCTGTTGGTTCTATGAATGGGATGGGATTCAGGCCCTTTGATTTAGTTATACCTTTTGCCATAAGGACAGGAGACATAACAGGTGCGAATAACAAAGTAGCAAATTATAACTGTAAGCACTGGAATGTTGCTGACTCTGGAAAGGAAGTTTGTATATTTTTTTTGTACATTTTTTAAAATAAATTTTGTCTAAATTTAAAAAAAAAAAAAAAAGTAGCAAGTTGGAGGATAAGTTCACCTGGGAACATTTTTTTTTAGGGTGGAACATGTAATCTCTTTCTGTCCTGCACCCACCCTGGTTCCCTCTCATTACTAACGGGCCAGGGATTCTCTCCCCACACCCACTAGCACTATTTGAAAAGTGCACTACTGTGCGGGGCTTTGCCCACACGACCATATCATTAATTCAGTTCTGTGAATGAATGAACTAAAAGTACCAACAGCCTTTGCGGCTGATGGCTTGTAGCTCTCGGTGAACTACCAGGGAGCTGTTGAGTGCACTAGTAGTTCATTGATTCCTCCTGTCCGTGTGTAACTGCCTGCCCATACGAGGTACGAGCAGACAGCTTATACTGACAGTCTGCTGGAGCCCTGCATGATCTGCTGGTCATGGGTGCAATTCTTTCCAGGCCCCTACAAAAACAAAAATAATAAATTAACCCTTTTTTTTTTTTTTTTTTTTTTTGACCTGCAAAAAAAAGTGCATTTATTTATTAAGTGAACTTATTTTTTTAAAGCTTCTGTTCATTCAACATGGAATAATTTGTTTTCAAATGCATACAAGGAATGCAAGTCAAGAACTTTTGGCTTTTCCTCCCACCATAGATGTAATCTGTCATATCAACCTGCTGCTTAAAAGTATCCTGATGCTGGTAATCTGTTGACAGCGGTTGCTGAAGCTTGTGAATGTACAGGTTGTGTTTTCAGTCTCACCACATGCTTCTTGTTGAGGAGTAGCATAGAACAGCATCATATGCTAACTGCCAAAGCTAATGGCCACTAATCAGTGCTCCTACTCCTTGACCTCTCTGCGGCCTTCGACACAGTCGACCACCCCCTCCTCCTCAAAAAACTACACTCCCTTGGCCTCAGAGATTCTGCTCTTTCCTGGCTCTCATCCTACCTGTCACAACGCTCTTTCAGCGTTGCCTATAATGCTACCACCTCCCCCTCACTCCCCCTCTCTGTTGGGGTCCCTCAAGGCTCCGTCCTCGGGCCCCTTCTCTTCTCCATCTACACCTCCTCCCAACTCATACACTCTCACAGCTTCAACTACCACCTATATGCCGACGACACACAAATCTATCTCTCAACCCCCCACCTCACCCCCTCAGTCTCTGCCCGAATCACACACCTACTGAGCGACATATCTGACTAGATGTCGCTCCACTTCCTTAAACTGAACCTCTCCAAGACCGAGTTTCTTGTCTTCCCCCCCAGCCCAGACCCCACCCCCCATTGACTTCTCCATGTCCAACAACGCCACCATCAAACCCGCCCTGCAGGCTAGAGTACTTGGGGCTGGAAGGATAGGTTGGAGTCCAGAATGACACCAAGTCCAATCTTTAACAAGCTCGTGCAGACTCCACCTCAGCAACATCGCTAAAATCCGCACGTTCCTAACCCCAGAAACCACTAAACAGCTCATCCACTCCATCATATCACGACTTGATTACTGCAACTCCCTCCTTACTGGCCTGCCTCGCCGCTGGCTATCCCCGCTTCAGTCGATCCTGAATACGGCAGCCAGACTCATTCACCTTTCCAACCGCTCCATCTCCGCCACCCACCTCTGCCAATCCCTCCACTGGCTTCCGATTGCGCAACAGATCAAATTCAAAATCCTAACACTGATGTACAAAGCCGTCCACCACACTGACCCGTACTACATCACTGACCTAATATCCAAGTACCACCCAGCACGCACACTCCGCTCCTTACAAGACCTCCTTCTCTCTAGTTCCCTGGTTTCCTCCTCCCATGCCTGCCTCCAGGACTTCTCCCAGGGTGTCACCCATCCTCTGGAACTCCCTGCCCCAACCCATCAGATTATCACCTACTCTCCTCTCCTTTAGGCGCACCCTGAAAACCCATCTCTTCAGGGAAGCCTACCCCACCCCCTGCTAACTTGCCGACCGCCTCCACTCTTCCTACCACTCCATCCCCCACAGCTATCTCCTCCTGTGACACCATCCCCTCCCTCCTAGATTGTAAGCTCGAAAGAGCAGAGCCCTCGATCCCCTCATGTTTTGCATTGTATTGTTATTGTTCTGTCACATGTTCTGTCCCCCTTTGTAATGTACAGCGCTGAGCGAACTATCGGCACTTTATAAATACTGTATAATAATAATATGACCTGAAATTGCACCCACCCAGAGACACATGTAGGAGCTTCCTGTTGAATAGCTGCAGTAGGTTATATAACACTCAATATAAGGTTCACAAATTGATTTGAGTACTTCTGAATTTTTTTCCGAGATTCCATTAGCATTTGCTCAATTTTAACTGTGACCTGCAGCTGTTCTTTAAAGTGTATCAAAAGCCAACCTTTGTTGCTGTATTCTTGATAGTGTTGAGGGGTTAAACCCCCTTTTTTTTTAATTATTATTGCGGTTACTTCACTGGGACTGAAAGTGAGGGGCAATCCAAACTTCAGTGGTTTCCAGAATAGTAATGCCCAGGGGGATCTTCCAAAAGGTTCTCCTGTTCCAGTGACAACTGTCTAAGAGGAGATTTCCTTCACTTCACCCTCTCACTGTTACATGACAGGAAGAGGAATTTGCCCTGATGGCACAAAGATGGCAAAAAACCCTGCAGTTTTAACCGTTCACGTTATCAAAAAGGGGAAAAGTTTTGGCTTTAGATATACTTTGAAGCAATCATACATGCAAAGTTTTGGTTTATTTTAGATCTTTAGTAAGGCATTAGCAGACGTATTAGGCTGATTATACAATAACCTCTGCTTTAACAAGGTATAGCAATGTAGGATTGATGGACATGTACCTGGCACCGCACCCCCAACAACATGTAAAAAAATCAAAAAGATGGGACAGAGCAATAAACGTTGATTGCAATATCGGTGAAATAAAATGTTTTTTTTCAAAGTTTAAATAAATAAAAGGTTAAAAGAAACCTGAACAATTAACAAATGTATAGGTCAATGCAGCAGTTACATTATATGGTTCAGATTCAATATTCACAGTGGGACTAATATCAATTTAACTCCTGTGCCAATTACTTATATACACACTTGAAATATTTTACTGTACACAATATTTAGATTGTATACAAGGGCTAAGGGAGGCATTGCTGATCTTATACACATTTCCCATCATGGCTTCATCAGGAACATTTGTTGGGAATATTGGCAATGTTATATGCTGAAGGGATGAATAATAATAAATGGTAAAAAAAACTACGCTAAAATGTGTGAAAAGTGATAAATACCACTAATAAACAAATGTGTGTATAAACACATAAACAAAATGCTGCCACTTTAAAAATTAACGAATGAAACACATGAAAAAACTAAACAAGTGATCAAGTAGTGCATAAATCTTACATAACCTTTTTGTGATAACCATAAATTAAGTATAATAAATTCATATAATAAAAAAAAATCTATAAAAATATATATATTTTTTTTTTAAATCGTAATTGTGTCCAATGTCCAAATCCCAATTTTCCACCTTGATGCAGTTAGAAGGAAATCAATCCTAGATATTCTGAAATACCTCAAAATAAAAGAAAAGAAAAATCCATAGTGCATTATCTTTTACATATATATCACTCCACTCAGTGCTCAACACAAAAATCACTCTAAATTGTGCAAAAAAAAAAAAAAAACTTATACAAATATTCTTTCAATTTATATAAAATTCAAACCCAAAAAGTGAAAACTCTGTGATCACTATATAACCACATCAGATGAAGTCCGGAAGTAACGAAACGCGCTAGGGGAGTAACGTCAAGACGCACGCACGCCAAACCGGAAGTGTCGCCGCGGCCGTCTTTTTGGTGGTGTACATGTGGTTTACTAAATGTTTGTAAAAAGCCATTGAAGGAGTAATGCTGGGAGCCGGATTCTGCTTTCTTTTATGTAAGTTTGGATTAAATTTGTTCCTCTAATATGGATTCTGCCTAAGAGCCTGTTTATTTTCATGAGGATATTGGAGGATTGCCCTTGAAGTAAAGCATTGGAAAGGAAGGAGTACTTTTTGATAGCCCATGCCTGAAAACAACTATAAGAGGGTAATAGTACTGGGTATCACTTGTGGCTGGAATAAAAAAGGGTACTAGTACCTAGTATCACTATACACTAGGGGTTGTGCACAGAGTGTTTTTATGGAATTGAAGTGGTTGATCACAAAGTGTGTGGTCATATAGTGATCACGGAGTTTTCACTTTTTGGGTTTGAATTTTATATAAATTGAAAGAATATTTGTATAAGTTTTTTTTTTTTTTTTATAAGTTTTTTTTTTTTTTTTGCACAATTTAGAGTGATTTTTGTGTTGAGCACTGAGTGGAGTGATATACAGACACTCCTCGCTTAACGACCTACCTGTTTAGCGACCGCTCGCAATTACGACCGTCGCAATTACTTTGCTAACTTTATGTTCTGTAATACAACATTCCAGTACTGTGTGTAAATTACACAACCTATGCAAATTAAGACAAGTGGAAGTTTTCAGTTTGATCTTTCTTATTTTACTTATTCAGAATACTGTATTGTCAAATACTATGCATATATTGTACTACTGTATACAGTACATGCAGTTCCTCACTTAACGACCAATTCGCTTAACAACCAAGTCGTTGAAACGGAACTCGATCGTTAAGCGAGGAGTACCTGTATATGTAAAAGATAATGCACTATGGATTTTTCTCTTCTTTTATTTTGAGGTATTTCAGAATATCTAGGATTGATTTCCTTCTAACTGCATCAAGGTGGAAAATTGGGTTTTGGACATTGGACACAATTACTATTTAAAAAAAAAAAAAAAAATTTGGACACAATTCACAAATTTTTATAGATTTTTATTTTAGTTTTGATTATATGAATTTATTATACTTAATTTATGGTTATCACAAAAAGGTTATGTGAGATTGAGAGGATATACTTTCTAGGGAGAAAGTGTGACTTTTTTGTGGGAGTACAAAAAAGGAATTTGATTAAGTGCATAAATCTTATACATTAAAAAAGAATATAAAAAATTCTAAAAATGATAAATGAATAAATAAAATAAAGTGTATAGTCCCCACAAAATCCAAAAATTTATCTTCAGTTGTACTTTATCATATTTACATTCTTCAATTTTCTGAAGTTTTCAACATTTTTAATGAATGTTATGAAAAACTTGTAAAGTGTTAGTCTACCCAAAAAATATTTTCTATTTTCCTCACTACCATGGAACTTTTAGGTAGTGATGCTGACCTAACAACTGGTATATACTATGATGAGGCAGAAGTTTGAGTTTAGGTTAACATTTATTGGCTAGCTATATCAAGTCTAGATCTAGCTTTCTAGGCACACTGGCCTCTTCTTTGGGCATCACAAACTGGAACTAAGAAATATGTATGCAAATGTTATCAACTTGACGCATGAGTGGTGTTGGGTGATAAAGGTTAGGTTACATACTGTATGTAGATAGGGGTCGGTGTCTCTGTGAGATACTGCCTAAAGAGGCCTATATAGCATCACCAAACTTCTACAGTGTACTTTTGCCAATGACTACAAGAATCTGCTCCTGTCTATATTGTTGGCTGCAGATCCAGGTGTAGGTGCTCCACAGAGTTTTTGACTTTTTCTCTGGCTGCATGGGCTCCATGATCCAGCTATGTATGCTATCCTTGTATATTTGTTCCCTTTTGTATATATTGTTCCCTTTTAATTGTCTTCTACTCAAATTGAATCATTCTAATACTTATTACTTTTATTTGGATGGTTTGTACATTGTGTGTGTTAAGCTGGCCATACAGTAGTAGATTTTTGTTCCAAAATCTTAGTTGCAACAATGTTTGATTTTATAATCTGTGGGATTAAATCAACCAGTTTATGTGCACCCTAGCTGTTGGAGAGGAATATAGGGCTAAGATATTTTTAATAAATCAAGGTTGAAACCCAATTTGAAGAAGAGTATGTTTGCTGGACAACCTGGTTGCCTTATCAAAGGCCTCTTTTGAGTCTACTGATCAAAGACACATAGGGAGTTTTATTGCTTGAGTATGATGCATCAAAAGGAAAGTCTTAAGGGTGTTGTCTCTTGCTTCTCAGCCTTGAATGAAACCAGCTTAATCCATATGGATTAACTGAGGTAATAGAGGTTGAATCCATATAGTGATTTAATTTTTTTAAAATAAAGTTTAGGGTCACTCCCTATCAGCGATAAGGGCCTGGTAGTTGGAGAGTTTTTTTTTTTTTTTTTCTTTTTTCTTTTTAACAGTTGTGTTTAACCACTTGCCCTCCTGAGGATTGCTTCCCCCCCCCCCCCCCCCCCCCCCCTTCCTGACCAGGCCATTTTTTGCATTACAGCGCTGCATCACTTTAACTGACAATTGTGCTGTCATGCAGCGCTGCACCTGAACGAAATTTTAGGTCTTTTTTTTTTTTTTTTTTCCCCACAAATTGAGCTTTCTTTCAGAGGTATTTGATCGCCTGTGCGTTTTTTTTTTTTTTTTTTTTTTTTTTTTTTTTTTTCATTTTTTGCACTATTACAAAAAAAAAAAGACCAACAATTTTGAAAAAAAACTATTTTTGACTTTGCTACCTGTCCAGTAAAAAAAATGTAAAATTAAAATTTCGTAATAAATTTAGGCCCCAATGTATTCTGCTACATGTCTTTGCTAAAAAAAATCCGAATACATGTAAATTGGTTTACGTGAAAGTTATAGCGTTTACAAGTGGCTCTCAGTATACAACAAAGTATACAGCATACATAAATAACCTAAAACAGAAAAGTCCTACAATTTGTATCTCGGTAAGTTACTGTGTTTTACCCAAGATATGACCTGAGCAGGCTAGTCAAAAGAACTTAGTGTGACCCAAAAGGCCTGTGTCCAGCTGGGGGAGGGGGACAAGGAGGGCAAGGGGAATAAGATGGGAGGGGGCTGGGGGGGCAAGGGGAATAAAGCGGGAGGGGGGGGGGGGGAAGGAGCAGGGCATGGGAGGAGATTAGATGGTACAGATAGCAGCACCGTTTTTCATTTTCTACAAAATCTTCAGTTTAAAAACTGGAGACACCACAACCAAAACTGTGAGACCCATTGTCTCCATCCACCCAGCCCAGATTTTATAAAATTTTGCTGGACAGTTTCAGCTTATGTACATAAGCATATAGAGAAGAGCCCCATTAAATGCCGTCCAAGCAGAAACAGTGGGTGGGATCGGCAATTTCCATTTCAACAGAATTTCTCTTCCAGCATAATGGGTAGAAAAGACCGCTTACCATGCTTAGTTGCTGCCACAAGATCAGGAAGTCCCAACAGCAGTATCAACTGGTCCATAGGAACAGACAGGTTACTAACTGCATTGATAGTGTCCAAAAGGGATGCAGCCTCGAACAGGACCAAAACGTGGTTAAGCGTGCCCTGAGCCATATCCCAGCAGGGGCATGCCCCCGTTCTGCCAGGATAAATTGCAAGAGTGTGTGATCTTTATCTAGTTAAAAATGCGAGAAAGGAGTCTCAAGGGCTTGCAAGGGGGCAGAATGTTTTTGGAAGTACTTTTGTACAACATTGGTTATGTCATTGAATGTACTAATGAGAATTTTTGTACAAATGTTCGTATGAAAACCGATTCGTGTTTGGCCAGTTTTAGGAGGATATAAGATGTCTACTGGTGAAAAATAAGATGTAGAAGATAAGGTCTTTAATATGTTGCAGATTGTATTGCTGGTATAAAAATACATTTAAACTTTGATTTTGTGACATTGATTCTCATGTAATCAGTGGGATGGTAATTACCAAGTATGTGTTTCCCTCGGCTACCCAGGTGAAGTTATTATGCCATCAGGGAAGACCGCCCCTGCAGAAATCGTTGACAACAAAGATGGTACTGTGTCAGTACGATATGTTCCCACCGAAACCGGACTGCATGAGTTACACATCAAATGTGATGGAACTCATATTCCAGGTACTAACATTTTATACCATCACTGGTGACTTTTCTTATCTGCATCTGTAAGCTGAGCTAGTCCTCTTATTTTGCAGGTACTGAAAGTGGAGCTGCTAGTAACCCTTCTCGTGTCAGAGTTATTATCTTTGAAATGTATTTTAGGACAAAAGAAAAACCTCAGTAGCTCTCTCCCATTACATGCATGTTCCCCATATTTTGCCTCCTTAAAAAAAAAAAACGCAGCAAGTTCAGAAATTGTTGATCCCGTCAGAAGTCCAGTGAGCTCTTTACCTGATGTAGGATGACAAAGCTGCTTCTGATGATTAGAAAAGTGTCCTGTGAAAAAAAATCTTTAATTTCTTAATATTCCCAAATCATATCAGTATAAGAGCACAGTGTGCGGATTGCACTTTATAATTACTGCCATTTTTGAACAGAATGTTTTGACTATTAGATTGCTTTATTTGCCCAAGGTTCACAGATGGATTAATTTACTTGTTTATACCTATATTTTATTTCGATGGATGAATGGATATGATTTTAGACTTCTTTATTTATCTATAACCATATGCAAAATGAAATATATGAGCACTTTAATATTCTGTATAACACTAGCCTTTATAGACGTGTGCACATGGTTATAGATGGGATCATTGGTGTTCACATTTCATTGCAGAATATGCATACATCTGTCCTATAGGTCAGGAGTCTCCAATCTTTCTTGACGTAGGGCCATTTTACTGTTCTTCAGACTTTAAGGGGGCTGGACTGTGAACAGGTGGAGTAGAAAATTCCCCAGGGTCATTGAGAAATAAACAATGTACCATCATTGGTATTAGTGGGAGGAATAGTGCCCCATAATTAGTGGAATAGTGTCTTGTATCAGTTGGAAATATAATGCCCCAAGGCCCGGATAAAAGAAAGCAAAGGGCCACAGTTTGGAGACCACTGCTGTAGGTGTTCAAGTCAGTCTTTCCTATGGGAATGTATAGGCTGCCACCTAGTGGCATATGCTATTTTCAGTATTTTTGGGTGCTAAAACGTTTCCTCGTTTCACTCATCCATTTCTGAGGTTTTTTTCCTTTTTTGTAATCACTTTGGTTTCTTGTTTTTATTTGTAGAGAGCCCATTGCAGTTTTATGTCAATTACCCCAATACTGGAAGTGTTTCAGCATATGGACCAGGTCTTATTTATGGTGTTGCCAACAAACCAGCCACATTCACCATTGTTACAGAAGATGCAGGGGAAGGTACATTTGTTTTTCATCCACTTTATATACCATGTTTACAGTTTTTTTTTTTTTTTTTTTTTTTTTAGTTTCGGGTTATTCTATGCAAATGGATTTATAAAATTGAAAATGCCTGTCCTATTACGTAATTGTGCCCTAATTCAATCCAAACTATTCTATTTTTATTGTAATCCTGATTAGGAGGTCTTGATCTGGCTATTGAAGGTCCTTCAAAAGCAGAAATCAGCTGCATTGACAACAAGGATGGTACTTGCACGGTCACCTATCTGCCAACACTACCTGGTGATTACAGTATCCTAGTGAAATACAATGATACACATATTGCTGGAAGTCCTTTCGTTGCCAAAGTTACTGGTAAGTATACTTTTAGTCTTCATATCTGTAAAATGATTATATGACCAATGTATACTTGCTGTTCTTAGTAAACCAGCACCAAAGAACTAACTGAAATTGCACAATCTTTAAATAAGAATTATATTGCCCTCACTCAGAAACATTTTAGGTTCCTTTTTGGGTGTAACCAAATTTTCCTGACTTGGTAAAGATGTTCTCAATGTTTTGTTATTAGTGTTATTACTTGTGTTCCATTTTATCAGTGCTCTGTACAAAACATTTTGTTAAAACCTGACCTGCATAGACTCAAAATTGTAGGCTGGTGCATTGTGTATTGCGGTCAGTCTAGCACTGTAAACATACATACGGAAGGAAACGACACAGGGATGACTCGGTGTGCTGCTGAACCTTCACAAGGTGGAGAAGGTCCTTTCATGGGCTGTGTTAAATACATTGCCATCTGCAAGAAGTTGACACACCGGGCTGTGCTGTTTGTCAAGGTTGCCTGGATCTTAAGGCTGCACACAGGACATCATTCAACCCAGAAAAGGTCTGGTGGTGAAAGATGGAGGAAGTACACAGTTGGAGCATGAAGATACACTATATTGCCAAAAGTATTGGGACACCCTTCCAAATCATTGGATTCAGGTGTTCCAATCACCTCCATGGCCACAGGTGTATAAAATCAAACACCTAGGCATGCAGACTGCTTCTACAAACATTTGTGAAAGAATAGGTCGCTCGCAGGAGTTCAGTGAATTCAAGTGTGGTCCCGTGATAGGTTGTCACCTCTGCAACAAGTCCATCTGTGAAATTTCCTTGCTACTAAATATTCCACAGTCAACTATTGGTGGTATTATAACAAAGTAGAAGCAACTGAGAACAACCGCAACTCAGCCACCAAGTGGTAGGCCACGTAAAATGTCCGAGCGGGGTCAGTGCATGCTGAAGCTCACAGTGTGCAGAAGTCACCAATTGCCTGCAGAGTCAATAGCTAAAGACCTCCAGACTTTGTTTGGCCTTCAGATTAGCACAGCAGTGCTTAGAGAGCTTCATGGTATGGGTTTCCATGGCCGAGCAGCTGCATCCAAGCCTTACATCAACAAGTGCAATGCAAAGCGTCGGATGCAGTGGTGTAAAGCACGCCGCCACTGGACTCTAGAGCAGTGGAGACGTGTTCTCTGGAGTGAAGAATCGCACTTCTCTGTATGGAAATCCAATGGATATGTCTGGGTTTGGCGGCTGCCAGGAGAATGGTACTTGCCTGACTGCACTGTGCCAAGTGTAAAGTTAGGTGGAGGGGGGGATTATGGTGTGGGGTTGTTTTTTAGGGGTTGGGCTTGGCCCCCTAGTTCCAGTGAAGGGAACTCTTAAGGTGTCAGCATACCAAGACATTTTGGACAATTTCATGCTCCCAACTTTGTGGGAGAAGTTTGGGGATGGCCCCTTCCTGTTCCAACATGACTGCTCACCAGTGCACAAAGCAAGGTCTATAAAGACATGGATGAGCAAGTTTGGGGTGGAGGAACTTGACTGGCCTGACCTCAATCTGATAGAACACCTTTTGGGATGAATTAGAGTGGAGAATGCAACCAGGCCTTCTCGTCCGACATCAGTGCCTGACCTCACAAATGCACTTCTGGAAGAATGGTCAAACCTTCCCAGAGGCACACTCCTAAACCTTGTGGACAGCCTTCCCAGGAGAGTTAAGGCTGTTATAGCTGCAAAGGGTGGGCCAACTCAATATTGAACCCTATGGACTAAGACTGGGATGCCATTAAAGTTCATGTGCGTGTAAAGGCAGGCGTTCCAATACTTTTGGCTCCTAGATTGTAAGCTCCAAGGAGCAGGGCCCTCGAACCCCTCGTGTGTCGCACTGTATTGTTGTTGTACTGTCTCATATATTGTCTCCCATTGTAATGTACAGCGCTGACCGAACTGTTGGCGCTATATAAATACTGTATTATAATATTAATAATATAGTGTAAGTAGGGCATCGGAACCTTTTTATTTAAAGTAGAAGTGTGGGATATGAAAGTCACTTTTGTGGCTGCAGCGGTCCCCCTTTTGGCTCTAGGCTCGCAAACTGAGCGATCACATGACCACTGTTCTCGGTCCACTCTGAGCAGAATGATGACTGTCAGTCACCAGCTTTCTGCTCTGCCAATCCAGCACTCAATGGATCGCCAGGCAGGAGAGGGGGCGGGAGTGGTTGGCTCAGGTTCTCAGCGACATGCCGAGGGGCTGAGCCAGCTGCTTGTCAGGCAACTGTGTGGATCCTGACATTATTGCCAGGATGCATCCAGAGACTGGAACGGCTCTGTGACGTCAGCCAACAGGCTTTAGCCTGCTATTAGCTGATTCTGCATCATAGAAGTCCAAAAGTAAGTGCACTCCTGTGACCTACATGAGCAACATGACCAAACAAGCTTTGGTCATACTTCTCCTTTAAAGTAAACTGGCTCCCAATAAGGCAACAGACTTCTAAGTCTTGTAGAACATGTTTTACAACTCAGGAATAGACTGGGTACTACCTGAGAAGCAAAAATGTTATATAATAGGGAAATCTTTAGCTTTGCAAAACATCCAGATGTCTGCTTCTATTATTTGCCTAAAGGGGACCCAGTTAGGCTTTGTGTTTACTTTTATTGGGCTTTATACATCTCCATCATACATACAGCTTACCTACATAATTGTATTAACTATTCAAATGTTTAGAACCTCAGAGCTAAACCTTGATTGAATAGATGAAATAATTTCCAGAGACCTGTAAAAGGATCCGTCTGTCCATGAATCCCAGAACCTGTGGTTGGCCTGCAGAAGCTGAGAACATGCGATGCTGATTAATATACTTGTGCATCTGATTTAGATGACTGTACAGCTCAATGTGAACGATGTATGTGTAGCTGGTGTACTTAATTAATGATGTCATTCTTTCCTTTGTAGATGACAGCAGGAGACGTTCTCAAGTCAAACTGGGCTCCACGGCTGATTTCTTGTTGGATATCAATGAGACTGATCTAAGCCTACTGACTGCCAGTATTAAAGCTCCATCTGGTCACGATGAGCCATGTATCCTTAAAAGACTTCCAAATAGCCACATTGGTAAGCACAAGCCTTCTGCCTTAGGAGTTATTTACTAGATTTAGTTATGGTCTATTCCTTCTCTGATTTAAAGTGGTTGTAAACCCTTGCGTATACTCACTGAAGTGACCTGCCCCGGGTGATACACAAAGAGGAAACAAAACCTTCTACATACATTGTACCTGGTTATCTACAGTGTTTCCTATGTGCAACCACTCAAAGTGCACAGTTTATACAGCTTTTCTGATCGTTCGAAGGAAAGCATTTGATGTCGCACACTGCACAGCATAGAGCAGGTTTCTGAGTGTAATCTGAGACATCAGTGGAGGGAATGGACACCCTCTTCAATGCATTCTCATAGGGAAACATACACAGCTCAGGCTGTCAATCACAGGCTGTATGCTGAAGCTCCCCTCATCTCCCTTGATTCTTGTTGGCATAACCTGTCAGAAGTGACTCATGCCGATAGCAGAGGAAGGAGACATAAATTGCTGTAAGTGCTTTAGATTGAGGCAAGTACATGCTATAAAAGGATATGCTTTGTTCATTATTTGGTTTACAACCAGGGGCGTGACTGTAGGGGTCACAGTTGCGACCCGGCGCCCGTGCAGGCCAATGTACACCTGGATAGGAGGGGCAGTGGGGGCGTCCTATAGAAAAACCGATGCCCTTCACTTTCTTCCTGCAGCTGCTGAATGCCTGCGGGAGGGAGAGGAAGAGAAGCAGGCATTCAAAGGCTGCAGGAAGAAAGTGGAAGGAATCAGTTCTTCTATATGCCCCTCCTATCTAGGTCCTGCTGTCAGATCTGTGTGCAATGTCTAGCTTGTTGTACCCACGCCTTAAGAACTCTCGCACCACCTCTGCTCATTCATCTGCCAACCGAACTTCACAGTGCCCAGTGACAATGGCTCAAGAAGGGAATTGCCCTCACTTTGTAAAGATTTTCAGTCACTTACTGTTGTGTGTCTGGGACAGGAAGTCTCCACAACAGGACATATATAGCAAAAAAAAATCTTTCAAACATGAATCTCTAATATTTACAAAAAAAAGGGTAACATAAATTTTAAAATGGAACTCCAGTAAGGCCTGAGTTGAGAATCACATTAAAGGGATACTAAAAGCACACTGTTTAATTTACATTAGCCCTTCTCTTTATGTGTATGGATGATGGTAAAAAAAATAAAAATCTAAGTACCTTTTTTCATAATCAATATACAGCTGTCATATGACCCAACTTTTCCCAGTCTGTCTGCAAGGAAACATCAGTGGATAGAGCTTCTAGTCTGCTGCTGTTGACTGTGTTGAAAAAAAAAAAAATCCTTTGGAATACACAAATGTTATAAATCTTCGTACAAATACATATTTGAACTCTAACCTTTATTTTTGTGCAAAAATATGTTATGAGCTGTCCAGGGGGAAGTTTTGCCAATCACAGCCTGTTTCACACCTCCCCAGCCTGGTTGTATGCGCCTAGAATTGCAGGGAGGTGATGCCTTCATCAATCAACATGTACTATCCTCTCTCTCCCCCCTTATAGTGTAGCACTGTGTAGTGGGCACGGAGAAGGAGGTAGTGTGCTGTCATTTATCCCTGGTGTATACACCCACATGTGGGACTCTATAGTCATGTGGGCGGCACAGATTAAAAAAAAAGAGTGAATTAACTTCAAAGGGAACTGAAACTGGAGCATGCTCAGTAGATATGACTTTGGCTGGTTTGCACAATCTCAGGATGCAGTGGGGACACAGACAAGAAGAGAGGAACAGTGAACAGCAGGAACAACCCTGTTTTTTGTGGAATACAGAAAAGGAATCCCATAGTGACTGAGTATGAACAGCATGTATTACAGCATGTATTGACAGTTTTTAAAGATGTGGGTTAAAGAGGTGTTCACCCCCCCCAAAAAAAAAAATTTAAGTCAGCAGCTACAGATACTGTAGTTGCTGACTTTTCATATTAGGGCACTCCTTTTTTTTTTTTTTTTTTTGTTTGTTTTTTTTTTTTTTTTTTTTTTTTTTTTTTGTTTTGTTAAACTTTTATTGCATTTTTATAGACAATAATAATAAGAAGGCAAGTATACATCTCCATACATTAGTGCAAGTAGTCAGAGAACGGCCAAACACAAGCAAAATAGATATTGGAGCACTTACCTGTGCAGGCATCCAGAGGTATCCTCACCTGAGCTGATTCTTCAATCTGTCAGGTGCTGGCACCGCCATCTTGACTAAGGGAAACCAGCCGTGAAGCCTTGTGGCATTGCAGTCCGTTTCATATTACGCATGTGCAAAGCGCACTGTGCTTTGTGAATGGGCTGCAGTCTTCTGGGACCTGTGGAGTGTCCCAGAAGGCTGTGGGGGGAAGGAGGGGGGCCAAACTTTAATGTGCCAAATGTGGCGGCTGAGTGGCAAAGGAGGCAGACAAGCAGAGCTTCCCTTTTTTGGGTGGAACTCTGCTTTAAGTTGAGCACAGGGTGTTACTCGCACTCACCTCTATGCTATTTAATTTACAATTCACCAAGCGGTGGTTTCAAACTACTATATGGTGATGCCTCTTGGTGTGCTTTCTTCCAGTACATTCCTAACACACTGTGTAGATCACATACAGTAGATAAAGCATAATAGACAATAACAAAGGTCAGTACAAGCCTTTTAAAGCTGCAGAACATTGGCCTTTGTTTAACATTAACACCCTTCACACACCTCAACCTGATCCCCAGATTAACTTTGTTTATTTTGTTTTGTGAATTGGAGGTGCTGATTCCTTTGAGGGTCTAACACTGACATAATCAGTAGGATGCATTTTTCAGAATCTAACTCAAGGCCAGCAATGGCTAGCATCACTTTATTTCAGAGAAAGTAAGTTCATGGGCCTAGGAGGCTATCAGGTTTAAAGTGTCAGGCTGGCCAAAACTGGTATTTGACTTTAAATAGCTGTGTGAAAGTTGAACCACCTGAAAATGTCTTAAATCTCTTAAGACTCTTCTGGTAAGATATCTGTCCAAAACTCTCAGATGGGCATGAACAGAGATGGGAACTGTCAGGGAGATGTAATTATTAGACAAAAGCCCCCAGAATCCACATAGAACTAAAATATTACCTTAGAATGGATTAACACTTTCCGAATCCTGAAGCTCTCAGTTCATTAGTACCTGGGGCACCAGTTTTAATGGACCTTGTCTTCAAAGTAAAAGTAAAAATAAATGAAACAAATTGTAATGTTTTCCAGGCATCTCTTTCATTCCACGAGAGGTTGGTGAGCACTTGGTCAGCATAAAGAAAAATGGACGCCATGTGCCTAACAGTCCGATCTCCATCATGGTCTACCAGTCTGAAATAGGCGATGCTAGCAAGGTGAAAGTATTTGGACCTGGATTAACTGAGGGCCGTACATTTGAGTTGTCAGATTTTGTGGTAGACACCAGAGAGGCCGGTAAGTGTATTATGCAAATAGTATTTTTATGTTAGTATTTCAAACCTAGCTTCAGAAATCATTGTCTGTGTCATCCTTTTCAGGCTATGGTGGGCTTTCACTTGCAGTTGAAGGACCCAGTAAAGTTGATATTCAAACTGAAGATTTGGATGATGGCACCTGCCAAGTCTCTTACTGCCCAACAGAGCCAGGTGTTTATATCGTATCCATTAAGTTTGCAGATGAACATGTGCCAGGTGAGGCCAGCCTCAAAAAGATCAACATACACAGTTTGGGATTTAGGTAAATGTTGTTCTTCAAGCTGTTTACCAAATATTTTTCAACATGCCTCCAGGAAGTCCATTTACTGCCAAAGTCACTGGAGAAGGAAGAGTGAAAGAGAGTATTACTAGACGAAAGAAGGCACCTTCTGTGGCCACTGTAGGAGGCATCTGTGAACTCAATTTAAAAATACCAGGTGAGATCATTTATATTACGCTTTGTATGTTGTGGAAGTTTAATTTATAAACCCAATATCTCATATAATGCCAAATCTTTAGATGGGGGAAACTTACAGGCATAGTATCCAAAAAGATGGAGCACACCATCTAAATACACAGGGTAAATATTTATTTGTCATCTTTTAAACTGTAATTTTCACTTTGACCAATCACTTATTTAAAGTAATGTGATGTTCCAGAGTTGGATCTTCCACAAGGCAAGGGTTTGAGACCTCAGGGAATATCCACTAGGCAGAAATTGAGACCTCAGGGAATATCCACAGAGCCCAGCCACAACATTGATGCTCTTGCAGTAAACCAAGGTGATGGTGCATTTGGGTCAAAGCTGTACATCTGCCTGCCACTTCACATGGTAGAATATACTTGTAGACAGCATTTTGAAGGGGCAAGCTATGCCAGTACAGACAGTGCATATTAGGCAGTTTTTATGTGACCAGTGCAATTCATATCGATGTCAACCAAAGGTATGTGGGGGTACAGAGCCTTGACTAGGGCCCATTTGACTGTAATCAAGTTCTGAATTGGGCATATGTTTAAAAAAAAAAAATGCTTAAAGTGGAGCTCCACCCAAAAAAAGAAATGTTTTGCTTTAAGGCTCCACCCACAGAAGACTGCGAACCATTCACTATGTGCAGCTCACGCATGTGCAGTGGGCACCCACAAGCTGTCACATCCAGTTAACTACAATTTGGATGCTGGAGACAAAAGAGTGAGGGAGGAAACCGCTCGGATGCGTACATCGCTGCATCCTGGAACAGGTGAGTATCTGTTTATTAAAAGTCAGCAGCTACAGTTTTTGTAGCTGCTGACTTTTAATAAATACAATAATGACTGGAGCTCCTATTTCTAAGCATATGCCACCTGGCTGAGGTTTTAGGAATATTATTCTAGTGTATCCTGTATTTGATTATAAAGAGAAACCCATGGACTACTGACACCAAACAGTCCAACACCTCAATTGGAGAAGCAAAGGACAATACTTTATAATATGCAGGAGCAATTTTTGGGGTTATTTATTTTTTGGATGCCTGAAAAATATGAAAATGTGTTTGTTTTGCTCTGCACCTGTGGAAGTTTAATATTTAACAATTTATGCTTCATGCCTCATGTGTGCACTATTGTATACAGATGTATGTTTTCTTTGTTATGCTCAGTTACTTGGTTCCAACTGGCCTTATCTCGAGAGGCTCTTTCTCAAACTTGGCATATTTCACCATATTCTGGAACGAAGCAGACTCCAAATCCAGACCTCCTAAGAAATGCAACAAGGGAAATAGGGACTGAGGGTGTGTTCTGGAATACATAGCATGTGCTTGTGGATCTTGCATGACCAGTTCAACTCCACTAAACTTGAACTCTATTGGTTGCTGTGGTTTGCTCCATTTTGCACATTAGCTTGCATACAGTTTTAGGGACTTTTAATGATAATTCTCGTTCTGTCAGTAAAAGACTCCCTGAGAGGGACAATAAAGGGCTTGATGCATGAAGCAGCAGTAATGCTCATAAGCCTAAAGACCTTTGTCCATAGGCTTTTGTTTTCATCAGAGCTCGCTTTTCTTCCATTACAAGTCATTGGGTATGCAAAAGCAGGTTAACCACTTCAGCTCCAGATTTTACCCTCTTCATGACCAGGTAATTTTTTTGGTATACTGCACTGCACTGCTTTAACTGGTAATTGGGCAGTCATGCAACGCTGTTCCCAAACAAAATATGTATTATTCTTTTTCACACAAATGGAGCTTTCTGTTGGTGGTTTTTGGTCACCACTGGGTTTTTTTATTTTTTGAGATAGAAGTGAAAAAAGACCACACATTTTGAAAAAAAAGATGTTTTTACTTTCTGCTATAGAACACATTCAATAAAAAAACATTAAAAAAGCTAATTTCTTCATACATTTTGGCCAACACGTATTTTTCTACATGTCTTTGATAAAAAGAAATCCAAATAAGTGTATGATTGGTTTGCGTATATATACTGGAATTTTCTTTTTTCTTATACTACCAATGGTAGCAATCAGCAACTTATAATGGGCTGCAGGAGTACGACGGGCAATCTGACACTAACTGCTACTGACATCACCAGTGACATTAATACAGTGATCAGTGAAAATACTATACACTGTCCTAAAGACACTGGCTGGGAAGAGGTAAAACATCCCCCTGCTTTGCAGGTATGAGAAACTGATAGATTGCTCCCTGTGTACAGAGCTCTGTGTTGAATGTCAACACAGAGCTCTGGGCTGTGACTGTACACAGCCGATCAACAGGTCCCAGCTGTGAATCATTGGTTGGGACTTGCTGACAGGCTCCCTCTGTACAATCACAGCGGGTGCTGGCAGGGGGCGCAAGCACCTGAAACCTGGAAGTAGACAGCGACGTACCTGTATGTCCCAACGGTAAAGTGGTTAAAGGCTAAGTTTAACCTTTAAAAAAAAAAATAATTGCATATAGTTCTGCAAGGAAAAAAATTGTGCTTTTTTTTTTTTTTAGTATTTATTTTTTAACGGAAGCCTTCAGAACATTGTACCCATGATTAGCAAGCTTGCATTTGCCCATCAACACTAGGGGTCTAGCCTGTCAATACAGTCCTTAGCTTTGAGGTAGCACAGTCATATCACTCATTACATTGTGTCATAATACCACCTTACTCATCAAAACTTTCAGGCATTAAAATGTGTGAAAATCTTTGCTAATTTATAGTGTTTAGTGTGTAAATACACAATAGGTAGGCTTTGACACTTAAAGGTAGGTGTCATTTGGGTTCAGTAGTGCTTCTCTAATGTGTGATACAGTTAGGACCATATATATTGGACACAGGCACAATTTTAATTTTCTTTCAGGTATTTACCAAAACATATTCAAGCTATTGTTCTGTAATGGATATGGGCTGATATGTGCACACTCTCAGGTTTAATTTGAGGGTATGTACATCGAAATTGGAGGAAGGGTTTAGGAATTACAGCTCTTAAGAGTAGCCATCCCACCTTTTTCAAGGAAGCAAAAGTAATTGACCAATTGAATCAAAAGTTGTTTCATGGCCAGGTGTGGGCTACTCCTTTGTTATTTCTTCATCAGTTAAGCAGGTAAAAGGTCTGGAGTTGATTCTAAGTGTGGTATTTGCATTTGGAATCTATTGCTGTGCACCTACATCATGCGTTCAAAGGAGCTGTCCATGCACGTGAAACAGGCCATTGCAAGGCTTCAAAAAAAGAAAGAAATCCACCAGAGAGATGGCAGCAACATTAGGAGTGGCCAAATCAACAGTTTGGTATATTCTGAGGAAAGAACGCACTGGTGAGCTCAGCAACATAAATAGGCACGAACGTCCACAGAAGACAACAGTGGTGGATGATCGTAGGATCCTCTCTATGGTAAAGAAAAAAACATTCACAACATCCAGACAAGTGAAGAACACTCTCCAGGAGGTGGGCGTATCCTTGTCAAAATCTACAGTCAAGAGAAGACTTCACAAGAGCAAATACAGAGGGTTCACCACAAGGTGCAAACCATTCATAAGCCTGAAGAATAGAAAAGCCAGATTAGACTTTGCGAATAAACATCTAACAAAAAAAAAACAGACCAGTTCTGGAAAAATATTCTTTGTACAGATGAAACTAAGATTAATCTGTACCAGAATGAGGGGAAGTAAAATGTGTGTGGAGACGGCTTGGAACAGCTCATGATCCAAAGCATACAACGTCACTTGTAAAACATGGTGGCGGAAGTGTGATGGCATGGGCATGCATGGCTTCCAGTGGCACTGGGTCATTGATGTTTATTGATGATGTGAAAGAAGCAGCTGGATGAATTCTGTAGTGTTTAGAGAGATACGGTCAGCCCAGATTCAGCCAAACGCAGTAAAGTTGATTGGACGGCGCTGCACTTCAAATTCATTTGGATTCTTTCTTTTAATTTATTCCGGTGGCATGAAGTATGAAAATTGTGCCTGTGTCCAAATTAGGTGTGTGTGTGTGTGTGTGTATGTGTGTGTGTATATGCGTGTGTGTGTGTGTGTGTGTGTATATGTATAATATATATATATAATAGTTTTGTGTATATATACTGTATATATCTTGTACATCCCTCACATCAGCCCACTGCGGAACGTAGCAGTGTCCAAGGAAACATCCACCCTATGATGTTGCATAACTGTTTTGATCGTGCTCCAACTTTCTGCCTTACAGACCACTTCCCAAGGCCTTGTGTGCAATCTAAATTTTCTTCACAGTATAGGATGAAATTATTCTTGGAGGAGTCACCAGTCCCCTCTTTGAACCTGATGAAAAGACAAAAGAGGTTGTCTACCTTTCTGAATAGAACAGGAACTTGGCAGCAAAGAGAGATGTGGATTCTCCAACTAATGAGTAATTTCTCCGATTTCTGGAGTCAGTCCGACTCTTTAGAGGTTTCCAAATACCTTGATATACGTCTTCCTCTGACTTTTTTTTATCCTGGGTTGTTTCTGTAAAGCAGGATCTGCAAACCAACTTATCTGGCACTGCTGGAGTAGCACATGCACAATGCATATTTCCCCAGAAGTGCAATGAAAACAGATCATGTGAAAAATCTAAATTGTTCTCACAACGGTAAGTAGACTTGCACTTGCAAGAAGATTTTAGCGTGCAGGGGGGCTTTAACTGTGGAGCATCAGGTTGGCTTTCATGGGTAACTGAAGAGAGCGCACTAGACGCCTCTGAAGACCTACCTTTATTCTGTCCTGGGCACTAAAGAATAAAGAGATGTTGGTTGAGAAGGCAGAAAAGCTCCAGATAACAGAAACAGCAGATGGGGAGAGCACAAGGGAGCAGATGAGAAGCAAAGAGCCAAAGGATTCTGCACATGTCTAAACCAGCACACAGACTGGAAATTAACTAAAAAGACCACCTCCCTATAATCATGGAAGCTGCAGCAACCAGAAAGTTTACCAACCTCCTTCTCCATGACTCACAAGACAGCCAATAGTAAGATTGTCCCTGCTGGGCTGGAGAGATACCACCCCACTGCAGTTACGGCATGGCCAGGGAAGTACAGGAACCAGCATGTCCACAGGAAGAAAACAAAAGGAAAGGAAACTGGGTTTGCCCGCAGCCCCTCACCGAATCAAAAACTGAAACTAGTGCGGCCCAAGCACCACAGGGACCTACAGTATGGGAGATTTCCAATGCAAGACAAAGGGTCATCCACCCAGAAGGTATCTGAATTTGGCAGGCTGAATATGAACAGTCTATTAGTTGGTGTCCAGAGCTAGGATCAAAACCTAAACTTTTATAGGCTAGTTAGGGCTTGTCCTGAAAGGATCATAGGGGCAGAGTTAACCAATGGTAGGCTGATGTGAGAGGGTCCAGGGACAAACAAATATATACACATTATAATGTAATATAATTTATTTATTTTTGTGACTAGCTGCACCAAGCAGGTCAACCCTCTCACTATTGGGATACCAGCCCATATCATTTCTCTTGGGTTGGGCATACCTTTTAGTTAAACCTAAAAAAAAAAAAAAAAAAATGAACCTTACAGTACAGACCTTAAAAAAAACAAGATTAACATTGGAATATCTTTAGTATGAATAATATAAATAATGCAATAGTTCAGGATAGAGTAGGGTTGTATATCCCTGTTAGGTCAATCCACCCTTTCCATTTGTCTTAATGACCAATCACTGAGTGAGAAAGTGAGGGAACACCGAAGTAATGGGCCTCGTTCACACCAGTGTGCAGAGACATCAATTTTTCTGAACACTTTTTGCAAGGGCAAAATGAAAACAATTGTTCTCTATGTGCCCTGTTCACACCACCACACAAGTATCGCGTGCAGATTTTTTTTTGCACAGGAATCTGCAACGTATAAAACGCATTGTAACGCACATGAAAACTGATGGAAACTGACATGCAAAATTCACTTGCAGAGACATCAGTTTTCCCGCACATATGATGTAAAGGAGCCCTCTCCGGAACAGAGGTGAGGTTACTCTTCCAATGTATATGGTCTAGTGAGATTAGTTAAGAAATCTCACTTTCTGATGCATCTCCAGGACAGGAAGAGAAGGGAAATCTTCTGATTGCAACGTACAGCAAAAAGTAAAGTGAAGGGTCTTTAATCGTCCCTTACTTGTAGATTCAATGTTGGTGTCCTTTGTAGCTGCCATTTCACAATTTAACAGATTCTAGTGCTAATTATCATACCAGTGTTTAGCCCAGGTTTTCTCATGTAATTATGAAACTTTTACGGCCAGTTCACTCACAAAAATGCAATCTGGAATGCATTCCAGATTGCATTTTTGTAAACTGTTCACGCCACACGCAGTTACGGTGCAGTTTTGATGCAGTTTGCCATGTTCCGGTATGGTTCTATGCAGAAAAAAAATGCATCATGGTATTTTTTTTTTTTTTTTTTTTCCTGCACCGGAAACTGACTAGAACTGACTGCACTGGTGTGAACCAGGGCCATTGGAATACATGGAAAACACTGTGCATGCATTTTTGACGCTGAAAAAAAGTGCACTGAACTGCATCTAGTGTGAACTAGCCCTTAATATATGTCCTTACATATCGACATGAAACATTGTTTTCATATTGAATACTTAGTGTTACTAAACCCACTTTATCTGGTCTCCCACAGTACACAGATTATGGAAACGCAATTATATTAGTAATTATAAACTGCTAAATACCTTTTCCCATCAGCAGTTAGAGCAGTCTTGTGACTTTTAGCAGTGTCCAGCAGAGTACATGTTAAAGCTTGTAGGAGTTTTCATTCTGCTCCAGGATGATGCAGAACCCCTGACCTCTGTCTGGACAGTGCTGTTTGGCCCTGTGCTAATCACATGCACTCTAGCAAGTAAAAAAAAAAAAAAAAAAAAAAAAAGATTTAGCAATAAACAAAAGTAAGCATGTGCAGAGTGATTCCACACTGTCTTATCAGGAGATAAGAAGGGGAGGATCAGAGAAGACAGGCTCAAACAGCCTTTTTACACAATGCAGAGGATTAACCCCTTAGGTTGCACAGTGATTACAACAAGCATGCTTTACTGCATATACAGACTGATTTTACTGTTGTGGGTTTAGTAACACTTTTTAAAGCAGAACTGAGCCCTCTTATCATTTTTAGCCACGGAAGTTGCCATCTTAGCCTCTGCAACTGCCATGGTGCTGCACATGGAATCCGTTATGACACCAGCCATTTGATGGTTTCACAGTTTGGTTCAGAGTACAAGCAAATGTGACAGCATTCCTGTTATACTGGGAATGTAATGTTTTGAAACCTTTAAATTGATGGGATGTAGAAAATACTTTTACTTCCCCTTAAATGCAAATAAATAATTATCTGCAATTCTTATATTCAAACAGTTTTGTAAAAGTAATCCTTTGTTTTGTGGAGTGTTTTTTTTTTTTTTTTTTTTAGAAGACCGCTTGTGTATTTGTGGATTATGCATGTAAGCCAACCTCCCATCTTTCCAGTCTACTACAGACTGCTGAGATTTCTGTTTAAAGTGTTTGTGATAGATCTCATCTGTTTCTAAATGTTACTTTGGCTGAACATTTAACATAGACATTGCTGTATAGTCACACTTAATCAGCATAATTTGTAGTCCGATTCGAATAGCCTTGTGTAAACAATGTGCACATAAAAGTGACGTAAACCTCCATTCCTTCTGGATATGGCTGGACAAATCTAAAGAAATGGGACTAGGTAAACAGAATTGGAGATGACTGGTCAGGGATTATGTCTAGTTTTAAGCCCAGCTAGCACAGCACATTTGTTGAGAAATAAATAGGAGAAATTTGTGAGAAAAATATGGAAGGGTAGAGCGGTATAGGAGATTTAATAGCTTACTCTCCTGTGTGTCAGGATTGGGGGCCCAAACCCATTTACATTGAAGAGTCCCTCAAACCAAGTCTTTCCATTATACAGGGTGAGGGCCACAGCATATTGCCTTGTTACACCTTTATTTAAAGGACAATCATCTTCTGTTGCTCCTTGACATGGCAGTGATATATGTCCTGTCCATGTGCCTGTGCATACCTTTACAACCATGGCAAAGCTTGCTTTAGTACATTTCTGGGGTGGGGAGGGCTCTTTAACACACACACAAAACGCCTGCAATCTTTAGTTTTGCTCCTTGTCAGGGCTGTTGTACCCCCTTTTATTTCTCTCAACAGGTTTGCCTTATTTCTATTGCCTGCCAAGGTGCCAGCAGTTCATTCTTGGATGGATGGGTTAGCAGGATCCATACCTCCTATGTGGACCTAAGTTGAGGGTCACATGCAGTGTAATCCTAGGTCCAGGGCCTCTGCAAGATATATATAGAAGTAGCTCTAAAGTAGACCTATAAACGTAAGGTTTTGCTGTCTAACGGAGTCATTAGCTCAGCTTAGTTAAGACAAATCAATTAGCAAAAAAGTACCATTATTGTATAATTCTCAGTTAGAAGCAGCAGAGCAATCCAACATATGTAAATGCCTAGGCACCCTCTGTACTTCTAGCCTCATTTACCTGCCAGGACTTAAAATGGGTCTAGGCAAAAGAGCTTTGGGGATTGCCATATTCACAACTGACTTACTGGCTTGTCTTTTGTTTGTAGGATACATTTTCATTTGTCGAGGTCTGTTTTTATTAATGGGCATGCACTAGTTTAAAACCTTTCACTAGGTAATAGATCCACATTAAAGGGTTGTGATGCACAACAGAATCTCGTAATTCTTTATCTTTTTTTTTTTTTAAGCAAACAATCTTCATTTTACTATCACAAGTGAGTAGGGAGTGTTAAGAAAATATTATTTTGCCTCTGTAGAAACCATTTTTATATTTAAAACATGGATATTATTTATATCAAGCTGACCCCTTTTAAATCGTAAAATGCAAATCTGAAAAACCATTGAAATGACTTTGCATTACCTGTTTAAATGAATCAATGTAATTTAGCACTGATAAAGCCTGAAAGGCATAATGTTAACCCTTGGCAATCTCTTGGTTGTTTGTCTTTTGTGAAACACAATCCCTTTAAGAAAATGAGGGGGGAGACAGAACAGGATCTATTCTGATGGGATCTAGTGACAACTGTCATTCACAGAGCTGGCCATCCAAGCATGAAACACGCTGGCTGAGCAGAGTTTATTACTGTAGATTTGGTTTTGTAGTGTTTGCTTCTGGGCCTTTTTTTGCCTGTACATTGATTGCTTAGCCGTTAATGCTGACACATTCTAAGTGGCTCCTAGCTGTACTCAGTTTGACTATTTATTTCGTCTTCCTAGAAATTGACAGGAGAGAAATAACCGCTGAAGTAACCAGCCCCTCAGGACAGACTACTGAGGCTGAAATAGTAGACCTGGGCCAGAATACATCTTGCGTGCGCTTTGTTCCCCAAGAGATGGGTGTACACACAGTCAGCGTAAAGTACCGAGGGGAGCACGTGCCAGGCAGCCCGTTTCAGTTCACCGTGGGGCCCCTGGGAGAAGGTGGCGCTGAGAAGGTAAAAGCTGGAGGTCCTGGCCTGGAGAGAGGGGAAGCTGGCATTCCAGGTGAGAAATCTACCCATCATTTTAAATGGAAAAAATAAATCTACTGATAGCCATATTATAAAGTACACCAGACTACATAGGCCACACATTTTGACTTCTCCCATAATTTCCATCAGTATGCACTCGTGAGTTCCAGTAAATATATCTGCAAACTTTTCATGAGGACTTTGTTGCTCGATTTATATGGTATGAGTAGAGCTGACCTGTGGTTGTAGTAGCAGTCTTTCCGTTTCTAGCCATCTTTCTTCTGTTGTGAAGTAGAACATGAAGGTAACATCCAAGTTATCTTGCTTAGAGAAACCCTTTCTTTGTTCTGTTATGTTTTTATGTTAATATAAAGTAATGTTAGAGCAGACCGGTGAATAGAAATATTTGATGTATAATGATGTTTTTTTCTTTTTTACTTCTCCAGCTGAATTCAGTATATGGACACGGGAAGCAGGAGCCGGTGGTCTGTCCATTGCAGTGGAGGGACCCAGCAAGGCAGAGATTTCATTTGAAGATCGTAAAGATGGATCTTCTGGCGTGTCCTATGTTGTACAAGAACCTGGTGTGTACTGGCCAAATACTGTACAATTTTTTAAATGTCATTTTAGAACAGGAATTTTTTTGCCATTTTAAAAATGGAACCGTAAGCTGTAATTTTTCTGACACCAATGATGGGGCACTGTTCCTTCCAATTACACCGATTAATGGAATAAGATAAGAGGTGGAGCGTAAAGAGGAAGGGTGGAGTTTACAGATGAAGGGGTGGATCTTAAACAGGGGTGGGAAGAATTTAGATAAAGGGAGTGCCTGATTTTAGTCTTGCCTAGGGCAGCTCAAAACCAAAATGCACCACTGGAATTGTGCTATGGCTATTGAGATTTTGCTCTGTGAGGCTGGACATAAACCACATCATACCACCTCAAATAGTACACTAAAGGAGGATCAAGACATTATAGGTACAGCATGAGTCCAAAATTTTACTTTTTAAAACTCCACTTGTTTTCACCAGCAGATATTTCCAACTGGTTAGACCTGTCTGGTGCTTCCCTGGTTAATTTTATTTGCCGTTAAATTGTATCTAAAGCCAAGACATTTTTGGGGGGTTTTTTTTAGATTAAGCAGGGAATGGTTTAAAAATTCTTTCCTAATGATTATGGAGATTTCCCTCCAATTCCTATCCTGTAGACAGGAGAAATATCTCCAAAGTATGAAACGTCCCATTAGACCAGTGTTTCTCAACTCCAGTCCTCATGGACCCCCAACAAGTCATGTTTTCAGGATTTCCATTATTTTGCACAGGTGATTTGATCAGTTTCACTGCCTTAGTAATTACCACAGCTGTTTCATCTGAGGGAAATCCTGAAAACATGACCTGTTGGGGGTCCATGAGGACTGGAGTTGAGAAACACTGCATTAGACAGTCGTAAATGAAACAAGTGTCCTCATTGTAAGGCTTCTCCTCTATACCTGTTCTGGTAACAGCTCAAAATTTTGGACTTTCCATCAACATTTAGTCCTGATGGCAGTGGTCACCAGGACACATAGAGAAGGGTGAATCTCTTCAACACGACACAGTCCACATTAAAAACTTAACAGTGGTTGTAATCCCTCATCACTCTATCCAAAAGAGAAAAATAAAGTTTGCATGTTAAATGATGGCTTTGGGTGTTTAACACATTACTTATGCCTATTTGGCTTTGTAACTGTTTTTTTTTCTTTCTTTTTTTTTTTTCTTCTAGGTGACTATGAAGTGGTCATCAAGTTCAACGATGAACACATCCCTCAAAGTCCTTTCTTGGTTCCCATCATCGCTCCATCTGATGACGCTCGAAGACTCACTGTCTCTAGTCTTCAGGTGAGGCACAAGGAAACATCCCTTCTGTCTGTCAACCTGTGACCTATTAAATCCTTGTTTACAAAGATACCAAACACAGACAAGCGCACTTAGTTTAAAGTATATTTAAACCTTCACCTTGGAAAAAATTTGTGTACAGATCTAAAACCACATTTATAAGTACTTTTTTTTTTTTTTTTTTTTTTTAAGTAATTGCATACCCTCTTTTCTCAGCTTCATAAAAGCTGAGGAATAGAAACAGCAGTACATTGAACTTCCCAGTGAATAGCTGTGTAGGGGGATGCATGTTAGCACTGCTTAGTGTGGTCAGTTTTGAATAGGAAAGCAGAGGGGCAGGATCACCAGGTATTTCACACAAAGGAAGCAATAGAAAGAGAGCAGGATACTTTTTCATACAAGTATATGGTACAGCAGGAACATATCAGGAATAGGAAATGTTGGGTTTACATATTCTCGAAGTCCAACTTAACCCTAAACAATCCTAAACTCAGTAACCACTGTGACAAGGACAGAAATGGGACTTTTCCCAATGTGAACGCAGATGATTTTAATTTACCAGCACTCCTAGGTTTTCCCCATTCAGTCCACATTTGGTTGGGGGGGGGGGGGGGGGGGAGGGAGGTTTTGGCTGGACTCCACTTTAGGGTAGTATAATGATCCTTTTTGAAGTTAATATTCTCTATAATTATATTCAGATTTGCAGCAAACAGTAAGGGCCAGTTCACACTACGGAAAACGCAGTACCGATGCGCTTTGCATGCGCGTTTTTGACAGGTTCCAGTGCATTTTTTAAGCATTCCAGTTCATTTTTGAGGTTGACCCTCATTATTGTCTTGTAAAAGATGTGTACTGTAGAGACTTTAATCTCTTGGGATTCATCATCATTTAGTAAGTTCTTAAACTAAAGTGAGGAAAAGGCCTCTTAAATGAATCTTTAGCAGACATCTAGGATGCCCCACATTGGTTGTTCTGATCTGTAAGGCTGACCATACCTTAATGGTTTGGTTTTTTTTTGTTTAGTCAGCAGGCTGATATAAAAGAAAAAAAAAAAAAATCTCAGATTCCTCTGTTCACACTGACAGGACAGATGGAGGAATGCCCACTGCCAGGCTATTTTTTTCTAACAACCACCACCACCGGCTGTCAGAATACCCAAATGACCACTGTTCGGACAACCGTTTGCTGCCTGGCATCTTTGGGGTTTTTTGTTTCTTGAAGGGGTGTCAGGTGGAATGGAACCAGCAGAGCCCCTGCATAGCAAATTTTGGCAAGCTCATCAGGAACCAGACAAAGTTTGCACAGTACATGGCCAGCTTGGGAGATCTGACAATACACACATTGCCAAACCTGACCTGTCCAGGCCCTTGGTGCCTAAACTGAAACCTCAATATATGATGGAGCTGTCAGAAACATTCCTGCGATAATACACAGCTATATTATAACATTCCTAATCTCCGCTGTAGGAGGCAATGTCACCTCAAGTCGTGGCTGAGCAACAATATTCTGAACTGCTGCTTTAATAGACCTTCTGCGGCTGTGTCAGATGTTTTTTATATTTACAGTATTGGCCAAGTTTAGATGAACAGTTGGATGGGGTTAAAAAAAGATTAAGCAGATGAGCTGCGTTTTAGGCCCCCCCCCCCCCCACGCATGCGCGCACACACACACCTCTCCCGCCAAACATAATCCATTCAAGTGAATAGGGAAGCATAACACCCCACAGTTGCATGCAATGCATGAGGTTGCTGTACGTTTGGCAAAAAAGGGTTAAAACCGGCAGTGAGTAACATCACATTGCCTACTCACTGCCTCTAAAAAGCAATCTGAATGCAGATTGCATTTCAGAGAAGTGGTGGGTTTAGATGTACATTTAGACTTAGCCGTTAGGGTTGTTTACAAGGTCATAATTGGTCACAGTTGCATTTTGGTGTTTTTCTTGTGTTTCATTTAAAGACTTTTGACAGCTTTTTTTTTTCCTCCACAGTACAGTTGTTTGCTAAAGAGGGTGACAAAGCATAATCCATTGTACAAGTGCACTGTATTGTATCTTTACACAATGATACAATGCTCCAGCCCTCCTTAGCATTTAGCTGGGATATGGTAACCAACATATTCTGCAGAAATATTTCTAATATGTCCATTGTGCTTTTACAATTCTATTTAAGCTGATGAGAAATGAGAGTGAGGGTCCAGTTAACCTAGTAATACATGAATTTTTTTTTTGATGTTTATTTTTTTCTTGTTTGTTTTTTTTTTTTTTTTTGATCAGCCAGCAGGCTGACAAAAAATATGAATGGATTCCTCCATCCACACACGCAAGGTGGATGGAGGAATCCTATCCTCTGTGTTGTCTATTCTGACAGCGGGGACGCCACCGCTGTCAGAATACACTGATCTGTATTGCAGCCACTGATCATATGAAAAATTTCCAGCATCCTGTTCAACAAACCTTGATCATTAGTTCGGGAATGACCACAGATGGATTGAAATTCTTATGGTCCATGCTGATCCAGCCAAATTTCAATCCATCTATTGCCAGTTTTAGCCTTTCGAATTTAGAAATACATGAATTCACAATATTCAATGTTAAAGTATAACTAAGCGTAATTTTGAATAGAATGGAGATGGATTAGAACACCTGTCAGTGTTTATTGCAGTCTGTTCCCCCCCGTTAGGGGATTCACCCTCTTTGTCCTGTTTACCATTATCAGTGAAAGTGACATAAAATCCCAAATTTTGGTTTGACCTCAGAAAAGTAATGGAGGGGAAATTTTCCAATGCGGCACTAGTTCTGGTGACTTGGGGGTAGTCAAGGAATTCCTTTTAATGTGCAGGAATTTCCTTTTACTTCCTGTTTTGGCTATGGGACAGGAAGTGAAGGTAAATCTCTCAAATGGGACACAAATGGCAAAAAAATAATCTGACGGGTTATAACCCTCCCTAACTCTACGCAAAAAACCATATTTTTTTTCCATTTTGGATATAGTTCTACTTTAATTAAATGGTGTTTTTTTTTTTTGTTTTGTTTTTTTAGTGCCATAGATTTTTTGCTAACTGTATGAGGCAGCTACACTCACATTTAAAGCTGCCCTGGAAAATAACACATTTTTCTCCATTGACTGACACAATATTTCATATTACGTAACCCTGGGTTATGTTGCCATCTACAGGAGGATTAGATACTAGGCACGAAAAATTGGAGTCTAGCCCCTAGGGACCATAACTTCCCCCATAACTAGTCCATTCAGTTGTAGCAAGCAGTATGGAAACATAAATTGTAACAGCGATATATACCCTAAATGGGGAGGGAGCTGTGTTACTCTATGGGTTCCAAAAAAAAAATTTGTACAGCGAGTGTAAAAATCTAACTTTGTCTTGTCTGTTGAGGGACACAGTATATTCTTGGTTCATGAATGTGCTGTGTTAAATTCATTCGTAATTAAAGTGGTAGAAAAAGTTGCAAAACATATCTTTAAATATTACTTCCCCCATTGCTTTGATATTCCTTGAACATTTTTGCTCAAATTTAAATTGAAAATGTTTTCTACGCTTTTCTATGTAATTGTACGCTTGCAAAGTTCCAGCCCTTGATTATGTTGCGATTGGTGGGCATGAATGCCTTGCAGCTATGGACACTTTTGAATGAAGTTGCTGCTCTATGGGATTCAACAGCACTCTTTGCCAGCAGAGCGACAGACCAGTCAGAGCTATGCAATCATGTAACCTCATAGGAAAACATTTATATTGCAGCTTACCAATACTTAGATGTGGTTTCTGCAGTTTTCTTTGTTCTTTATCTTATTTTCACCTGGTGATCTGGCCAGTAAGTCTGTTGTTTTTCAACAAAACAAACTGTCCTGTAGATGTAGCAGTTGGAGGTTTGAGACAATCCATTTGCCACTGACGGGGTGCTTACAATGATCCGCTTTTGTCTACTTATGTAAAACCAAAAGGAACAAAACTGTTTGCTGTAACTGCCTAAAAAGCGTTAGCTGGAATTTGGCTTCAATTTGTTGATTTTTCTAAATCTACTAGTACATTTAACATTCCCCTCCACCCAGACTGGATGAAGGTGCACAGAGGGCACATTTTGACAGCAACATTTTCAGAGTGGGGGCACTGTAATACCGGAGGACTATTACGGATCAGATCCCCAGGGAAAATGGGGGGGGGGACTAAAACAAAAAAATGCATCTACCATATCTAATGATTGGTAAGCTCCTCACCTCTTAGTCTGATTACAGCTCCAAAATTTTGGATTTCCCATCAATTTCTGTCAGTGACAATAGTCACCAGGAAGCAAAGAGTTTAGTTTCCCCAGACAGAGAGCAATATACAAATGACACAGTCTAACCCCTCCACAATTTATTTAAAACGAGAAAAATTGCCATTACATAAACTTTAAGCTGTTTTTACAGGAATGCAGTATATTAAATATTTAACATCTTTGCTGTTCAAGCCCTAAAGAAATGTTTTTTCTTTTGGAGAAAATAGTGTGAGTGATGTGTCTACTGTACGTCTCTAATGCCTGTGGTTGTGATTGTCAGGAGTCTGGGCTCAAAGTCAACCAGCCAGTATCATTTGCTATCAGACTGAACGGGGCTAAGGGCAGAATCGATGCCAAGGTGCACAGCCCCTCCGGAGCAGTAGAAGAGTGCCATGTGTCAGAGCTGGAGCCAGGTAAGAGCAGAGAGTGCAGAATGCAGGAGACCTAATTTAATACATACAAGAATTCTGGGTTGTCAGTGTGGTGAAAATGCACCATATATTTTGTCTTAGTCAATCAATATAAAGTTTATTTACTTGAGTTAGAGTGTTTTTCTAAAGTACAATTTTACATTTCCAGGAAAAGTTTTATGACTTAATGTGAGTGGATATAAGATGGGGATGTCTGCAAAAAATAAGTACGTGCACACTAAGGGCTCATGCACACAGCGGCAATGGGGCCGTACAGTGTTCATGATCCCATAGTACCTTCATAAGACCCACAGCAATTACAAGATGCATCTATTTGTGTGTGTGCACCGGTACTTGAGTATAACGCACATGAATGTATGGCCCAAACCAAAAGTCTGCGATATTTGGGAATATGCCTATGCACATATTTTAAGCAAGTACCAATGTATACTTTAATAATAATTAGTAAACACAGCGCATTACAAATAAAGTCCATATGACTAGTGCTTCGTGCTCATGTGCTTCAGTAACAGTGTCACATGTTCTGAAAAATCCAATGTAAAGAGCCTCTACCTTGAAACAAATTTCAGTCGTGTGGTGCTCAGTGCTCCCTCCCCTGTGCACTCCTCATTCACCATATAAGGTGGACTCCTAGCTTTGTGGGCTTAAGAGTCAAAACCGCTTTTCTCTGGAGGGATGCGCTCACAAATGTTTTCAGGATTCAGAGTACCGGACCCATAGTTGTAATAGGAAAGGTTCAACCCATCCGCTTCCCATCAGTTAGATACCAAAGGGAAGCAAAAGGAACACTAATAGTGTAATATTGTCATGCCATTTTATTAGCTACAACAATATATTTTACACTCCCATTCCATGTATAACAAATAGCCTTGTAATATAATATCCTCAGCCTCAACAAGGTGATGCAGTGTTATAAAGATGGCTCCGGAGCGCCGCTGGTTCATGTGTGCTCTCCACTCACCGGACGTGATGTCACTCCAAACAGCTGGAAATTGCATCAACGCGTTTCGCCCCTCCTACAAGGCATGCTCAGACCTATGAGGACTCCCTGTAAGAGGTGTGAAATACGTTGACGGTGAGTGGAGCACACACGAACGCTCCGGAGCCATCTTTAGAATACTGCATCACCTTGTTGAGGCTATTCTATTACAGGGCTATTTGTTATTTATGGAATGCGAGTGTAATATATATTGTTTTCGTCATCCCACCAGAGAAAAGCTTTTTTGACTCTTAATCCCACATAAGTCCACCTTATCTGGTGAGTGAGAAATGCACAGGGGAGGGGAGCACTGAGCACCACGTGATTTAAATTTATTTCAAGGCACGGGATATTTACATTGGATTTTTCAGAATATGTGACACTTATTGAAGCACATGAATACAAAGCACTAGTCATATTTATTATTTGACTATTATGTATTCGTGTATTTCACTTTTGAGCAGCAGCATTCTTCAGCATAATTTGTTTAGTTGGCACAATTATTGTGGTATGGTAGCGTGGGTTATTTGTTTACTTTACCAATGTATACCTGCCTACAGCTGCATCTTATAGTTGCTGTCAGTGATCATCTGCATGCAACAGATGTTGGTCCCAGGGAAGTTTTTCCAGAGGTTCAGGATGCTAATGAATGCTGTACAGTCCTTGCCATGTACATGAGCCTTTATGCATTAGCAGAAATGCAGTTTAATAACAAGATATATAAAAAGCATGTTTGGTTTTGTTGCTGAATCTTCGTCATCCGTAGAGATAGGACATGAATTCTTGTGGCTGCCTTCGCACAGCACTATTGACGTTAAGCTATTGCAGCTCACATTTAGAGAGCGCAGTCAAAAGATGGTCCTACCCAGGATGTAAAATAGAGCGGAGATTATGTTTTAGCATCCTAAGAATAGAGATGAGCATGGGAGTTCTCAGAACTCATCGCTATCGGAAACATTTATTAACGTTCCACAGTCCAATCCAATGTGTGCCGGGTCATTCCCCACTCTGCAGCACAGGACAATGAAGGTCTGGGATACTGGTAATATCAGTGCCCTTACATACTCCAGTTTGTTTTTTTTCTATGCATTCGTTTAGGGACATGGTACCCCTCCCATCCTTTTTGGGGAACCATTAACCCACCTAAGCTCCTTTGTGTGACCAGCATCCTGGTACTTTGTTTACATTTTGCTACGGGGCAGGGAATGACCTGATGCCACTGATTGGACTTCCAAAGAGTGTGAAGTAGAAGTTTGGATAAAAATGGGAAGTTATAAGGGACGCCCAACCACCTCTCTACCAAAGAAGTGACCAGTATCATGACAAACGCAATTAGGTTTTGGCCACTTACCAAACCTAGCCTTAAAGAGGAGCTGAACTGTAAAAGTTGCACCTAAAAATGGCAAACAGAGGGCTAGTAACCAGTATTGGCTGTGGTCTCTGTGCAGCTAATATTTTTCCTATTGCTTGCCATGCCTTGTTCATCATTGTGACGCTGTGTGGAGGCTGCCATCTTGGTAGATAGCAGGAATTTGCTTCCTTATCTCTGATGACCGGTGTGGAAATTTTCAGGTAGCTAAACCAGAGGTCGAGGAAGCAGATGCACAGATTTCCTTTCCAGCAACACAGCGGTGACCTCACCAATTCTTACTCCAAATCTGCTGAGATTAGCAGTCAAAGGCAGCAGAGCCTTCGGTCTCACCCTGCAGATATACATGAGGTTGGGGACAAAGTTGTAACTGCACAGCTATTTAAATTGTTCAGAGTACATGATCAGCATTTGCAGATACTGGAACTTAGTTTAATTTCATAAGCAGATCTTGTAGATAGGTGGTGGGTACAAGAATGTAGTTTTTGGGATTCACATCAGCTATTACTGGCCTTAAACTAAATTCTACTTCACATGAACTAAAAGGTTACATGGCAGATTTACCCAAACACTCTTTCTGGAGGGGGTTAAAAAAGTACCTCTTCCTTAGCCAGAAATCATGCAACCTTTAGACAGACAATGTTGAGATTTTAAAAAGATTCCTGCTAACAAGGCATTGTGGGAGATCATACAGACGAAAAGTGTGTTGCCTTCAATCAGACATGCAGTGAAATCAGGGGATAAGCAGGAAGCAGGGGATGCATGCTTAATGAGTATTCGCCCCCCCCCCCCCCCCCCGAACATGTCTCATTACGAGCTATTTAGACGTTTGATATCTAGTACGAGAATATTGTCGGGAGTATAGCATGATCAGTTTGTTTTAAGGTTTCGACATTTTAATACATATGATTTACAACACAGCTGACCCATGTTCTGAAACTTGTTGTGTTCACAGACAAATATGCAGTACGTTTTATTCCACGAGAGAATGGCATACATACAATTGATGTGAAGTTCAATGGTAGCCATGTGCCTGGAAGCCCCTTCAAAGTGCGAGTGGGAGAACCAGGACAGGAGGGTGACCCTGCACTTGTGACGGCGTATGGAGCTGGACTGGAGAGAGAGGAGTTACAGGTAGGCAAGCATTAACCGGGTTAGATTTATAATTCCTATTTCAGGAAAAAGCTTCGTTATTTAAAAAAATAAATAAGTAAAAAATAGTGTATTTGTTTTCAAGAGTGTGAAATAGTTGGACATCAATAAAAACTTAACAGAAGGTCTATGTCCCAGTTATAGAGATTCACCCCTCTTTCTTTTGATGACTGTTGTGTCTGAATGATGTCCTGGTCACAATCCATGCAGATATGTTGCCCTGCTCTCTGAAAAACTGATGGAGAGCATCCCTTTGCAACTGGGGCTAGGATGGTCCTGTAAAAAGTCAATTAAATGAAACCTTTATTGAAGGAAATACAGAAAATTATTATGATTATACAGGATTTATATAGCACCAACAGTTTGCTCCGCGCTTTACAAAATGAAGGTAGACATTAGTTACAATACAATTTGGTACAAGAGGAAGCAGAGGACCCTGCTCATTAGAACTTACAATCTAAGAAAACAGAGGGCCCTACAATGCTGCCCCTCTTCTACAAATTGCAAATGCCTAGCTGTCTCTGGCTTTAGAATTGCAAGGCACTGACCTGGAACAGGTAAGTAAAAGGGGTAACTGAAGTTGGAACTCTAACATTTTCAAAATAGGTAGTGTTTTCCAAAGACAGCAATGACAACCTTCCTATAAACTTCATATTAGGTTTCCTTTAAAGGCATTCTAAACCTTCCTACCTGCACCTGGTGTTTTTCACCTGCATAAGATGTGCATTAATCATGTAGTTTCATGGTATCATTTGTTGTCCTGTACGCACAATCGTCACATTCCAGTGTCAGAAGTTTGTGTTCAAACATAAGGCTTGTGGAATGCCACTGCACAGGTTAATGTATGGCCTCTGTTGTCTAAGAACTGACACTTCCTGTGAAGAAAACTACATATCCCACAAGCCCTGGGTCTCAGTCTAGTACTCTGCAAATGAGAGCAACACAGTAATGAAGTCTGTCACACACTAAGTAGGCAGAGCAATTGATGCAGAGCTCATCATGCAGTCTTTCATAACATTAGCACTCCCACATTTGTGATACAACACAGAAGAAATGGTGAGGCATGGATTATGACCCAAAACAATATTCACAACGCACACGTTCCTGAAGGGTGAGTGGGTGCTATCGCGACTACCGGCTGGAGACTGGCGTGACGTCAAGGCAAGAAATGTCTCCAGCACATCAAGGTACATCATAAAAGGGTCCAATGCTTTAGTGCAGTGGTCTCCAAACTACGGCTCGGGGGCTGGATGCGGCCCTTTGCTTGCCCTTATCTGGCCCTTAGTGCACTTTCTCCCCATTAATACCAGACACTATTCCTCCCACTGACACCAACAAGGGGGCATAATTCCTGCTGCATCAACAGTCACTATTCTTCCCATTGACACCAACGATGGGGCACTGTTCCTCGCATTCACACCAACAATAGGGCACTATTCCTCTCACTGAAACAAACCATGGGGCACTATTCCTCCCACTGATGCCAACAACGGGGCACTATTCTACCCAGGGACACCAACGATGGGGCACTTTCTCCAACTTACACCAAGAATAGGGCACTATTCCTCCCCTAATGCTAAAGATACATTGTTTACTCCCAATGAAGCAGGACAATTTCTACTCCAATGGCCACAGTCTGGCCCTCCTAAAGTCTGAAGGCCAGTAAACTGGTCCTTTGTTTAGAAAGTTTGGAGACCACTGCTTTAGTGAATGATCACATCACAGCAGAAGATAGCACATTTTTGGAGCCACGCAGGACCCCTTCACCAAGCATGTGACCTCACATGCCTGATGAAAGAGTCCTGCAAGGCTGCAAAATCTCCAAGGATCTTCTGCTGTGATGTGATCATTCACTAAAGTCTAGGAATCTTTTATGGAGTGTGCTGGTGATATATTAACTGCCATGGATTGTGGGATAAGAGGACGCCTGTGCTTTTAGTGAATAGGAACAAGTTAGGTGTATGAATGCATGGACATAGCGGCATTGGTCAGCCATGACAGTACAAATTACTTTGCATTGATAGACTCTCACATGTTACTGCTGTAAAGAGGACAAACCATACAGGGAATATACTACACGAATACCTAGTTAGTAATACTAAACCTAAAAACATTGCTTGCATTAAGGTAAAAAAAACATTTTAACGTTCTCGTTGTTCCCCCCCCCCCCCCCCCTTTCCCTGTGTGAAGGGGAAGAGAGGGGAGAAGAGATCAGCACTGTGCTGCTGTCAATCAAGTGCGGTGAAGAGGAAGGGGGGCGGAGCCAAGTCCCGCTGTGTGTGTGTGTGTCTAGGGAGCATAACTATGTAGACACACATGTCAGGAGCGAGCACGCAGCGTTTGTCCCCAAAGTAAATGACTTGCTATGGGGACACACAAAGAGGAGGAGGAGCCAGGATCGCTGGAGGGGAAACCGAGAAGAGGAGGATCGGGGCTGCTCTGTGCAATACCACTGCACAGAGCAAGTTAGTATAACATGATTTTTATTACAAATGTAAAAAAAAAGTTGCCTTTTTAGTAACCATTTAAAACAGAAACACTGAGCACTTTCAAAGGTTTTATTTTTAACATGACCTTGGGGTTTAAGGAAGCATTGTAGGACAGATTGTGAAGTGTTTGGTGACTTCTGCTGTTGGAACAGTGTAACAGCATGTTCTCCTTCCTGCTCCATATTCCACTGTTCTGTGACATTGTACATCATGTAATCATTGTGTATCAGCTGTGTGCAGGCAACAGAAGTTTATGAGTGTGGCTAGATATGCTGACAGTTTGATGGTGCGGAAGTGACGGCAAGTCCTCATACTGTCAGCCTGTGTATGTCTGATAAGCCCGCAGTACATTCATTGTTGTGTTTACGGTCCTTGGACAGAGCCAGATCTTTGTTTTACAGCAGATGTTCTTATTCATTTATTCCATTGAACATAAACACAATGAATGTGTGCAAAGGAACAGTATTAGAGGATGCTAATTTTAGCGTCTGTTTATCGGGGAAGAGACTATGCCATGTGGATGGAACATTTGCATTATGTGGGCAGCTTGGCAGTGGAATCCAAGGATAAGGGAACCCTATCTTGTCACAGGCTGGCAGTGGCACTGTTTTAAAAATGGAAACCGATTTTAATTTTGTAACACAATTCGTGGACTTCTTCTTTGATCTGTTTTTTTGGAAAATTTTGGCTTTGCATTTTCCACTTTTGTTATGGAATTTTACACTGAATAGATTTCTTATTTGGCAGCCTGTGCTGGGCTTGTGTAGATTTCCTGTCAGCTGCATATGTGCAGCAGCTTGAGGGAGTGCAAAGGAAAGGGAGCCTCAAGGGACATTAGCTCAGTGTAGAAAGGTGGGTGCCAACAGTGATGGTTTTGTCAGGCTTCTAGGAGGAGGAGCATCTTACATGGTTAGTAATGGCTGAAAGAAAGCCTGTTGGCTTAGGAACATGCAAGCTACCATTCTACTGTCCAATGAGATGACCTCTGTGAGCAATAAAGACAATCTCGCTGCACAACTGTCAGGAATGGAGCTGCCAGTGGTGGTGGGACTCACCTGCCTTGTGGGCTGCAGTACCAGGGCTGGCCAGCGGGTGCTCTCAGCAACCAGAGGCTCACTCCTGCAATGAGCCATCACCTGAAGCTGATTACAACAGGTGTATTTAAGGAATGGCCAGGCCTGTGATCAAGGCCTTGGTGTATGTTTCCCATGGGCCCCTGTACCTGCATCCTGTCTGCTTTCTGCCTGTTCCAGATTCTTCTTCGATCCCTGACTCTGCATGAACTCCGCCTGTCCTGACCTCGGCTATTCCTGACTACTCTTCCGCCTGCTTCTTGTGCCCTGCCTGCCCGTTTGCTACCGACCTGGCCTGCCCGACTACGCTTAGTATTGTTTCTATTGTTATCTGTTGGAGGTTTGGGTTGGTTTGTTTGCACTGTGTTGTTGTTTAGTCTTGCACTGCGTCTATGTTTTGTTTAGTCTTAATAAATTGTCTTATTCACACTATACCTGAAGTCTGCATTTCCCTGTGTCAGTCCACACATTTCTGGTCATACCCGGATCCCTAACAACAACACGATAGAAGTTGGTGAAGCATCGCCATCAAGTCAGGCCCCAGTGACAAAAGAAAAGCAAATCAGAGGGACATAGAAGAGGTTCATGGCAACTCACCTTTCTTGAATCCACAGTCATGCCTAGAAAGCACAAAGTGTACCATCACTTCCTCTTCAATAAAAGGGCCTTTCTTATGGCATCTTTAGTTAATTCAGTGATGCATGCCTGTGCTTAAGTGTTTTAAGCAAACACTCATATAGAAAACTGACTCAAGCTACATTGCTTTGAGTAAGGGCTTGTATAGGCTGAAGCATGTAAGCACAGAGGTATGTTGCTGGATTTCCCCAAGGATACAATACAAGTGGCTCTTCATTCAAACAGGTGATTACCCAGCCTACTAAGCGGTGTATATGAATGTTAGATTAATTGGGTTTGATAACTTATTGCTCTTAGCTAAATGTGACACCATTGGAGAGCACTGTCACTGCAAAATATTTTATTTCAACTTCTGAAAGAATCCCACATAGGCTAGCATGCAGGACCCCATAGGTTTTTGTTTACTTGCTATAAGACATTCTCGCTCATCTTAACTCAGCAGTTCATTTACTTTTGCCAATGCAGCTAGACTTCCCAGTTCTATTAAATAATCTTTTAGAGTCTTTTGAGGATACCTGAACACCACACCTATTATAGGGTTGTAAAGTTCTTATAGAATACAGTTGTGCTCAAAAGTTTACATACCCTGGCAGAAATTGAGAAATTTTGGCATTGATATTGAAAATATGACTGATAATAAATGGCTTCATATGATCATCATCCTTCAATAAAAGAGCATTTTTTTGGCATGATAAAAAGGTTGTTTGGCTCCTTTTTAAATCATAATAACAGAAATCACCCAAATGGCCCGGATCAAAAGTTTACATACCCTGAAATGTTTGGCCTTGGTACAGACACACAAGGTGACACACACGGGTTAAAATGCCTATTGGAGGTTAATGTCCCACATCTGTGGCTTTTTAAATTGCAATTAGTGTCAGTGTATAAATAGTCAATGAGTTTGTTAGCTCTTGCGTGAAAGCACTGAGTAGGCTAGATACTGAGCCATGTGGATCAGAAAAGAACTGTCAAAAGTCATGCGTAACAAGGTAATGGAACTTTATAAAGATGGAAAAGGACATATAAAGATGTCCAAAGCCTTGAATATGCCACACAGTACTGTTAAATCACCTATTAAGACGTGGAAAGATTGGGGATCTCTTGATACCGAGACAAGGTCAGGTAGACCGAGAAAGATTGCAGCCACAACTGCCAGAAGAATTGTTCAGGATACAAAGGGAAACCCATAGGTAACCACAAGAAAAATCCAAGCTGCTCTGGAAAAAGACGGTGTGGTTATTTTGAAGGAACACAATGTGATGACAGTTGAAGAAAAATTAGCTGCATGGTCGAGGTGCCAGAAAGAAGCCTTTAATGCATCAATGACACAAGAAGGCCCAGTTAGGCATGTCAAGGTGTTGTCAAGCATGTTGTAACTGGGCTTTTTTGTGGTATTGGTGCAGTAAAAGCATCTTTCTGGCACTTCGACCAAACAGCTCATTTTTGTTCAAGTATCACCATATTGTACTCCTTAAAAACAATCACACCATCTTTTTCCAGAGCAGCCTGTATTTCTTTTGAGGTGACATGTGCAGGTTTTTCTTTGAATCCCAGACAATTCTTCTGTCAGTTATGGCTCAAATCTTTCTTGGTCTACCTGACCTTGGCTTGGTATCAAGATCCCCAAACTTTCCACTTCTTAATAGGTGATTTAACAGTACTGATTGGCATATTCAAGGCTTTGGACATCTTTATATGTCCTTTTCCATCTTTATAAAGTTCCATTACCTTGTTACGCAGGACTTTTGACAGCTCTTTTCTGATCTCCATGGCTCAGTATCTGGCCTAATCAGTGCTTCCACGTAAGCGCTAACAAACTCATTGGCTATTTATACACTGACGCTAATTGCAATTTAAAAAGCCACAGATGAGGGACATTAACCTCTAATTAGCATTTTAACCTGTGTGTATCACCTTGTGTGTCTGTACCAAGGCCAAACATTCCAGGTATGTAAACTTTTGATCTGGGCCATTTGGGTGATTTCTGTTATGATTTAAAAAGGAGCCAAACAACTATTTGATAATAAATGGTTTCTTATGATCATCATCCTTCAATAAAAGAGCTTTTTTTTTTTTTTTGGCATGAGCAGTCATATTTTCAATATCCATGCCAAAATGTCACTATTTCTGCCAAGGTATGAAAACTTTTGAGCACAACTGTATATATGGTGTTCAGGCTTTTCCAGTGAAGGATAATGTAATACTACAACATACAAAGACATAAAAAAAAACATTTGTGCACCTTCAACCTCATTGCAACAGTGTGGGGATGACACTTCTCTGTTCTAGCACAAAGCTGACATGTGGAGGACCTTGAAAGTCCTGCCCTAATTAATGTTTTTGAGATGTATATGAATACCTATTACGAGTCAGATCTAATTGCTTACCATCAGTACCTGACTTCATAGATGATCTTTTGCCTGGATGTACACACATTCCCACAGGTACACGTCACAATCTTGTGGAAAGCCTTCTGAGAACAGTGGAGGCTGTTATGGGAAGTTCCACAGTTTTGGAATGGGATGGTCCCACAAGCTCATATGGGTATGATGGTCGAGTGTCTACAAACATTTGTCCATAAAGTATTAAAAGCCTTTGGCATCCCAGCAAGGCATCTCATGCTATTTGATTTTTGACAGGATTCAACATCTCAAAAAACCCTACAACTTGCTCATGTTTCCTGTTTTTACCAAAATGCAGTCAGATCTTCTTGTGTTGCCAGGCTAATATGAATTTAACGTGTTTGAGAAGAGCTACAGCCATCTGTAGTTTTCGTAGTCTCAGTCTTAGTCTCGTACAAAATAACAGCTTCAGTCAGGATCATTTTAGAGCAAGAAATAAAATTCAGTTATTCTTTAGAAAATGGAAGTTGCATTTTCAAAGTTTAAATCTGGTTGCTTTGATATAGAACCAACCATGACAGTTCAAAAACTTTGATAACTAAAGCCTATTGTCCTTTACATAAGACTAGGTTAACACTAGCCCGCAGGCTGATTGCGTGTGCGAGGTGATTCCCGCACCTGCAACCAACCACATCACACACCTTTCGAGATGCGGGGGGTGCCATTCATTCTGAATACGGTTTCCGTGTGGATGCATTTCAGAAAAGGTGCATGCACCTTTTTTTGTGTGAATTGTGAGCACAGTAGCTAATTCAAATGATGTACAGCCCGCACTAGTGTGAACCAGGCCTGAATGAGGGCTTGGTAAACTGCTTTTTACTGGACATATAAAACCATAATGAGAATGTTTTGTATTCATTTTTATGTATTCACTTTTATGTATTCACTTTTACTTTTCCCTGACAGGTAAACAGTCAGAATTCATCATTAATACAAGTAAGGCAGGGCCAGGTGCACTCTCTGTCACCATCGAAGGACCATCAAAAGTGACCATGGAATGCAAGGAGTGTCCAGAAGGCTATAAAGTCCTCTATACTCCAATGGCCCCAGGAAACTACATGATTGGAATCAAATATGGCGGTCCAAACCACATCATGGGCAGCCCATACAAAGCCAAAATAACAGGTGACTCATGTGGCAACTGTGATATGTTTGAGCGATTTGTTGGTGCTACTTGATGGAAGAGTGTGTATGTATGAAAATATATCATGAAGGGTCATGAAGGCTACCAACAGAGGAATATGTTTATAAATCCTTTACATGATGCATTGAACTCTGGAATAAAGGTCAACTAATAATTAGGGAAAAAAAATACATCCTAAAGGTGTTGGTTAGTATTCCTTGGAAGAGTATTCTGTTATACAGAGCAGGTCAGTTATCTCGGTATTCAGAGCATTTACAAATACATAGCAGTGATAATGGCATGAAGAACAATATTAATGCTCTATGTAATATAATGTGCATGTAGGAAGGCTAAGTACAGTCGGCCAGAGTCATGAAGGAATTTGAGTTGTCACCCATACCAATCAATGTCATAAATGATGATAAATTAAACAATTCCAATTGGCCACTGTGGTCTCCCACTCAGAATTTCTGCTAAAGTCTGTCAGCTGACATCGTTCAGCTGGTCCAGACTCTGGAGAGCTCCTGACTTTAATTTCCAGCAGCAGGCTCAGCCTCTCAGCACTATGCTGAGATCCTGAGCCAGCCGCTCCCTGCACAGCCCAGAGCTCTAGGGTGCGCTGGAGGGGGCAGAGCAGAGAGCCGGTGACTTAGGCACTGGCTTTCTGCTCACTGATGACCGAGAACTGAGTGATTAGTGGTCTATGCTGCTGTCAATCAAGTGCCGTGAAGAGAAAGTGGTGGGCGGGGCACAATGTGTGTGTCTATGGAGCGTGGCTTAGTAGACACACAGGTCAGGAGCGAGCACGCAGCGTTTGTTCAAATAGCAAACAGCTTACTATGGGGACACACAAATTAGAAGGGGGAGCCAGCATCGGGGAACCTGAAAAGAGGAGGATTGGGGACACTGTGCAATACCAATGCACAGAGCAGATGAATATAACATGTTTGTTATTTTATTTTTTAAAAAAAAAAATCTGCCTTTTAGTAACACTTTTTAGTTTACAACTTTACTTTGCCATTAAAGAGATTTGATATAAAAAAACCTGCCAGTGTTGGCATCATCCTGTCCTGCCTTGTTACTAGGACACTCCCAGCCATTACTGTTTACCCCACCATGACAGAAGTGAGCTCCTAAACCCCAGCACATGTGTAGTCTACTATCTCCTCCACAACAGCATTGCTGAACTCTGCTACTGGAGTAGAGGAGAGAGCACATGCAAGGGGGTTTCAATCAGCTGGCAGTGTCTTAGCAATGTCCTAGCAACAAGGCAGGATGGGTATAATTCTACCACTGGGAGTTTTTCAGCCAGGCTTCAGGAGAAACATAAATAGCCTACACCTATAGAAAGGGAATTATTCAACTTTGTAGACAAAATCAAACTGTGCAGCTTTGACCAGACACCCCCTTGTCTGCATAGGCAGCTTTCTGGTTAAGGTGAACTAACCCTTCAAGAAAAACTATTCAGTAAAGGTTATGTTTAGTGGGCAGTTTTATGTTCTATATGGATGCATTATACCCCTTTTCTTTACAAATGTCTGTTCAGGTCATTTAAACCCTTTCGTGCTGGAAGGGAGGCAGATGCCAAATATTTCAGTCCAGGAAGGTAATGCTACAAACGTGTGTGTTCTGAGTTGTTCTAACAGAGGTAACAATGTGTTGTGATGTCCGTAATGCCTTTTAACAGTGACTACATAAAGACAAAAATGACTACTTTTTATAGAATAAAAACAACCTAACCTCTAATTCACACGGATGAAAGCTGATGAAGGAAAAATGGCTTCGGTGACAATAGCAACCAATCAGATTCTGTCAGATTTCTAGAATTTAAGGGCAGCACAGACTGTTCTTCCTTCAGACTTTCATAAGTAAAGCCCATTGTGACTTGTATGCTGCAATACAGAAGCACTAACTCGGACTTATTGGTGGCACGGAGCTAACTTCGAACCTTGGTGCCATCAGGTGTCTGATGTCCTGTATGCTCCCATCTTCGTCCCTGTACTATATACTTGACTCCCATATATGTCATCCTACAGGTCAGAGGCTTGTTAGTGCTGGCAACATCAATGAGACTTCCTCCATAATCGTGCAGTCTGTGACTCGCGCTTCCACAGAGACCGTTTATAGCGCACTGCCAAGGTTTGCGTCTGATGCCAGCAAAGTCACATCAAAAGGAGCTGGTCTGGCGAAGGCTTATCTAGGACAGAAAAGCAGCTTCACTGTGGACTGCAGTAAAGCAGGTAAGAATCCACACAGACGTATTACTTAATGAATAAAATTGTGAGTTTAGGGTTTAGTGGGTGCCATCTGCAGCTCCATTAAGGCTCCTGGATGGGGTTGAAGCATACTTTTTATTTATTTTTTTTTTTACCACTGACACTTTTTCTACTGCTCTGTTATGCAGGGTACACACTATACGTCTTGGGATGGTTTTCTTTTGTTTTGCTTTTTGGGGTTTATTTGCCATTCACCCGAGTGGGTTGAGTGAAAAAAACGTAGAGATTTGCTGTACTAACACAAGTGATGTTACTGCAGCAATCTCCCCTGCTGAGCTGTTGTATTCTAACAGGGGGACTGCCCCCTGCCAGAGCACAATGATCAGCATTCGCAGCCGTCGGCTGCGATTGCTGATGGGATGCTGGTTTTCTACCATGCCTGTTCAAACTAAGTCATGAGACAGGCTTCTGTCGGACAGGGAGCTGTACACACATGCCGAAATTTGACCGGTTTCTGCCGAACCAACTGTTCCGCCTGTGTGTACCCAGCCTAATGCAATTTCCAACCATTATTTACATATGCAGACAATTTGGAAGGACCTAGTGGGAACCAATATACACAAAGCTTAATGTAAAAACTATACAGTTCAAGTGGTATTAAACCCAAAACCAAACATTTTATATATTGCAGCTTACTAATCATTAATGGTGGCTGTATTAGTATTCTATTTTTAGGCTTTTTTTCCCTCTGTTTTCACCCGATGATCTGGCCAGGACCATACCTCCTGTATTAGAGTCCCCCCAGACTGACAATTCTGCTGTGTCCTTTCATCCAGTCTGGGGGGACGGTAGTGTTAAATGTACTGGCAGTTTAAAATACACATACATTGAAGCCAAACTCCAACTAATATTTTGTAAGCAGTTACAGCAAACTGTTTTTTTCCTTTGGGGATAAAGATTTTATGGGGCATCATGCCAAGGAATGTTTATATACAGATTGAATACATTTTGTGTTGCAACTGTCATTTAATATTTAGAACAGGTTTGATATAAACAGGGCATTTTGAATTGTTGTATGTATGTCATTAAAGTGGAACCCATTGATTTATTCGCTTTTAAAAAAGGTTACATTTCTGGTATGCCAAGAATGCTGTCAGATTTTCTTGTGGTCTCAACCAAACTGTTAAACCATCAAATGGCTGGTGTGCAGCATCATGGCATTTGAAGATCAGAGGCTAAAGCGACTTTACACTGCTCGGTTGCAAAAATGTGGTAAAAATACGCTTTTGCTGAATTTTTCCTGCATTTTTTGCAGCCTTGCCTGTGAAAACAGACGTCTGACTTTAAAAAATGCACCAAAACCGCAATCGTGGGTGCATTTCTGATGAATTATTCATTCATTGCAATGGGGAGATGCATTTTTTTGAAGTTTTTTTTTTTTTTTTTTTTTTTTTTTTTTCTGCATCAAACATACCAAAAATGCAGTAAGCAGGACTTTGAAAAATGCAATGGAACTGCAACTGACCAGTGTAAAGAGTTTCATAGGATTTAATAGTCATTACTAATATACAGGATTTATATAGCGCCAACAGTTTGCGCAGTGCTTTACAATATAAAGGGGGACAGTACAATTACAATACAGTTCAGTATACAAGGAATAGGAGGGCCCTTCTCATGGAGCTTACAATCTAAAGGCAGGGGGAGATGCAAAAAAGTCCAAAAGGTATTAGCTACAGGGGATGATCTGATGGAGGTGACTCAAGTATGGATTTTTAGGTGGAGGTGGCGTAGGCTTATCTGAATAAATGAGTTTTCAAGAACTGCTTAAAGGCGGACAGGGTAGGAGCTGACCGGACATACTGGGGTAGGGAGTTCCAGAGGATGGGAGAGGTTCTGGAAAAAGTCCTGAAGGTGAGCATGGGAGGAGGTTACAAGGGAGCTAGAAAGGTCTTGGGAGGAGCGGAGAGGATTTGGGTGATATCATGCATTTTTCCTCCATTTTAACACAAAAACTGATTGGTGTGACAGCAGCCTAATATGGTAGCTTTCTTGGCTGAAAACAGGAGGGTTCAGGTCCACTTTAACGGGATTCAGCACATAATATGCAAATGCCTGAACAGCTCTTTACAAAAATGATATTGTCGTTGCAATGACTGTCATACTCTTTTTACGGCTTTTTTTTTTTTTAGAAGAAAACCTGCTTATTTTTTACATTATTTGTATAGGAATTAAAATGTTAAAGTTACCTAGTCAGCACAGGATCACTTACAATAAAACACCAGCGCTGTAAAAGAAGAGGCACTGTATTACCTTTTTGGTGGCCCATGTAATAAATTGCCACTGCTCTGCAGGCAGTTGACCAGTCATGCGAGTCTAATGCCTGCTCCCCCTGCTACTCACAGTGGTTCTTCCTGCTAGCTTGTACATCTTGTGGCATATGGGCCAGCAGGGGAAACCACTGCATGTGGCAGGAGGAGCAGGTATTCACACTCTAGGGAACACTGAAGCAGCAGTGTTTCAAGACATGAGTGCTTCTAGCAGGGTCACTTTAGGCACTATCTGAAGGATAAAAACATATTTAGAGAACAATACAATTCACAAAAGAAAAATGATTTGCTTAATTTACTTTCAATATCGTTCCAGGTTCTAACATATTATTAATTTACTTTCAATATCGTTCCAGGTTCTAACATATTATTAGTCGGCGTGCACGGGCCCACAATCCCTTGTGAAGAAGTATCTGTAAAACATCTGGGCAACAAGCAATACAGCGTCAGCTATCACGTGAAGGAGAAGGGAGACTACACCTTGGTGGTGAAATGGGGGGAAGAGCACATCCCAGGGAGTCCCTTCACGTCACCGTTCCCTAATCTCCCAAAACTTGTTTCCAGGCAGAACAGTATCAAAGACCTGTAATATCTGATTACACAGAGCTGACATCTACAGATTTCTGGAAAATGGGATGGGGGGGGAAGAAAAAAAAAGAAAACTTGCATTGTAATTTTATGACATTTTTTATACTAGGGAAATTAAAATTTGTATGTGTGTTTTAGGTGTCCATGTGATAATTTAAATAGCAGATCTCTACTTTTGCAAGGGCTTATTTATACTTGTCCATGTCGTTTAACCCTTTTGTCTGCCAAGTAGAATAACTGCTTTGTGATAAATATGAATATTGGAAGGGGACCAAATTAAAGTGTAAGAATCCATATATTTAACTGGAATATCCGCCTGTGATTGGTTATGTAATGGAACTACTGAATATACAAATCTGTAGTCTCCAATCTCACGTCCAGTGCAATCTGAAAACTGGGCGTAAATCTGGTACTTTTAATCAAAGTGATGTTTGTAAATTGGCATGAAGTACACAGGCAGTTGAGGCGACCATCTTGAAAGCTGCACTAATGACTTTGATGATACCAGTAGCATGGGATGGATTTCTTAGAAGCTGCTAGAGCTACACATGATAATCATGCAGATGTCAGTACTGTAGAATGGTATCTTACGGATAGCATTGGCTTAGTGATATCAGCCGTAAGCGGTAGAAAGACCATAAGCTGGCTTTACCTTGCAAAATGGCACCCTTCGCGGTTTGTGATTGGAAAAAGCCAGTTTCAAGCACTGTTAAGTCACTTCAATGAAGACACTTCAAAATCTCCATAACATTACATTGCTTTTCCGTGGCTTATAGTTTCATCCAAATCTGTTTATCTTGTATAGCATGGGACACAGGCTGGATATCCATAGACCCTGGGTTGTAGACTGCTACCTTCAGGTGATTGGACACTGGCAAATCTTTTGGACATGTCCTCCTTGGGCGTACCCAGATAACCTGACCCCACCTTTTTTTTTCTAGTGTCCTAAATTGATGAACCTTGAGGTAGTACACCTGCCACAAGAGAATTAAGTAAGCTGCTATTGTAGAGCTCTTGTGAGAATGCTGGTTCCCTGGTTGGCAGCCTGACACCTTGGCTTCACTGTTTTCTGAGTCACTAATCTGGAAGAAGTATAGAGATAAGACATTCTGGCACTTATTTACAGCTTGATTACTTTGGGCATGGTTGAACGGAGCCAAATGACCAAAATTTTCAGAAGGTGGATTGCAATGGTAACCCCATACTTCTGTCAAGACAAGTGTACTTTATTGTTCCACTTTGTTTATTTTACATTTACTTTAGAGCAAAAAGGATTATTGATTAACATGTACTGAAGAAATATTTGAAAAGAAAGCATTGCACATAGCAGTCTGGTTTTTCCTGTTCATTTATAAACTGTATTTTAAAGCGGAGATCCACCCGAAAGGAAGTTCTGCTTTAAGGCCTCCTCCCCCTCCTCTTTCCGTAAGGTCACTTCTGGGGGGGGGGGGTTAGTGGGCACCTGATTTTGACAGGTAGCCTACTTCCAATCACCTTGTGGCAGAAGTAGGAGCGAAGCTGTCACAGCTGGGTGCCCACAGCTAATATGCTGATGCCGGAAGACAGAAGATGAGAGATGAAAGGCTGGGATGAGCACATTGCTGGATCTTGGGTCAAGTGAGTGCTAGCTGTTTGTCAAAAGTGAGCAGCTACAGTTTTTTAGCTGCTGACTTTTAATTTTTACATAGGAGACTGGCGCTCCTCTTTAAAAATGGGGTTGCTGTAGGTATTAGACAAGTAGCAGACACAGTCAAACTGCATATGGTCTTAACTCTTTTAGACACTTCACACGCCCAAAATGTGTTCTTGAAAAGTGTATCATGTTGCCAAGAACAACAGCTTCTACAAAGATGCTAACTTTCACACGTAAGACTGTCACGTTTTCTGGCATCCATTGATGACTATTTCCACTCTCATTATTAAATCATTTCTGCAAATTAGTCATATGGAGCAATTGAGAAATTTATATGTAAAGAAATTTTCAAATGAGAGCAGTAGCTACAGTATCTAAAACTGTGTTCATCAAGTTAATTTGCCTGACTTTGTCCAGGGGACCCATCCATCACAAATATGCAGATTAAAAAGTCAATGTCGAAACTGCACATTTTTTACTTCAACAGTGCTTCAGAAAATGCTGAAGTCCAGTTTTGGATCAGCATATGACGCCAGGCAACTAGCATTCTCAAAAGCTGATGTTGGCCCCCAAGAATATTGTTACACATCTTTTCAGGTTTTTCCCTAAACACTCCGTATCTGTTTTCCAATCCTGGCTCATTACATTGCTGGCATCAGATTTGCCTTACAAATCCATATATGCCAACATGGGAACGAATAAATAAAATTATTACAGATTTTACAACTTAAAACTTTCAGATAAGATCGTGCACACTGATAACAGAAACACTAATGTCCTTAATAATACTCTTTTGGTCTATCCTGGCCAGTCTTGAGTAATACTAAAGTATCAAAGTTAGCAGCATAGAAGTAGGACATCTAAATGGATTATGTTTTAAAGCAATTTGTGTAAATGTCTGTCATCTAACCTCATCCTTTACTGGTTTACATGTTAAAATAAAGTGTATATTGTGATGTTGAATTAGTCCGTCCACCCAAAAGTGGTTACTTCATTTATAGATACATTTGATAGGTGAAGTCATTTTCTTAAATGTCTCAAGGATTCCATCGGGATCTTCCTGCCATATTCTAGGCCAAGGGTAGGCAACCTCTGGACTCAAGCTGTGGTGAAACCACAAATCCCACTTTGCCTCTGCGAATTGTATCTAATGGCTGTCAAGAGTCTTGCAATGTCCCATGGAATTTGTGGTTTCACCCTTGCTGGAGTTCTGAGGTTGCCTACCTCTGTTCTAGGCTTTCTTTCTGTCATCTTGAAGATGGTTCTTTTACATGTGGATTGATCCCGCTCCTGTTAATGTCTCCATAAATAAACTAAAAATCAGGCATAGGACCCCTTTTATTGGCCATCACAGGTGTATAGACCTGGGAGCAAGTACAAATATGTTGGCACCCAAGCCCCCAGGAGATATGAAAAACTTGCTAGTAAAAGTATGGGCATTCATTGAACAGGGTGGAATTTGGAAATCTTAGTGGAATGAATGTCCTCTATATTTCCAGTACTGTGATGATTCATGATATGAAGTATATAATGTACCCCACATAATTTTGAGTGGACCAGTGTGGGGTATGTAACGTACTGCACAAGTACAGAATGGGGCCGCCTGAAGTATGTCATACCCAGCACAGTGTGGTACTGCTTCGGCAATGTAACCCACAGCACAACCAGAAAGGGCACACATTTTATGTCCTAGAAAACATGGACCTCTCTGTAGCACACATGACACTAAACTCTGGCAGATGGGTGGTTGTGTCTGGGACTTCCTTTTGCTCACTTCCTGGGTTTATGCTTTTATATATTGATGGGATGGAATAGTATTCCACTTAACTCTTTCACATCTACTAAAATCTGAAACACAAGTTTGTGTGGACTGCCCCTGTAATTTAAACCTTGTTAGTATCGCAGCGTAATATATATGACCATTCACCCTAGACTTGTAGATGTTATTTATGTGTATAATTGGCATAAAATAAATTGCATAGGTTGCAATGAGACATTGGATCACCAAGTCTTCAAACAACTTTGGTAGTGATATTATATTTCTATTATAGGAATACTAAAACTAGATGCACTTGGGGGGGGGTGGGGGTGAGAGGCAAAAGTACATTTTGTGTAATGGATACATTCTTTTGTGGCTCTGGCTCTTTTCTCTTAATGCAATCATGAACACTGATGATTTTTTTTTTTTTCTGAGAGGTTACCATAAAAATTTATATTTTCAGGGTGAAATGATCAAAAAGTTTTAAGAATTTTTTTCTGTTGTACGTTAAAATAACTTTTATAGCAGACTGTTTCCTTGTAACAATCTTTTTCTAGAATATTCAATACATTTTTAAAACACTATTTTTGGATACACTAGCTAGCAAACCAAGATATTTGAATCTTTTTATTGTGCTTTGTGCCTCACTGTGAAAGTCCACTACTTTGTAAACCCCCAACCAGAGAAACCAATAAACTGGAATTAATTGTTTAGTATCTGATGTCATATTTCCAACTGTATGATTGAGTTCTGATAAATGCCATTGAAATATGTTCTTGTATATAGACCAGTGGGTCATTGGTATTATTTAGATGGTAGGGGTACAAGGGAGTGGTCCATGCAATCATACAGCTGTTTTATCTGCCAATGAACTTTTAAATGTCCACTCATTCTTAACATTTGCACAGCCCTGCGAGACATGGAAAATAATGGCTTTTTTAATGTTACATTGGTGTGTGCTGACTGGACAGTGTAGGAGCAGCAGCACACCGATGAGGTCATCTTTCTGCTTTCACCTTCTGTATGCTTGTTCCTTCATCTGTGACTGCCCAAGAATCTTAACATTTGACCCTTATGGTGGTGTCAAATGCCTATGCCCCTCTTTTGTTCACTGTGGCTTAATCCACCAGCCTCTACATGACTACTGAATCCTGTGACAATATAGGGCCTAGCAGAGCCACAACCTGGGGAAGCAGGCATGTGAAGATTCTTCAGGTGGCCATCGGAGGGAACTTTTTATTTTTCTTTTAAAGGGGGGACAGAACTATGAACATTTTTAGGGAAAATCTGAGGGCTCTTTCACACAAGCATTGAAAACAGGCGGTTGGATTGAGTTTTTACGGTTTCATGACTGCCTAACAACTCCACTCAAAGTTGGTAAAATTGGGATCTGATGGCGGTGTACACACTGCAGCACTGGCATAGCCTTGCACCTCAGCGAGCCAAAAATAGTACTGCCTGCAGAGTTCCAACAGGCACTGATGCTTTGCAATCACCTCTGTTCACTTCAAACTTGGAACTGACCCAGAAAATCGGGGACACCTTGCCACCATGTATGCCCCACATCAGTGTTGGAAAAACCGGTGGCATTGCTTTTTTGCACTCGCTGTCACAAATGCACTCGCACAACTAACTCTCCCACATTGTTGAATTACAACCTTTGCTGTGCTCTTCTTAGTCTTGTAGAACCGGTTTAGAAAAGTGTAATGTGTGTTGTGTTGTCACCATACAATAACCAGTAAAACGGAGCAGTCACTTTAGATCCTATAATTTGCAAAGAGCTCTAGACTTGGAAATTGCATGCAAACTACAAGTCCGATCAATCTATAAAGAAATGTTTAATACAGAACACCCTGATGTGATTAGGCACAAAGTTTGTTATATTAAGAATGACCAAGCAGAAATTAATTTAAAAAATGTAAACCAGAAAAATCAGTGGGGTAATGGAGAGTCACAGCATCTTGTCAGTGTCTTCTGGTATAGACATAACACCATTCCTGCTATAAAACGTGTCTTTCACAATGCGGGATCTTCCATGGATCGGAGTCTTGAATTCATTTATTACATCACCTGGAATGGGAATGTATAATGCATTGTTACTGAAAAGCAATCCAAATATTTAACACAATATTTATCATGGCTGGACCAGAGATGGTCAATGTTTCGTGATGCAAGATCCAATAGAAGCTACAAAGCCTCATATAGTAACAATTACCCCCTTGTCTGCAGGACATCCATTGCAATCAAACTGCATATGGGGTTGTATGAATGGGTGATGTTTTCTCTCTTTGATGCAGGTTAGAGGCATATATAAAATGCAAGTCTGCAGATTCTAATTCACTTGTATGGTGTCGTGTGGAAGACTAGAAGTCTATTTAGTTGTACTGGCATTACCAGAGCAGGCCAAACTCCACCTTTTGCATTCAAGTACATGCATTTGAATGCAAAGCACAGCAAAAGGCAGCATTCCGACTCACTGAGGGTCCATCTCTGGGTTGGATCACAGGCTACCCCCAATTCAAAATCCCAGCAGGAATTACAGATTAGTATAAGTGGCCAGATTTCAATGCAAGCATTTGGGATCCACTAAAACAGTTGTTTCTGTATTGGCAAGTCAGTGTTTAGACATCTTGGAATGGTCTAGTCAAAATAGATGTTAAAAATTGTGCTGTGATCTGACTCCCTGTTAAAAAATGTATCCATCTTCTATTTCCCCTCCATGGTCCCCCCCTCCTGTTTACTCCTGAGATGGATTAGGGACAATGAGCTATTATATTTGTAGTGCGCATAGAACAGTGCACATGACCACACCTAATGTGCACTTCTCATTACAAACAAATGGAAGGGAAGTGGGAAAAGGAAAGGTTTAGGAGGTCTAACAAGATGTTTCAGGTAGGCAGAAATACACAGTAAGAAACAATTTCATGAACAATAGATCAAATTAAGTAGTGGATGTGTATGGATTATTTTTTAAAGAGTAAGGATATATAGGGGTTGATTTACTAAAACTGGGGAGTGCAAAATCTGGTGCAGCTCTGTATAGAAACCAATCCGCTTCCAGGTTTTTTTTTTTTGGGTCTAAGCTTAACTGAAAAAGTTAGAAGCTAGCTACCATGCACAGCTGCACCAGATTTTGTGCTCTCCAGTTTTAGCAAATCTACCCTTTAGTGTTGCTTTACTATTATCAGGGTGCCCCTTAGAGGGCTGCTGGTGATGGGAGTTCAGTGGGCTTACAAGGAAATATGTACTATTATAATATGGAGGCTGCCATTGCTGATTTCTCTCTGAAAGTGGATTTTGAAAAACTCTGAAAATTGCCTGACTGGCATGCTGGTCCAAAGACTTCTATCATTTCTAAGCACAGCTTCAGAACCAGAAAGCAGATCAGAAGCAGTGACTCTAAATTGCACAGTTGCTCCCAAAAAAAGTATAAAAGGTGGACCTTGGCAATGGCTACACCTTCTATGTTTTTATTAGCAATACAAATTCATTTAAAAATCTCAAATGAATTGGAATTGCTCTACATTTTGACAGTTGAGATGAGGTTTTTTTTAATATGTGGTCAATTTTTTTTCTACAAAAACCTAAGCAAAATTTCGGGAAGTCATGTTGCACTGGACTTTCAATATTCAAAACCTACCTAATCTCCAGCCATAATCCCAAGATGACAAGATGGGGTGTGGATACTTTTCCTCTGGGCCATGCTGCTTTCTGTTCTTCAGATACAAGTGCCTTCCCTTGCCCTCCTTGGTGAAGCCATCATATAAGACTTTGGAGGTGTGAGGAGTAACCGGTCTCATCTCGGACAGGTTCAGGATGTCCAGCTGGTCATGGTCTGGTTCGTTCACCCTGCTCACTAGAGGCTGAGGAGTATTGATAAGAGGTGGTAAGGTGGTCACAGGCTGAGGGAGGAAAATCTCTCTCTTTTTTCTGGAGGTCTGAATTTTGGGTTCATTAGGATGTTCTTGGTTGTATTTAACCTTCCATGTCATCCTAGTATGAGTTTCCTTCTCAATGAGCTCTTTCCAGCAGTTCTGGTTTCTGGTTGTCAGCAGATCCCTCATGGTGAATGAAGGGGGTTATGCAATCAGTATCTTACTGGAGTCAAAGGAGATGATCCAGAAGAAGTAGATTACCTGCCGTCAGGGCCGTGAAATGTGAGCAATAGCTCCTGTTTAGAGTTTACTGACATCTCCTGGGAGACTGCGGTGTGAACAGACTGGGCAAGGAGGAGCTGGATAGACAAACACTTACACAGCAACTCTACAAACCATGTCATGAATTATTTACAAGGAGCAGCTCTGGCAGGTCATTGTAAAGGGAAACAACTGTGGGACTCAAAAACAGTATGTGCACATACACTTCTACTATTTAATAAATTCACATCACCACTAAGCTCATTGTGTACCTTTTGTTCATCCCAAGAAAACCGAAGAGAAACAGCTGGACATATAAAAATGATTTCCTATGCCTAATTAAAACACTTCAGGAATGTTTAATAATACATAAAATACAAGGACACTTTTTTGTTTTGTTCAGGATGCACCAAGTAAATGCTAAATAATAAAGTGATTGAAAAACCCTCACCTTGTAAAACAACACATTTAGTTTAAAATAGAAATGAAAGACAAATCAGATCTAAAAAAAAAGTATAAAATAACTTATGGCTGTGCCGGGGGGGTGTCAGTACAAGTCTGATCATTGGAGGAGAGTAGGCTGAGTTCCCAGCACAGCCAGAAAACTGACCCTGCTGTGCTCGCATGCTTAGTGTGATTAGTTTTTTTAAGGAAGCAAAGGGGCTGACAGGAACACCAGAGATTTCACACAAAGGTAACAACACAAAGAGAACAGGATACTTTTTCATACAAGTACATGATACACCAGGAACATATGAAATGCGGGGTTTGCATATTCTTTAAATATTCTATACAATGTTGAACAGCAAGAGTTCACATACAAGGCCAATTGATCTCCATCCCTTTATTGCAGAAATTTGTTCTCATCTGTAGTCATAAAGACAGCAAATATTTTTTGAGACTTGAATTTAGCATTGAACAAATGGAAATCGAGTGAAAAAAGGAAGCAAAGAAGTTTGAGTACCTGGGGTAATCTGCATATTGTATGAACTTATTAAATGTCATAAAAGAGCTGGAGGTGAATGACTGACAATCTAATTATTTGCCATTGGCTTTTTTTGCTGCAGCTCTTTTCTGTTGACAGCATGCAATAGGTGCATCCACTGCTCAGCTATCCAGTGTTGCAGTACATAATTGTGCATTATATACATCTGATTAAAAATGTATCAACTAAGCGCCAGGGGCGGACTGACCATTGCGGCACTCAGGCACTGCCCGAGGGGGCCCGGGGGTCAGTAGGGGGTCCCATGAGATGCCCCTGGTACCTCTCATAGGCTGTTTTGGGTGTGGTTTGAGTGTGGGCGAAGACACAGGAGCCCCATGATCCTATTCCCGGGGGGCCCCATGAGTTGCCAGTCCACCCATTATAAATATATATATACAGTGGGGCAAAAAAGTATTTAGTCAGCCACCAATTGTGCAAGTTCTCCCACTTAAGAAGATGAGAGAGGCCTGTAATTGGCATCATAGGTAGACCTCAACTATGAGAGACAAAATGAGAAAGAAAATCCAGACAATCACATTGGCTGATTTGGAAAGAATTTATTTGCAAATTATGGTGGAAAATAAGTATTTGGCCAATATCAAAAGTTCATCTCAATACTTTGTTATATGTCCTTTGTTGGCAATGACAGAGGTCAAACGTTTCCTGTAAGTCTTCACAAGGTTGGCACACACTGTTGCTGGTATGTTGGCCCATTCCTCCATGCAGATCTCCTTTAGAGCAGCGATGTTTTGGGGTTGTCGATGGGCAACATGGACTTTCAACTCCCTCCAAAGGTTTTCTATGGGGTTGAGATCTGGAGACTGGCTAGGCCACTCCAGGACCTTGAAATGCTTCTTACGAAGCCACTCCTTCGTTGCCCGGGCGGTACGTTTGGGATCATTGTCGTGTTGGAAGACCCAGCTATGTTTCATCTCCAATGCCTTTGCTGATGGAAGGAGGTTTGCACTCAAAATCTCACGATACATGGCCCCATTCATTCTGTCCTATACATGGATCAGTCATCCTGGTCCCTTTGCGGAGAAACAGCCCCAAAGCATGATGTTGCCACCCCCATGTTTCACAGTAGGTATGGTGTTCTTTGGATGCAACTCAGCATTCTCTCTCCTCCAAACACGACGAGTTGTGTTTCTACCAAACAGTTCTATTTTGGTTTCATCTGACCATATGGCATTCTCCCAATCCTCTTCTGGATCATCCAAATGCTCTCCAGCAAACTTCAGACGTGCCCGGACATGTACTGGCTTAAGCAGGGGAACACATCTGGAACTGCAGAATCTGAGTCCCTGGCTGCGTAGTGTGTTACTGATGGTAGCCTTTGTTACGTTGGTCCCAGCTCTCTGCAGGTCATTCACTAGGTCCCCCGTGTGGTCCTGGGATTTTTGCTCACCGTTCTTGTGATCATTTTGACCCCACAGGGTGAGATCTTGCGTGGAGCCCCAGATCGAGGGAGATTATCAGTGGTCTTGTATGTCTTCCATTTTCTAATTATTGCTCCCACAGTTGATTTGTTCACACCAAGCTGCTTGCCTATTGCAGATTCAGTCTTCCCAGCCTGGTGCAGGTCTACAATTTTGTTTCTGGTGTCCTTCAACAGCTCTTTGGTCTTCACCATAGTGGAGTTTGGAGTGTGACTGTTTGAGGTTGTGGACAGATGTCTTTTATACTGATAACAAGTTCAAACAGGTGCCATTGATACAGGTAATGAGTGCAGGACAGAAGAGCCTCTTAAAGAAGAAGGTACAGGTCTGTGAGAGCCAGAAATCTTGCTTGTTTGTAGGTGACCAAATACTTATTTTCCACCATAATTTGCAAATAAATTCTTTCCAAATCAGCCAATGTGATTGTCTGGGTTTTTTTTTTCTCATTTTGCCTCTCATAGTTGAGGTCTACCTATGATGCCAATTACAGGCCTCTCTCATCTTTTTAAGTGGGAGAACTTGCACAATTGGTGGCTGACTAAATACTTTTTTGCCCCACTGTATACACACACACAGAGCTGCTGTTAGACAGCACGGGATCCTATACAGCCAACCTGACAGCCCCCCCCCAATCTGTGGGCAGACACAGGGGCCCCATGATCCCCTTTTGTCCAAGGGGCCCATGAGTTGCCAGTCTGCCCCTGCTAAGCGCTATTTTATTATAAAAAAACATTCCGGGGATATTTTGCTTCAGAGTTGGTGAAGCATGGCAATTGCAGTATTGTTTGGTTGACACATTGAACCATCAGCCTGAATTAAGTGCATCTAAAAATGTTTTTTGTCATTTTGGATAGAGTTGGGAATGGTTAAATTTGCTGTCATATTTTTTCTGCCAGTGTCCCATTGAGGAGATTTCACATCCTGTTTTGTGGTAACAATGGAATATGAGGGGGGAAAAAAAAAAATCAATCCAAATGAAGAAAAAAAGCCCTCTTGGACAGTTATCTCTGGAAACTGATAGAAATAGAGAGAACAATGAAAACCAAGCAAAGCTTCAAAGTCCTCTCTACCCCATCAGCTGAGACATGTTGTTGGCTGATGTTACAGAGCAGCTCTAGGCTCTGGAGGGATCCCAATAATAATGTCAGGATTCACCCAAATGCCTGATCAGCAGCTGGCTCCGCCTCTCAGAGTGACATTTAGGGCCTAAGCCAGCCGCTCCTGCCCCCTCCTCAGTCTGGCTGTGAAGCCGCAAGCTGTAACAGCCTGGTGTCCACAGTTGAGATACTCCATGGGAGGAGAGAAGGTACGGCATGGGTGAGTACATCACTGGACCCTGGGACAGGTAAGTGTGTGTTTATTAAACGTCAACAGCTACAGTTTTTGTAGCTGCTGATGAAACACAAAAACAGCTGGAACTCCGCTCCGCTACTGCTACAGGGCGGCAGGGGTGCGCAAAATCACGTGTATATATACATGATTTTGCATTTCCAGGTAGGGGGTGCGAGCGCACCCTACCCGCGCTGCCATTCGCGGACCTCGGCTGTCAATCACCAGGTCCCGGCCAGTGATCACCGAGTATCCCGGACGGGGGAGAGACCTGTATGTAAACAATACAGACCTCTCCCGTCAGATACTGCACACTGCTTTGTATAGCTCTGCATAGGAGCGACATATAAAGCAGTGTGCTTACAGTTATACACGCACACAGCAGATAATGTGAAACAGCATGCAGTTAACCCTTTGATCGCCCTCAGATATTAACCCCTTCCTGCCCAGTGCCATTAGCACTGATCACTGTATTGGTGTCACTGGGGATATCAGTGTCAGTTCCCCCCAGAGTCAGAATGCCCCCCCCGCAGTCCCGCTAAGCAAAGACATGTAGCAGAATACATTTTGGCCTAAATTTATGATGAAATTAGATTTTTTAACTTTTTTTTACTGGACATGTTTAATAGCAAAAAGTAAAAAATACAGTTTTTTTTCTCAAAATTGTCGGTCTTTTTTTTGTTTATAGCACAAAAAAATTAAAAAAAACGCACAAGCAATCAAATAAATACCACCAAAAGAAAGCTCTACATGTGGGAAAAAGGACAAATTTAATTTGGGTGCAGCGTTGCATGACCACACAATTGTCAGTTAAAGTACCACAGCGCTGTAACGCAAAAAATGGCCTGGTCAGGAAGGGGGGTAAATCCTCTGAAGGGCAAGTGGTTAAAATGTCACTAAATCCACAAGAGTAAAATCAGTTTGTATATGCAGTAAAGCATGCTTGTTATACTCACCATGGAACCTAAGGGGTTAATCCTCTGCATTGTGTAAAAAGGCTGTTTGATCCTGACTTCTCTGATCCTTCCCTTCTTCCACAGTCCCCAATCCAATCCATCTGCTAATAGTACAGAGTGCTAGGAGTCACTCTGCACATGCTCAGTTTGGTGTGTATTGCTAGAGAGGTTTTGGGTTTTTTTGGGGGGGAGGGTGCATGTGATCGGCACTGGTCCAAT